GGGGGCTAGGCAATGGGGTTAAGTGACTTGCCCAAGGTCACACAGCTAGTAAGTGTTATGTGTCTGAGGCCAGATTTGAACTCAGGTCCTCCTGAATCCAGGGTCGGTGCTCTATCCACTGTGCCACCTAGCTGCCCCAATCCCGACGTTCTTAAGAGAGACCTTGAGAGTGTCCTTATATCGCTTCTTCTGACTACCATGTTAACATTTGCCCTGTGTGAGTTCTCCATAAAATAATCTTTTTGACTGTAATTGCTTCACACATGATAACTCTATACTGGGTTTTAGATGTTATTGGCGTATTATATTATTATAACTTAATATTATATCAATATATCAATATTATATGTTATCATATATTAATAAAATATCAAAGGAGATAGGAACAATGATTTTCCCTGTAAAACAATTTTAAAATGCATTCCGTGAATTATTGTCATCTGACTAGTAATAAGATTTCATGTTTTAAATTGACTAGTAATAAGTTTCATGTTTTAAATACTTATATAGAGTATGCAAAATTTTCTCTTGTAAAAAAAAGCTATAGATCATATGTCTGTTATGGAATGTGACTAATATCTTTGAATACTGTCAATATTTAATGAGACATTTTTGTTCTAAGAAAATAAAAATAATGACAATGTCTTACTGTTGGGAAAAAAGCATAGTAAAATCCTCTTCAAAGCTCTTTGTCCAGGAGGGTCCTTAGGACCAGTCCTGCTGACCTGTTACGAAACTCTGATGTGCTGCAGTTTGAGAAGCTAGGCCTCTCCCAGCGAAAGTAGGAAATTTAGGAGTCAAATTTTAAATAATATGTGAATTTCACCTGGGATCATTTAAGAAAATCATGAAATGATATCTGTTAATAATTAGCATGTAGAAAAGTGACATTTCTGAACGACTGTTTCACTATGTATAAACCAGTGTTCTTTGTATTCAAGTAAAACTCCAGAATGTAGTATTTGCACTGCTTGTCCAACTTAGACAACATTCCACCAGCTTGCCTCGCCATCATTTCCCATGAGAGTTGCTCCCTTCAACCTACTTGGGAGGTTAAAGTTTTTTCTAGAATATAGAGTGGTTTTGATATTGGCCAGCTGTATTCTGAAGCCCACCCAAAGTGGCCCCTTCCTTTATCCTATCTGCACAGCAGACAAAGGGGGAGATTTAGAACCTATCACATCTTTATTTAGATATACTTTAGAGTATAGATAGATACATGTGGTGAATTTTGTCTCCAACAACTATAATGAATATATGAAAACTTTATCTGTTAATGAATAGTGTATGAATTTGAACAAATACTGTTAATGATTATTGTCACATGAACACGATAATTACAGCTTGTCCTAACGTGATTAGTGAAGTATACTTTTGGGGGACTTTAATTTGATCTACTTCTAAGTTTTGGTTTCAGGTATAAATATCTGACTTCTCATAAGGCTACTAATTCATCATTTAAGAAAAATATTAGCAGTTTACTGGGAGAGGCATCTGTGAACTCCCATCAATGGATATCTCTCCCTGGGAAATAGCTGGGGTGGGGAGGGAACCCAAACTTAGGAAGGCTAAGGTAAGGACCCACCTAACTCAGGTTCCCGTACAAGATATTTTCCCACCCGGCTAATTCTGATCAATTGCTGCCTATGACTCATACCTGAAATCAAACAGAATTAATGCTGCTGTGTCCCTGCCTTTCTCCTCACACAGCAAATTCCATTAATAAGGGTAAGTATAAAATGATGCCTCATTATTTTCATTGTAATAAACTTAAGAGATAAACCTTATTGGTGACTTCTGACTTAAACTAGTACAGTAGTACTACTATAATAAGAAATCATTTTGAATTGTCATTTGAACCACAAGTAGTAACAGAGACCATCAGGCCTTATAATTTATGGATTATACTATAACATCCTTTCATTATGCTAATATGGTAATATCCTCAAAGGGGGCGAATTAGTGGGAGATGTGACACAATTTTCAAAAATGGATTAAGAATTTTACGTGATAATTGTGAAGAGTATGAAACTATTTTCCTATTTGAAGCATCTATCTGATAATTTTAAGCGAGAGACTCATTTTCCAATTCAGGCCCTCATGATGTAACAATTAAAATTCTCTGAAGTTTCGGTGAATTATGTGGTGATCCTTCTTATAGCTCTATTTTATATTGAGTTTGTATTAAGTTTTCCTACATGCTCCTGGAACCTGAGAAGAAAATCTGGAAGGGAGAAGCCTCTTCAGAGCTGTCCTAAGAATGTGGCTCATCCCAGAAAGGTACATCTGGAATGTACCTTTCCTACAATTATACAGCAGGCTGACAGAACTCCACAGGGTGTGGCTGAGGTATAGAATAGACATTTAAACTTTTCCATCCACATCAAGGATTCCTAGTAAGCGGTAGAATTCCACAAAGGACTTTGTTCTCTTTTCCCATGTACTGTTACTTTTCCATGAAAGGGACTGCCCCCTGAAAATTCTGTCAAGGCGCCAGACAAGGCTTTAACGTATAGGAGAGCCCAATCACTTTGTGAAATTGTACCAAGGCCATCAATCCTAGCACTATGGCCCACAGGCCTCTCGTATAATAACTCGGTAATGAATGATGGTGAGTCTAGACTACATAATCAGGTATGATATAAACTGCTCATTGGGACCCATAGATGTTGGATATGTCGCCAGGTCCACCTAAGCACCCCAAATCAGGGGCGCCTATTCCTGTCCACATACTTTTGTGTTAATAATGATGATGATGATGATGATGATGACTGATGATGATCACCAAAGCTAATAGGAGAAATTGCCCCCCATACAGCCTAAAAAAATGTCTCATAGTAGGAATGGATCTAGCAAAAAGGGTCAGAATAGGACCCCCAATTGAAATCTTGATTGAAGAATTCCCTTTACCTGAGATGGAAGCTATTGTTTCCCATTCCACTGCCAAAGATTTGTTAGTGGAAATAGGGCAAACAGCCCTGAGTTTGCAGTCATACTCAGACCTTTGAAGGACACTGATTATTAAAAACATATACCACCTGAAGGAGTTTGAGTCTCTGCTTAAGTGATACATGATGAAATTACTTCCTTTGGATCAAAGTGGGGAATTGACAAGGAAATCAGCTATTATTGAGCTTTGAATTCATTTTTGGTTTGATTATAGAATTAAACTCCTTTCTTTAGGAAAAGCTAGCACTAACAGCTAAGCCAGACTAACACAGATAATGTCTTAAATCTAGATTACCTATAGATTTGGTGAATAGATAGACTGAGAAGACTTTATAACTTAGTAGCAGATAATTTAGAATAAGACATACTATAATAATCATAGGCTAACTCTTTTAACAAGCTAGGTTTCCCTTTCTGGCAGAAGGCAGGCGTTGACCAGAGGCTAAGTTCCCCTTTCTGGCTGCTGACGAGGTTAAGCCGCCCCGAGCCTTAGCCAGAGGTTAAGCCCCCCATTTTTTCTTGAGCTAGAGTCTGAGCTGAGTAATGTACTCTGCTAAGGATGATGGGGAGGGTCTACTGCTAACTACTGGCCAAAAGCTCCTCTTTCCCAGGACACTTTCTGGTTACAAAAGGCATCACCTGCAGGACAGGATTTCTGGCATAGGATTAAGAAAGTCTAGGAGAAACTAACTCATCAAGTGACCTGCCTTGTCCAATTAAATTATGTTCAAAACAAGTTTCTGTCTTTTTTTATTCCCCTTTTTTGTTATAAAAATCAGTTCTGTAAATCACTCCTGATCTCCGATATCTGAGGAGTCAGGTGACCTGATTTGGTATGCAAATACTAGCTCTGCAAAATTAAATCATAGATGGTTCAGTAACTTTGTCCTCAGTTTCCTTTTTGTTCCAGATAATTAATTTTAACAGTGGCCAAGAAAAAATCCCCCTTTATGTGCTGAATGTTTATGTATAGAAATACGAGCTTTGCTGAGTATGTAAGAAGTTGGGGGATACAATGGCTTGGCTTCCCCATACACAGCTTCATCCCTGATCTGCTCCTGGTGGGCAAGGTAGGGACTAGGAATCCTATAACTCAGACAAAAGTCAAGGACCAAGCCAGCCTCTGCTCCAAGCCACCAGCCCACAAGGAACTCAGGTAAGTCAGTTTCCTCCAGCCCCTTGTGGCACTCTCATACGAACAGGGACCCCAAAAAAGGACCCTGGTTCAAAGCTCAAATAACCCTCAGTGTGTAGATGGAGGGATAGTATCAATAACTAGCCGTGGCTGAGGCTCCCAAGCTGGCTCTCAAGGCTGCAATCTGCCCGGGCCATGTATCTGCCCCAAGTGAGTATCCTCAGCTAGGTTGTGGGAGTCCTGGGGTCATTCACTGAGAGCAGCAGTTCCCACATTCAGATGAAAGAGTCAGTCCTTCATTCCCAAAGCTGTAAGTTCTGTGTGTCCTGCTGCAGCAGAGACCACCAATCCAGGACAAGTGTGACAACGCCTTATTCCCCTCATGATCCCCACTATACAAACCAGTTGGACTGCTGCTGCGTTATACTCCTATTTCTACCAGCACTATGGCCAGGGGTCTTCTGCAAGACCAGGCTATTGGGATTTCCATCCCTTTCTGTTCCTCCCCCAGCTATTCCTCATCCTGGCCACCATTTTAAGAACCAAAATGAAGCCATGTGTAGATCCAGAGAATCACAGAATCTTAGCATCAGAATGGCCTCTGCAGCAGCATCTCTTACGGCCTATTAATTTAGACTCCCAACTACACCCCTGAAGGGCAGACAGCTAAGACTCTGTGAGCCTTCTGCTAATCACTGAGAAGATAACAACCCATATTTGGCCACCTTCTCCTCTCTTTCCTCAGCTGTGAAAAGAGGAGCTTGGACTAGGTGATCTCTAACACCCTATCTATACATAAAAAGTTTTTCACTTGTGACATCACTATTCCAGGTGGCTTTCCAATCCATGCGCTTTCTTATTGGTAGAGGGCTCTCTTGAAAAGCATTCTTGGTAGAAGACTTGAGAATCATTTTACCTTGAGGTCATCTCTCCATTCATTCATTCCATAGCTCTTGGAAATTTCTGGTTGAAACATATGCATTTTTGCCATAGATGTGGCAAGACGGGTCATAGATTGGCGGCCACTTCCTCCCAGACCAACCAGTAAAGCATTTCCACCAGACTGCTTCAGGATGCGGCAAATTCGAGATAGGTGTTCCAACACATACCTGCCATGAAACCATCATCAATAAACACGTGGATGTCAAGTGGAATGAATTTGTTTTATCACATAGCCATAGTTTATGTGTCTTAGGAGACTACGTTACCTACCTAATAAGAAGGCTACTGCTGATGATTAAAAAAAAAAAGTATGACTTTTAAAGAGCAGTTTCAGTTGGATAATTTGGAGGCAAAGGAAAAAATAATTAAGAGTTATCTCTAGAACAGGGGTTCTAAACTGGGGTCCATAGACAGAATTCAGGGGGTTCATGAATTTGGGAGAGATAAACTCAGGTCTTCCTGAGGTCCAGTGTTCTATCCATTGGGCCACTTGGCTATTTCTGGAACTAGAAAGAAACCTTAGAGACTATCGAATCCAACCCCTTCATTTTATAGATTAAGGAAATACATTTAGAAAAGTTAAGTAACTTGCCTTGTGTCTAAAATGGAATTTATACCCGTCTTATTGACTCCAAATTCAAAGCCCTGTCCACGACACCACACCACCTCTCCCTCCACAGAGAATGCATTCAGTATTTGGGAAGTCTTCCTCTATCAACCAATTAATAAACATTTATTTGGCACACATCACAAGAGCCCACTCTCAGCAATTACCTAACATGCACTTCCTTCAATCATGGCAATACTGGATAAGAACAGGATTACTGTTTGTTCATCAATCACTCATTGATACCATAACCTCTGTGTAACAAATGGAGGGATCCTTTCACCTACCAAAATGATGACTGGAACAGCAACGGGTTAATCAATCTAAAAATGCCTGGCAGCACCTAGGAGGCCCTTAATAATGCATGGCAGGAGACTGAAGGGTTGGGACCAATGGACGCACCTGAAAATGACAAGGTTCATTCTCGTCTTGTGAGTCTGGTTATATTCTTCCAAACACTGCTCCACCACATCACTGAAATGCTTCACATTTGGAATTTCTATGTAAATTCTTTCATCTCCTTCAAGATCTGGATTCATGTAATCTCCAAACAGGAGACTTCTTAAATCTTCCTCTTTTACCTAGAATACACAAGAGAGCAAATTTCAAAATTTTTTACATTTCAAATGATAATAGCTAACATTTAGATTGCACTTGAAGGTTTGCAAGGCACTGTACATATATTAGCTCATTTGATCCTTACAACATCCCTGGGAGGTCATTACTATTATTATTCCCATTTTACAGAGGAAATTGAGACTAAAGGAAATGAAGTGACTTGCTCAAGGTCACACAACAGCTACTAGGAGTCTGAGGCTAGATTTGAACTCAGGTCTTCCTGACTTCAAGCCCAGTACTCTATGAGCTGTGGCACCCCCCCCCCCACAGCCTTTTACACACTTTTCATCCAACCAGTGCTTTCTTGCAGGAGTTCTTAACTTGGCTAACTGTTCTTTGCTATAATTGATTCCTTCTGAAATCTGCTCTATTTTATCTTGGGAATTTACAAACACAATTTCGAGGGGTCCATGGGCATCACCAGGCTGCTGGAGGGGCCCATGACATAAAAAAAAATATTGATCATCTTTTTTCTTTCTTTTAATTTGGCCTATGCTTGTGGAAGACCCCACCAGATCAAACCATTGCTTGGCGGTGCCTCTGTGGCCAGATATCTCCTCACCGGGGCATTCTCCTTCCTCAGGTGTGAGAAGACGGTGTCAAAGTTCTCTTTGAAGTGGTCCTTTATGACGGCCTTGATCAGCTGAAACAGCCACGCTCTGTCATAGTCATCCACCAAGCGGTCGTAGAACACGCGCAGGACCTCATGGACAAAGAGCCGCACCATTGTGTGCTTGCTCTCCACCACTTCCTTACTGATGAGCAGACAGCCCAAGATGACCCGGGAGAAATCCCGCAGGTTGAATGTGTAGTGAGACTTGGCCGGGGTGGGCAACAGATTCTCCATGGACCGTTTATAGATCTTGAGATACAGAGAGGAAAAAGAAGTCATGAAACAGAAATAGAGCAATTGTAATCACTAAATCCATCTGTCTATAACATACTGAGTCTGACATTTAGCATATTGAGACTCATTGACAAATTATGTAATAATAATAATTGACATTGAGCATGTCGAGACTCATTGACAAATTATGCAATAATAACTGACATTTAGCATATTGAGACTCATTGAGAAATAATGTAATAATAATCATTGACATTTAGCATGTCAAGACTCATTAACAAATAAAGTAATAATAATGACATTTAGCATGTTGAGACTTGTTGACAAATTATGTAATAATAATAATTGACATTTAGCATATTGAGACTCGTTAACAAACTATGTAATAATAATCACTGACATTTGTCACACTTTAATGTCTGTAATACTCTTTATAGGCATTTTCTCATCTGAGTCTCACAATCATGTGAGTTAAACACACCAGGAAGAATTATCCCTGTTTTGTATGTGAGAAAAATGAGGTTTAGGGACATTTAAGTGATTTATGAATGAATGAATGAAAATGCATTTATTAAGTGCTTCCTGTGCCAGGCACTGTACAAAAACAAACAAAAATGAAAGTCTGTCCTCAAGGAGCCAACTTAAGGTGATAGAAGATAACACATAAAGGGGGATGGAGGGGCAGGCGGTACCAAAGGAACCCAGATTTTGACTTAGTTTGGAAATGGCAGAGAAGTAGGGGAAGGCCTGATTCCAAGCAAGATAAGATGAAAGGTCACCTACTGGAGCCAAGAGTTCAAAGAACTGAGTTCTAATTCTTGGAGGAGGCTCACACACACATATTAAGTGTCTGAGGCTGGATTTAAACTCAGGTCTTCCTGACTCCAGGCCCACTGCTCTACCCACCTAGCAGCCTAATTTTACATATGAGGAAACTGACTGAGCTTTGCCCGATGGGTTAATGGCCCTCCCTGTGTCAATAAAGAGGGAGCCAAAATTCAAATTGTTTTTAAAAATTCAAGGCAGCAGATCAGGAGACTATATGTGGCAGTCTGATTTGTTTTTGGCAGACACTTACCACTAACAGAGGAATGGGAGGATTTCCATGGCTCCTGGCAGCTACTGCGGACCCAATGAACCTGGAAGATTTTCTATTCCTGGGATCACAGTCCTAAAGTTCTGCCTCTCCATGCCCCAGTACTAAGTCTCTAAAGGAATTGTTTGGGCAGTTAATAAGTATAGTATCACGGAATCATGGACTCAGAGCTTGCAAAGACCCTTGGAGGTCACCAGATCCTACAGGTTAAATGACTTGCAGCTAAAGTATCTGAGGAAGGATTTGAACCCAGACCTTCTTGACCAGCACACATTGAGTTCCCTATCCACTATGGCACACTGCCTCCTAAGAACATTTCCTTGTACTTAAAAGCAAAAAGGGTTATGTCTCTTCCAGAGTTGGAACTACAAAATTCTTCACTAGGGCACAAGCATTAAGGGAATGGTCGAATGCCAGAGGGCAGAGGACCATTTAATGTAGGGGAACAGTCAGATGAGAGGAGTAGGTCGACAGGTAAAGTCATACCAGGAGGGCAGGCAGTCCATGCCCTAGAGAGGAGATTGAGGGGAAACATGGGCCCATGAAAGGGGCCTTACTGCCATGATACTGTGAGTATGGTGGCCCCAGTTTAGGAGAGAGGGAGATGGTATTATGCAATGGCAAAGAGTACCAGGAGATACGGAAGGCAAAGCACAGGGATGGCTGACACCATTTCCCAGGAGGAAGTCAGTGGCCTGAGACAAAACCCAGTTAACCTCACACTAGTTATGGCTCTTCTGACTGGTCTGATCAAGCCTGCAGGCAAGCCCCTGCTGCTACTGGCAACCTCATTGATCAACATTTATTAAGCACATACTATGGGCCAGGCACTGCGCTAAGCACTAAGCAATCAAAGGAGTTGCCTGCTGAAAAAGATAAAATGGCATACCTCCTTCTCCAACCTGTGAGGAGAAGGGCGGAGGGGAGCCCAACAAAGGACCTATGGGAGTCCAAACAGTCTGTCCCCAAGGGTTCTCATACAGCATGGGTCACTCACCTCCATAGTCCCACTGACAATTTGATTTCCAACAGCAAAGTACTCTGGCATGAACTCACGAGTCCTTAGGTAGAAAGCAACAATGGCAGAGAAGATCCTGACCATGGTTTCATCACTGAAGGTGTTAATGGAGCAAATGTTAAAATGGCGGATGAATCGAGGTGTGACGGGATTCCTCCCCCCACCTGGTGGGCCCATGGCAGCAATCAACTGTATGTCGATCAGTAGAATTTTAGTCGTGTCCTTCAAATCATACCTTCAAAGATTTCAAATCACACAAATATTTCAAAATCCCCCAAAAGACATCTCTGATTTTCTCTTATCTTACAGAACGGCGGACCCATTTCTCAACCAACCCCAATATGAGGACCCATGGTTAGACAAAGGATAATAATAATAAGCAGTTAGATTTATACCATATTTAAATGTTTGCAAAGTGCTCAACCTAGCTTAACTCGTTTGATCTCCACAATAACCCTGAGAGAGAGGTGTTACCGTTGTCCCTGGTGTACAGATGAGGAAGCTGAATCAGATAGAGGTTAAGTGACTAGATCATACACACCTATTAAGAGCCTGAGGCAGAATCTGAACCCAGGTCTTCCTGACTCAAGTCCAGTCCCCTATCCACCATGCCACACTGCCTCCTCAAAACTGGGGCAAGAATTACCCAGCAATCAGAGTATGCCATCTGAGCTGGTGGAGAAAGCACAGGGCCTGAGTTTGCTCACTGTAAAATGAGCTGGAGGAGAAAATGGCAAACCATTCCAACGCTGCCTAACCAATGCATGACATTCATTGCCCCTGAGCTGGAAGGGTCCTTAGCGGCCATCCAGTGTCTTCATTTGACAGATGAAGAAGACTGAGGCCTAAAGAAGTTAATGACTTGCCCAAGATCACACAGGGATTGAGTGTCAAAGCTAAGATGTGAACTCGGATCTCATGATTCCAAGTTCTTTGCTCTTTCCTCTCTCCAAGAACTGGTTAGGAGAGAGAAAAAATGGTGGGGAAGGAGGGAGGGAGAGGGGGAGAGAATAAAACTAGTCCATCCTGTACTGGAGAGAAAACTGCAGCAACAGGGAGCAAAGAAGTAGGGAAAAAATGGTGTGGTATTGATTTCAGTGAGTCACCACACCCTGTGCCCTTCCGACAGGGCTGGAGGTGGGGCCATGGAAATCAGGATCCTGGAGTTAGAAGGGGACTTGGAAGTTAGTCCAACTCCTGCCTGGCCAGATTTGAACTCAGGTCCTCCTGACTCTAGGCCCAGAACTCTATCCACTGAGCCATCTAGCTGCCCCTGAGCAATCATAACCTCGCTTGAATAGTTACCAATTTCCATAGTCGAAAAACTGGCGTAATAATTCAATTGGCGGCTGAGCGCCATATTTCTCCAATGCTGGCATATTCATATCATCTATAAATATCACACACTTCTTTCCCATCGGAGGGCCAAACACTCCTTTGCGCCTCTTGTCCAGCCTCGCCATGATAATATTCTAAAATGCAGAAGAGAAAGAAGACTATCTGAATACGGATTTATTATTATTAATTACTACTTATGTTAAAAAGCAGTCTTAGTAGTTAGGGGATTTATCCATTAGACTTACTAATCACCACCACAACAATGAACATCCATTGTGTCTCTTGATGCTGCTTAGAGCATCAAAGGTCGGACAACACCAGAATAAATTAACAAGAACTGAATCAGTTATGTTTCAATAGTGCCATACAACCCATCATCATCATTTCATTTTTAACCAGGGAATATTAAGCTTGAAAAGTCAGATTCATTTAGTAATTTAACAAGTCACAGAATCCAAAATCTCAGAATTGGAATCAATCAGTCACCAAGTATTTATTAAGTGCCTACTGTGTGTCAGGCACAGTGCCAGGCCCTAGGGATATAAAGACAAAAAATAAAACCATCCCACCTGCCCTCAAGGAGCATCCATTCTATCAGAGAAATCAAGAAGTACATAGAAAATAAATATGAAGACAGGAGTTCAGAGACCATCTGGTCCAACCTGTTTCTGACAATCTTCTCTGCAACCTATGTGACAAATGGCTTCTGGCTTAATGGCTCATTACCCACTTGGAGCAGTCCTGCGCTCTCTGCTTACCTCCCACTGAGTGTCAGTTTCATTTATGGGATTAAATACCAATGGCCCCCGATGACTGATGTCTACGATCAAATACAAACTCCTCCCTTTGGCACATCAAGCCTGGCTCCACACCCCAACTCTCTAGCATGTCCTCTATAGTCCAGATAAACTGGCCCTCTAGCTCAGTTTTCCTCACTCACACAGACCCTCCTGTGCATCAGCCCACAGTTGAACTGCACTCCCTCCTTATCCAAAATTACTGGATCATAGATTTAGAGCTGGAAGGGGCCTTACAGGTCATCAAATCCAATCCCCTCATTTTACAGATAAGGAAACTGAGGCTGAGATTAAACAACTTTCCCAGAATCCCACAGCTAGCAAGTATCAGAGGCAGGATTCGAATACAAGTCCAATACATTTTCCCGAGCCACCTCGCTGTCGCTAATCCTTTCAATTTCCTCTCCTTCAAATGCTACCTAGCAACCCCTAAACAGCTAGTGCCTCCCCCAACTCCCCATATATATATAGAATATATTGAAATACTGGAATATACCTATGTGTTTCTCCCACCTCAAGGTCCCCGAGGTCATTTTTGTCTTGGTATTACCAGAGTCTAAATGCTTATTGACTGAGTCATTGTTATTCAATTATTTTTTTTCTTCTAGAAACTTCTCTTTGGTTTCTTTCATTCCAGATTATTTCTTGATCAAACTGAAGCTTTTCCTCTTTTTTCCCATTCTCTTTAAAATCATTCTTTTCTTTTTCTGAAAGGTGATTTTCTTTTTTTGGGGGGGGGAATACTGTTTGACTTGGTTTATTTCTGGTTTTGAGGGAATGAAAGGAAATGCAGCTTCTGATAAGACGGCCCACTCCTTCATCACCTCAAAACAGCCAGAAATGTGCCAGATAAAGTAAAACAATAACAAAAGAAAGGGAAAAGGAAATAATTTATTATAGAAAAACCAGCATATACAGAAAAAAAAATTAGCAAACAGCCAGGAAGAGGTCCCAGTACAAGGAATAAATACTATAGAGTAAAAGAAAGTGACATGCAAACCTCATAAGAGAAGGATAAATATACAGCAACAAGGAGACTTCCAGAATACTAGAGGAACAACCACAAGAATCTCCAGAATGACTTAAAAGATCAATCAGAGAATTAAAGAGACCATCAAGATGGCCATTAGAGCACTCAAAGAAGAATTCAAAATGAGAATCAAGATAAAAGTTTAGAACAAATTATGTAGATTCTCTCTAAAGCAATGGACTCTCTGAAAAAAAGACTTAAAGATTCAGAACCAAAAAAAATGCAGAAAGGGAAGAAAGGTTATCAGAACAAAACCAAAAGGCAGCGATGTCAGAATATCTGAGATCTCTAAAAACAAAGCAAATGGAGACAGAACATGGTGAGACAATTTAAGAATTATTGGTCTCCTGAAAAATACAATGAAACAAAAAGCTTAAATACCATACTTTAGGAAACCATGCAGGAAAATTGCCTAGAAGCATTGGAAAGAGGGAAGAGTATAGATCATTGAAATCTACCTGTTGACAATAGAGAGAAAACCCAAATTCAAATCACAACAAATACTGTGGCCATGCTCCAGGATTTCAACCTTATATAATAAATCTCACAAGTAGTAACAAGGAAGCCCTTCATATACCAAAGATAAACAGTCTATCTAAGTCTTTGTGTGATTCCATGACAAATTCTATGACAAATTAAGAAAAGGACTAGATGTTTTACTAAAAAAAAAAAAAATGAAATCACTTTGTGACTTAATGTAACATTTAATTCAAATCTTAGCTTAACCCTGAATGAGAAAGATTTTCAAAAAAAGGGAGGAATTTAAATCATTCTTAGTAAGGAAGCAAAGGCATTTAATAAGCAATTTCATTAAACAAAAGACATTTAAGAAAGGTAAATAAGTCTAAAATGCATGAAAAGACTAAGCAACCAATATTTAGATTTTAGAAATTAGAAATTTTAGAAATCCCATCTAGTTTAAGGAAAAAACTAAGAAAGACCTTTTATGAGTGTATCCAACAGAAGGGAATAGGAAAGAATTTAATTTCTCTTTCCCCCTCAAACAGATGGGGAGATGGGGAAGAACAGGAGAGAATCCAGACACCCACACATATAACCAGGCTGAAAAAAGGAAGAGACAAGGCAGCTTCCTTTTAGATATCTTATCTAGTCTGATTATCATTAAGAGAACAAAGATAAAGATGTTTGTGGTCAAAGCCCAGAAAAGAAGGGGGAAGGGAATTATCCTGGAGGTTAGATGACAGTTAGAGGAGAAGAATTAATAGGATCAAATGACTAAATATATGTAAAGCGCTTCTCAAACTTTAAAGTGCTATATAAATGTTAGCTATTGTTAGCTATTGTTATTATTTAGATCAAAAGGATCTTCTCCTGTTTGACCTGCTCATTTTTTAGACAGAAGAAATGACGATGATGTTCTTCAATCTCTAATCCAGTGTCACGGGGAGCCAAGACACTAGATGTCGTTATCCCAAAGATATGGCTCAAACCAGTCCGATTCTTTGTGAACCATACCTGAACAGGAATCTGCCCTAAAATACTCCCAACCAAGAGACCTCACCTCCACCGAAATAGCATCAATGAGAAAGAACCCACTACCTCTGAAGGGCCATTCTATCTTTGGACAAATCTAATTGCTAAGAAATTTTTCTCAGATTGGCCAACAGGACAAAACAGGAAAATGATAAATGTTGGAGAAGATGTGGGAAAATTGGAATACTACTGCATTGTTGGTGGAGTTGTGAAATGATCCAACCATTCTGGAGAGCAATTTGGAACTACGCCCCAAGGGATATAAAAAATGTGCATACCCTTTGACCCAGCAATAGCACTTCTAGAGCTGCATCCCAAAGAGATCACACAAATGGGAAAAGAACCCACATGTACAAAAATATTTATAGCAGCTCTTTCTGTGGTGGCCAAGAATTGGAAATTGAGAGGATGCCCATCAATTGGGGAATGGTTGAATAAGTTGTGGTATATGAATGTAATGGAATACTATTGCGCTATAAGAAATGATGAACAGGCTGACTTCAGAAAAACCTGGAAAGACTTATATGGTCTGATGCTGAGTGAAGTGAGCAGAACCAGGAGAATGTTGTACACAGTAACAGCCATGTTGTGTGATGACTATTATTGAAAAACTTAACCCTTCCTAGCAATACAAGGATCTATGACATCTCCAAAGGCCTCATGATGGAAAATGCTATCCACATCCAAAGAAAGAACTATGGAGTTTGAATGCAGATCGAAGCATACTATTTGCTATTTTTTTTTCTTCTGTTGTGTTTTGTTTCCTCTTTCTGATGGTTCCTCCAATTGATTCTAATTCTTACTTACAACATCACTAATGAGAAAATATGTTTAATAGGAATGTATATGTATAGCCTATATCAGATTGTGCACCGTTTTGAGGAGAGTGGTGGGGAAGAAGGGGGAGAAAAATCTTAAACTCAAAAGCATATGCAAGTGATAGTTGATAAATTAAAATAAATTAATTTAAAAAAAGAAAAGAAAAGAAAAAAAAGGGTGGGGAAAAAACATTTACTTGATAATTTTGTTGTACACTTGAAAGGAACAGCAAGCTGCACATAGTAGATTTTGTAGTTTCATGTACAATCATCTTTTTATTGTACTATGTTATGGAAATGCTTGTTTTATTCAATAAATTAAAAATAAAATAAAAAAATTTTTAAAAAAAATTTTTCTTTACATGGAGCCAAAATCTGCCATCTTGTAACTCTCCTTCCATGGCTCCTAGTTTTGCCTTCTGGGACCAACAGAAGAAGGTCAATCCTGCTTTCATAGAATGGTCTTCAAATACTTGCAAATATCTGTCATATCCCTCCTTCCACCCCCCACTCTGATCCTCCCCAAGTCTTCTCTTTTGAAACCTAAAATTCCCTGGTACCAACAAGTTCTTGAATGACTGAGAGTCTCTTTACCATCCAATCTCTCTCCTTTGGAATATGCAAAGCATATTCAGGGAAGAGGGAGATCAGCTCAGACTGGGCACAACTTAACACTGAAAAATACTAGGAATACTGAGATAAAGTTGAATAGACTGAGTAACAAAGTGGAATTCTAGAAGGCTTTGAATCAAGCCAGGCTAAGGAGCTGAGACATAAGGCACTACACAATAGAAAGCGAATCTTGCTTGATGAACTATTTGAATAAAGAGAGAACAACAATATATATTTTATTGGTTTTAATCTGACCTGAACCTGATTGGCGCTGGTCCTTGCAGAAAAATTAACAAAGAATGGAAAATATCGGTCCCTGTTCAAATGGTGCATGAGTTTATTCTTCACATAGACTGATTTCCCAGTACCTGTTGGACCCACGAAAAGCAGTGGCCTTTATATTTAAAAGGAAAAAATAAGATATAAGTAGGTCAGTCAAAAGGGAAAACACAAGGGAAAGAGACTCATATATTGTCAACAGAAGCACTAAAAAGAAACAGGTACGTGTGGACAATGGAAAGCAAACTGGATCTGGAGACTGAGGAAGTGGGTTGAAATCCTATCTCTGCTACTAGCCATCTGTTTGACCTTGGGCAAGTCAATTCACCAACTGGGCCTCAGTTTCCTCACCCCCCAAAATAAGGGATTTGGACGATAAGATGACCTCCAAGCTCCACATTACCTCTGGAGCTATATCGAGCTATAGTGAGAAAATGCTGCCCCTTCAGAATGATGAGATCTTCAGCGGCCTGTGGGAAATCCTTCGCACCCTGGCTCTGTAGCTTACTATCTCAATTTGTCTTCTCACCTGAAAATGAGGGGCTTAGGCTAAAGCTGAGATTTCCTGAGGTCCATGAACTTTTAAAATGTTTTGATAACTAACTATGTTTCAATATGATTGGCTTATTTTGTAATCCTATGTATTTAACAACATTCTTACAAGAAGGGATCCACAGATTTCACTAGACTGCCCAAGGTCCATGAAACAAAAAGAATCCCTGGACAAAAGGACCTCAAAGTTCCTTCTAGCAATAAAATTCCCAATAAATGAACGACTGTATTTAGAATGTCGGAGGATAAGAGAATGGCTTACTTCTCATAGGTAAGACATAAGTCCATTAAAAAAGTATATCTGATTGTGTCCATCGTAGGGACTATAATTTCCTGAATCTTGGTTTTTTTATCTCCTAAAGAAGAAGATCTAATTAATTCATTCCAGTGGACCCACCGGCCTCGGTTCTTCATCTACCAAAAAAAAATAAAAATTACATATGGTTAAATCCATAGATTTAAAGTAGTTGAAAGATTTTCTTTGTCACTTACTTTTTAAATTACCCTGTTTGCTTTGGTTTATATATATATTTTCTTCTGGATTATTTTACTTTATGACTAAATGAATGCCACATAACTTTTAATAGAGTCCAATGATCAAAGTTAACCCAATTTCTTTCATTTCAGACTCCACTCCTATCATTAGCCTCTTGACCCATCATTTCCAATTTCTTCAAATTCCCTTTTACCAGTACAAACGTTGGGAAGATCAGCTTAATAAGATCCCAAGAAAATATACGCTGAACCTTGAGGAAAGGGAAGGAGGGAGGTTCCAATTTCCATTACTCTGAAAAATGAACTAAGTAGACAGTTGATAAACATTTATTAAACACCGTCTTCTATGTGCTAGGCACTATGCTAAGTGCTGGAAATACGTATTTGAAAAAGATAGTCTTCGCCCGCAAGGAGTTTAAAAGGAATGGAATTGAGCCAATGAAATAAATTCATAAAAACATATCATGTGTACCACAGTTACTTTGAAACTTTGTGTAGGTGTGCCTCACATTACACAATCAGAAAACAGTGGGTTTCAATTAAATTCTCAAACTTCAATCCTACTTCCAATACACAAGGGGTGTTTGCTAAAAAAAAAAAAAAAATCTTGGTGAGTATCTTTCAATGAAGTGAAGAATGACATATGCTTTACATCATATCTAAATTAGGATGTTCATGTCCATACTGGGTTTGCTTAAAACAAGGTATATTTAGATGATCCTACTTAATTTAAGAGTGGAGAAACTGAAATTAAGTAAATTGAGTGGCCTGCCCCATGCCCATTAAAGAGAAGTTCAAATCCCCAGGGCATCCTGTCGTAGAAAGGCATGTAGTAACAGAACCAACCAAAAACCCATTGAGGATACTGCCTTGGGTGAGTGAATACATCAACCAGCCTCCATTTCTCCAGTTGTTACCCCGCAGCAGTGCCCAAATCTAGGTTTCCTGCTTCCTCTTCCCAATACCGGCTTGACCCAGGTAAGAACGGTAGAAAACCCAGCTAATCTCGGTGATCAATTGTACCGGCGCTCCCCTAGCCTCTCATCATGAGTCTTTCTCCTCAATCAAGCTGGCTCACTTTGCTGTCTCTCAGCTGACCGTCTCGATGCCCCCATGCCTCTCTGCCCTGTATTCTGGGATCTCAACCCTCATGAAGCCACTGGCCAAAGCTCTAGGCTCAGGGCCACGGGGTCTCTCCATTGTAGGGCAGCTTCGGCGCCCAACCTCTCACGCAGGTGACGTCATACCTCATAAGTATAGTCATAGACCAGGCCTCTTTCATCAAAGTTGCATTCCCATTTGCCCACTGCAGGTGGTATTGGGTGTTCTTCATTCTTTCCTGTTATAATTTCTCTGATAAAACTATCAAAGACAAGGCGTCCATCCGTGTCACAGGTTCCTCCAACAGACCAAATCAAAGAGAATATAAAGCAGGCCTGTTTTGATAGAAAATAAGATTCACTATTTTCAAAATAAGTTTTTATCAGTATTTTCTGTTCATCAACATCATTATTCCAAGTATTCCTCCCTTCCCCCTCCCCAAGAGCCATCCCCTATGATGAATAATATCTTTCAGAGAGAAAAATAAATCAGTACAACTGACTGATACATTGAGAAAGTCAAAAAATGCTGTGGGTAACCACTGTGGACCTCCCACCCTCCATGATGGGGTAGGTTGTGAGTATCTCAGATCTCTTCAGTTGAGCCCTGCTGGATCTTTCTAATTTTTGTTACATTTACTTTTGATTTGGGGGTATGTAATTGTTCTATCTACATTGTCGTAGTCCATATATATATATTTTTTTTCTTGGTTCTGCTCACTTCACTCTGCATCAGTTCACAGAGATTTTTCCAGGCTTCTCTGTTTTTTCTTGTATGCATCGTTTCTTACAGCACAGTAATATTCCATTACTTTCATTTACCACAATTGTTTAGCCATTCTCCAACTGATAGGCATCTATTCTGTTTCCAGTTGTTAGCAATCACAAAAAGTGCTGCTATAAATGTTTTGGAGTATATGGGAACTTTTTTCTCATCCATGGCTTCCTTGGGGTATAAGCCTAGTAATGGAGTCTCTGGTTCAAAGGTTATGAACATTTTAGTCACTTCATTTGCATAATTACAAATTGCTTTCCAAAAGTTACACCATTTCACACCTCCACCAACAATGCATTAGTGACCCTTCTAACACTGACTGTTGCCATTTGAGAAGATTAAGATTGATCCTGTATCTTTTTCTTACTGATCCTATTTATAATTAATCCATTTTGTCCTATGACTGCTTAAATCATTCTTCTTTTGTCTCTGAACTTAGTTCAAAGTTCAGCAGGCTTATAATGGGTTAAGTTTAAAAATCCAGCCCTCTCGCCTCAAGGAAATTAAGTGACCTGGAGGAATGTGGGTGACCAGAAAGGGAGTCTGGCCCTGATATCTTTACTCCACCGAGCTATCCTTCAAGGATGTCTGGTTTGCTCTCCCAAAGTCTGGGCTGCTATCTGGCACCTGGACTCAGACAATGAGTGCTTCTTAGTCTCATGAGAGAAGAAGGGGTGGGGGAAGTCGTTGTTAGCCCCCATTTCCAAATTCCCAACCAATCATGTTGTTCCCTGTGCCTCAGCACTGTAACCAATCACGATGCTCTTAATCCCATGACGTCATTTACCCTGTTCTGTTTTTGGTTCTCTATTCCCCAAAACCCATAAAAGGGGGGCTGTGCTTTTGCTTGGGGATCAATGGAAGCAATCCATTGACCATTTATCGACAAGTAGCATGCCCCTGCTAATAACTGTTATTTTGTGCAGAGATTTGCCTCAGTTTACCCTTTTGTTAAATTCCAATCATGACACATTTTTTTTTATCATTTTTGCCAATTTGCAGGGTATGGGTTGAAACCTCAGACTTGTTTTGATTTACATTTCTCTTGTTATTACTGATTTGGAGCATTTTTTCACATTGCTGTAAATACTTTGCAATTCTTCCTTTGAGAACTTCATATCCTTTGACCATTTATCTACTGTGGAATATCTATAAGTCTTAGTTATTCATTTATTGTTTATGTTTCTTGGATAACAGAACCGTATCAAAGAAATATGACACAAATATTTTCCCCCTTTCAACCACTTTCTTTTTTATTCTAGATATATTAATACTATCTGTGCAAAAGTGTTTCAAAGTAATCAGTTACCTATTTTATCTTTTATAATTGCCTTAATCTCTGTTTTGGTTAGGAATACATCTCTTACCCATACCTTTTGAGAGGAATATGACGTTTCTCTTCTAATTATTTTCAGTCTGATCTTTAATATTTAGGTCATGCATCCATTTAGAAAGGATTGTGGAGTGTGGTATAAGGTGTTGGTGTAAGCCCAATTTCTGCCAGACTGTTTTCCAGTTTTCTCAGCAGTTTTTGAGCAAATAGGAGGCCTTCCCCTAGGTAATTTACATTTTTCACTTTGTCAAACGCTGAGTTATTGAGGTCTATTGTTTCTGAACCTTCATTGTGTAGTCTATACCACTGATTCATTCTCTCTCTCTCTCTCTCTCTCTCTCTCTCTCCCCCTACCTCCTTCCCTACCTCTCTCCCGCTCTCTCCTTTAAAAAATACCACTTGGTTTTGATGACTGCTGCTTTATAATATAGTCTGAGATCTAGAAGTACTATTCCCCCTTCATTCCTACTTCTTCTCATCATTTCTCTTGACATTCTAGATTTTTTGTTTTTCCAAATGAATTTTACAAGTTAAGTATCCTTTTGCTATTTGATTGGCATAGCATTAAAAGTCTAAATTCATTTTAGTAGTATTGTAATTGTTATTTCATTGGCATGACCTATCCATGAGCACTGAACATTCCTCAAGCTATTTAGGTTGTTCTTTGTTTCTTTAAGGAAGACTTGGTAATCGAATCTTTATAAATCTTTTGTGTGCTTTGGGAGGTTGGTCCCCATATATTTTACAAATTTTGTAGTTTTTTGGAATGAGATTTCCCTTTCTATTATTTTGCTTCCTGTGTTTTTAACATAAAATACACACATGTATTTTGTTATTACATGAAAATGCTGTTCATTCTTGAGGATTTATTGTGTAGTCTGCAACTTTGCTGAAGCGCTATTTATTTTTAAGGGAAAAAAAAAACACCCAGGAAATAATACTTAAACGCATGGTCACTCAACTGGGGAGTAAATATCATGTTTACCCAACCAAGTATAATGGAGGAGGATTCCCTAGATTAAAAGCTAAACCACTTTAGAATTCTACAAAAAGTGTGATTTCTTGGGCTGCCTCTGGAGCCCAGTTCCCCTTCTTTGGAGGTTTTCTAGAAAAAGCTGGACAACCAGTTTGATCAATCAACAAGCGTCTCTCAGTCGCTCACTACATGGCAGACGTTGTGCTAAGGACCGAGGACAAAACAGGCAACAACAGTCCTGCTCTCCAGGACCAGAGTGCTTTGTGTGGCACTTAATGTTTGTTGAGTGACTGGTAGTCTAATGGGGGAATATCACTTTTCAGGAACGCTGTGGCGGGGATCCTGTGTCAGATACGGATTAATCTCTTGCGGTCCCTTCCAGCTCTAAAATTCTACAATTCTCTGATTCTGCGTTGGGTATCTTCATGTTTCACCCAAACATCTCTAAATTCGACAGGTTAGGTTAGGTTAGGTATGGTCAATCAACGAGTCAATAGGCATTTATTAAGCACCTACTATGTGCTGAGCATCATACCAGACACTGGGGATTCAAAGACTCAAAAGAAGTTGTCTTTACCCTCAAAGAGCCAACATTCTATGGGCAAGAGCTTTGTCTTCCATCAAACAAGTGAACATCCCAATGTTAACACTGCCAATGACAAACATGGAAAGGATGCCTTGATTTTTTTTTGAAAGGCTACACCATGAGAAGAGAAAACATGTTCAGACTATGTGAGGCAGGGTGATGGGGTCAGGGTGATTGAACACAGAGAAAAATTCTTTAAAATCATGTTCGTGGTACATCTCGCTCTGTTATGGCCTGGTCACCTCCTCTGAAGGGGACTGTGCATTCAGCAGAGGTCAGCCTAGCAGTCCCTCTGCGACCTTCTTGGCTTCTCAAAGGCCAGGCCAGTGAGGTTCAGGGTGCGAGAAGTCATGCTGCCCTTACCATGTTCCAAGATCACACCAGATTTATTTAATTTTTTTTGGCAGGGAAAAGACTGAATTTCATTCGTGGGGAAGGGAAAAGCCCAGCCTAGCAGTGAGACTTTACTCAGAGCTTTTCCAGCACAGTGGGAGATGATCACAGTAGTTTATATGTGTCCTGACCAGGTCAAAGAAGCATAATCACCTCCTTATTCCTGGAAGCTATGTCTCTGTTAATGCTGTACAAAACTGCATTCAGGGTTTTTTGGGTGCAATTGCATGACCCTACTGACTCCTAAAGAGCTTGCAATCCACTCAAACCCCCAGATCTTCTTCAGACAAACTGCTGTCTAACCATGCTTCCCTCCTCCCCCATCATGTAACTGTAAACTTGATTTTTTTTTAACCCAAACGTAGCTGGCACATGGTGAGCATCTAATAAATGTTTGTTGACTGACTGTGGCCTACCCTGCTCTGTCTTTATTGCCATTCTTTGCTCCACTGATCTTTAGTATGATAAGTTCACCTTGACCCTAAATTACATCGCCACTTCCCTTCCCCTGCCAAATCTCTGCCCACCACTGCTAATTGTTAGACAGGGAGAATACCTGGTCTAAGATACAATCAGCTTGGTGTCTACAAGGAACAGGTGAATATGTGGCACTTGAAACCTCTAAGACAAGATGCTCCAGTCCCCCAAGTGTTTAGCTCATGGCCCCAGTAGGATTCACTCAAACACAACCAGGGGCAGCCTGCCCTCATCCTATTTCGAACAGATTCACTGAACCTACCACAAGTATTGCCAAAATCACAGCTTTTCAATCACACTCTCGCTAATAAATAATAGCCAGCATGGATAGAACCACGTTAAGGTTTGCAAAGGGTTTTATCTGTATTATCTAATCAGTCCTTCCATAGCCCCAGTGAGACAGGATTATAATCATCCTCCTGTTACATGCAGAAGCCCTTGGTATCACCAAAGAGTTTAATAAAGACATGCTGGCCTTCTCTTTAAACATCAGGGCAAGTGGTTGCAGGTTCATTTTTGTCCTTCTCTTCCCTGCCCCCTGCTATTTTGGAGCACTAGCTATGCTGAATACCCACAGAATATAATATTTACATGATAATATTTGAAAGGAATGGCAAGTTGTGCATAGTAGATTTGCGGTTTCATCTGTAATCATCTTTTTTTTAATTGTACTATGTTATGAATGCTTGTTTTACTCTATAAATTAAAAATAAAATAAATTTTAAAAAAAATTTTAATAAGCTCAGAGTTCCCTGACTCAGTGAAAATTTAATACTCAGTTCTCAAGCTGGCTCCATGGTACAAATCCCATCTCTGAGACTTACTACTGACTGAGTTTGAGTGAATCCTACAGGGGCCATCAACTAAACTCTTGGAGGACTGAAGCATCTTGTCTTAGAGCTTTCAAGTGTCATATATTTACCTGTTCCTTTCAGACAACAAGCTTATTGTATCTTAGACAAGTCACCTCCCTGGACCTCAGTTTTCTCATCTATAAAATGAGAGGGTTACTAAGTAGTTTCTGAAGTCCTTTTTCACTCTCCTTCTAGCATCCTATGATCCTGCTTGCTAAGGTCACCTATAATAATCTTCTCTTGCCCAGACCTTCTTACACTACCAGACTTGGCTACTTACCTACCGAGCCCTTGTACCTGCCGAACCTTGCCGGGCTAACTGGACTTCCAATCCTGTCCCCACTCTGACTAGCTTATTCCAATGCTCCCAACCCTCTGGCAGGCCAACGGGCCAGCTCTCTCACCTCTTCAACCACTTCCCTTTGTGCTCGCCAGAAAAGAGAGGCTCTGAAGCCAAAGACCTCTGCTGTTACTCATCAGACTCAAAATGACTGTGAGAAAGAAAAAACTTCTTAAGCTGCCAAAAATAGAGCAAAAGGACCAAACAGCATCTGACCACATTCCTCCCCAAAAGAGATGAGAGAAGTAGGGGTTCAACATAGATAAACGTCAAAACCATGGGCTTTGAGCCTAGACTCCGTTTCCCAGCAAACCTGGGCATTCTTGCTGAAGTGAAAAAGAGGATCTTTTTTTTTTTTATTAAAAGACCTTAATCTAAGTATGTGATCTTTGGTGAAAAGCCCACACCTGAAAAAATTCCTTAATCACTTACTGGTTATTTCTTCCCAGAGCCTCCGACTTAGGAAGGGCCCCAGACCGGTCATCCCTCATTCTCTGGACTTAGATCACCATGCACCAATCCGGCAGCCCCTTTTCCCCTTGGCGAGTTCTTCCTGGAGCCTCTATTTTGGGGAGGGGCCTCAGAGCAGCCGTCACTCATTCTCCAGCCTTGGCCACCATGGATCTGTCCAGGCGCCTCCCCCCACCCCTGCTTCCCAAATCCCCTTTTATGTAATGTTTTCCCTATTAGAAGGTAAGCTCCTTGCGGGGAGGGACTGTATTTCTGTTTGCTTGTATTTGAATCCCCACTGCTTAGCACGATGCCTGGCATGCAGTAAGTGGATAAAAAAAATGCTTATTGATTGATTAATCTCGAGAACCAGAGGGGCATAATGGATAGAGAACTGGCCTCAGAGTCCTGAGGACCTCTGTTCAGGACCCAATTCTGACCCATCCTGGCTGGGAGACCCTGGGTAAGTCTGCCCCAGACAACTTGCTAAGATTATAAGTGACCAGAGGGCAGTGGACAATCCAGCGAGTCCATCCAATACCTCTCCAACTAGGAACTCAATCGCTATTGGATGATACCAAAGAATTCAGGGTCCCAAACTCTGTAAGTTCCTTTACCAACCAACCAATAAACATGTCTTATTATTATTATCATTATTGTAAGTGCCAGGCACTGAGGGGGTACAAAAAGAAGCAAAAGACAACAAGAGCTTATTAATTATCCATTCCGGGCCCAAAGACAAATGAAATAATCCCTGCTCTCAATCAGCCTACATTCGATCGGGGATGGCGGCATGGAAAATGGAGGAGAAGAGGGGAACAACGTATAAGGAAAGACAGATTGGGACCACACTGGGACAAGCTCTCAAGCCAGAGAACAAGAGGGCCTCTCATTAGACGGGTTGGGACAGGAGAGACCAGGGAAAAGGGGAAGCAGGAAGGAAAACTAACCATGATCCAAACACGGATGTGTTTACTGTTCGGGTCTTCGGCTGCCACGTTACAGAGCAAGACCTCAAAGAGGCGAGTGAGAGAGACGACCACGTTGCTGTTGCTCGTGGGAATCAGCTCCTGCAGAGCCACAAAGGTCAGTCAAGACTTGCCCATCCAGGGAGGTCACGAAGAATTAGTCGTTCAATAGAAAACTCTGGAAGCTGAGGGAGCAGCTGTTGACTTTCATTCACTCACTGGCTCAAATGACTCAATGACCCGTCGGCTCCCATCCAGCTAGGACCTATGAACTTGTGGAGTCTAAGAACTAAGGACTGTGAGAGACAGAATTGGGGAGGGAGAGGATTCACTCCTGGCCCCAAGCTCACCTGGAATCAACCAGTCCAAGGGGCACCTTCTATCTTCCACCTTCCTTCTGAGACACTGTCAGAACAGGAAGCATGCGAAAACTGCCGGAGCCAGGAAAACCTGAGTTTGAATCTCTCACACCCGTATTAGCTGCGTGACCCTGGACAAGTCATTTAACCTCTGTCTGCCTCAGTTTCTTCACCTTTAAACTGGGGATAACAACATCACCTACCTCACAAGGTTGTTGTGAGGATCAAATGAAATAATACCTAAGAGATAATGTTTGTAAAATACTTTGTAACCCTTAGTTCACTGCCTCACTATCATTATTATCATTCAAGTAGAATAATAATCATAATAAATAACAGCATTTCTATAGCACTTTAAGGTTTGAAAGCCCTTTACAATCATTATCTCATTTTACCTTCACAACAACCCTGGGAGGTAGGTGCTATTATTATCCCTTTTTTACAGGTGAGGAAACTGAGGAAGACAGAGTATAAGTGTCTTGCCCAGCGTCACATAGCAAGTGTGTGTCTGAGGCTGGATTTGAACTCAAGTCACTCTGACTCAAGGTCCAGCCCTAGTCATGATTTTGCCAGTGTGGGAACTCCCTCTACCTCAGTACAGTACAACCCCTGCAAACCCTCAGCTGGGGGCAACCCTACCTTAAATTGCTGATTTGTAACTTGAGGGACCCTTTGTATATACTCATTCCTTTTATTAGTTTCGCCTGAGTTATGAGAAGTCACAGTCCAATGAAAAATGGCCTCTTGGGTCTGAACAGAGCAAACATTTTCAAACTTGGCCAAAGTGTTGTTTTGTTTTGCTAGACTGGGAGGGCTCTATCTGTGATTGGGGAAGGGGGAAGGGGGGGACAGGAGCCACTGGGAAGTGATAACAATGTAAAAGAAAAGGAAACAGGGCCACTAAACCTCGGCTTCTAACTCAACGGACCTTGAATTTTTTCTGACGAATCCGCAGGGCCGAGGGTGTCAACCAATCAAAGAGTTCTTGCAATAGATCCTGGTATTCCTTTCTGTCCAGAGGCTCCTTCAGGGTGTGCAACCAAGAGGTGACCAGCGGCTGCCAGCCTAGTTGGAGGGGTTCCATGTAGATCATACCACAGCGACTGACAGTGGCAGGCTAAAGAGAACAAGGCAAGTTTACTTTTCAAAGATGGCCCTTTTCACAGCAAAGGTGACAAAAAAGGTGGAGAGGCATGCTAATGCATTGTTGGTGGAACTGGGAATTGGTCCAGCCTTTCTGAAAAGCAATGGGCGGGGGGAGGGGCGGGCAGCTAAGTAGCGCAGTGGATAGAGCACCAGCCCTGAATTCAGGAAGAGCTGAGTTCAAATCCGGCCTCAGACACATAACACTTACTAGCTGTGTGACCCTGGGCAAGTCACGTAACCCCCATTGCCCAACAACAATAACAACAAGAAAAAGACAAGTGAAATGCAATGTGGAAGGGTGTTCAGAAAGTTACCAAACTGTGTGCACCCTGTGACCAACTGATACCTCTACAAGGCCCACACCCCCCATACCCCCAACAGACCGAAGAAAGAAGAAAAGGCCCCATCCATGTGCACAAGATTATTGATAGCAGCTCTCTGTGTTGTCCCAAAGAACAGGAAACGAAGGGAGTGCACATCAGCTGGGAAATGGGTACATGAATGTAACAGAACATTATTGCACCAAAAGAAATTACTAAATCGATGATTTCAGAAAAACCTGAGAAGACCTGAATGAATGGATGGAGAGTAAAGGGAGCAGAAGCAGGAGAACAATTTCTCCAATAACAACAGAAAAGGGAAACCGACTTTGGAGGACGCGAGAACTCGGACCAAAACAATGACCAGCGATGATTCCGAGGACCAATGACGAAGCTGCCAGAGGCGGAAACGGTCAACGTGGGAATTTGTGGCGCTCGTCTATGCGCGTTGGTTACGAGGGGGTTGTTTCCTTTTTTCTTTTTTCAAATGGAAGTGGGTGGGAGGGGGAGAAGGGGCATTTTTTAAATGCAGAGAAGAGAATAGAATGAAGGCCAGAAAGTATCACAGCAGGCCAGCTTTGACAGCTACAGGCTGGACTTCTTATATATTTTTATATTATATATTACATATATTACACACAGCGGAATTTTACAGGTCTGTGAACAAGCTTCCCTTTTCCATTCTACTGTGTATTTAGAAATGCCTGTTTAACTTGGCGTTAAGTTCAGAACTTTTCTTTTAATCTGTCTACCATAAAAAAAAAAAAGTGTTCCTTCGGCAATAAAAATTCCTGGCCATCCTCAACTCCCCCAGGTACAGCTGCCGCCTTACCGAGGCCTGGGAAAGGTCCATGGCTTCAAAGATGAGGCTCATCTGAGCAGACATCTGAATGATCTCCCCACTCATCAGGCAAAGCTGAATACAAAGATTTCAAGAAGGACAATTAGGAAAATCCAATCCCCACCATAGGCATCAGCTAAGAGCCTGCTCCAGGTAGAAAACAGTGCACCTAGACCAGCTAGGTTTGTTTTCATTTCCTAAAGGTGCCAAGGCTCAGGGCAGCGAAAAAGGGCCAGGATCTGGAGGCTGAAGACCTGCGTTGGAATTCTTCCTCTGCTGCCCAATACCAGTGTGAGCCTAGGTGAATCACCGGAGCCCTCTCCGGGCCTCTGTAAAATCAGGGGTTGCAGCAGATGACCTCTGAGGCCCCTGCCAAGCTCTAATCCATGATTCCCACTTTCTAATGCTGTAAATTAGCAATCATGGCCCTTTCCACACCAGCCCTGCCACAAGCCTCCTCTTCTCCTGGTGAATCATTCAAGGCCTTTTGGCCCTGTGCCATCCCATGACACCTGAGCTCTAGACCATCACCACCTTGTTTGGCCTCCAGTTTGTTAATGCTTCTCTTTAAAAGTCCCCCAGAACTAACTGCATCATAGCGCAGCTGTGCAAATTACCCACTTAGGACAAATGGACAGAAGGTACACGAAGGTATTTTTCAGCTCAACATAAGGAAAAATTAGGTGACACAGTGGATAGACTGGTCTTGGCCACCTGAGTTCAAAATCCCAATTCAGACACTTACTAGCTGTGTGACACTGGGCAGGTCACTTGCCTGTGCCTCAGTTTCTTCACTTGCCAAATGGGAAATAATAATAGCACCTGTCTCCCAGGGTTGTTGTGAGGATCAAATAAGATAATATTACGTGAAGCACTTTGCAAACGTCAAAAAGTCATATAAATATTAGCTGTTGTCATCACCATCATTACAACTCGAGGTTCCAAAAAGGGAGCAAGCTGATGAGCTGCCCCTCCCTGGAGGCTGATGATGACATGGGTTTGGCCCAGACCAGGCGGCCTCTCTGATGCAGCCTCCTTCAGGCGGGGTGGCGTCACCTCTGCTCTTCTCTCCTGTCCTCCTCATCCACGTTCCCTCACTAGGGCTTCCTGTCCAGCCCCGCTGAAGGACCAGATTAGGTCCAAAGAGCCCCTCCAGTGCTCAAGGATCCCATGATCCTCAGTCACTTAACCTCACTAGGGCCTCAGTTTCTCCATTTGTAAAAAAAACAAAACAAAAGGAGACTGGACTAGCTGGTCTCTCAGGTCCCTGCCACCTCTGCATCTGACACTCCCCAATAATCCCAAGACACGCCACCCTAATTTCTAATCAACACATTCAAATGTTCTGTATAGGAATGTATTTCTATATTTAAGAAAATGTACTTAGAGCATCACTCTTACAATCCTTAATCCATATGACAGTCATTTCCTTTCCATTAGTTTTGAGCTAGTTGAATGTTGGGCTACCCAGAGAGCCCTGTGTTTGAGTCTGGGCACTACAGCTGTAGAAGGAGACACTGAAAAGCTGTAGCAGGTTCAGATAAAGGAGGTGGGCGAGGGAGGAGAGATTACAGTGGTGAAGGGCCTAATAAAATGCCGTTCAAGGATCAGCTGAAGAAATGGGGGCTGCTCCATCTAAGAAGACCCAGGGAGACATAATGGCCATCACCAAGCACTGGAAGGGTTGCCAAGCGCAACAGGGCTTAGACTTTGTCTGTCGGTCCCCAGAGGGAGGGACGACGACTCATGGATGGAAGTTACTGGGAGTCAAAGTTTAGGTCAATACAGGGTAGCCTAAAAGTCCTGTTGAAATTTTAAACTATTAGAGTTCATCACAAAATAACAAACCACTAGCACTGTCCCACAGAGACCGAAAGTGGAATGGCTCTGTAGCGAGAGGCCCGGGGTTTAAATCCCATCTCTGATGCTTGTTCCCTGAGTGACCTTGGGCAAGTCACCTATCTGGTCCTCAGTCTCCTCATCTGGACAAGATGACCTCAGAGATCCCTACTGGAGGAGGCTACCTTACAGTCGTGAGTTACCCATCCCTGGCAATCTTTAAGAAGGAGATAAGGTAGAGACGCAGATATCATGTAGAGATGACCTCTGAGATCCCTTCCATGTGCTAATTCACAGAGAGTAACTAGACTAAGCAATTCTGCAGTTTCTTTACTTTTTCTAATATATTTTTTAATTCCAAATTCTACTTTCACTGCAGATCATTTACCTTTTTGTTGTCATCCAATACTGTGTTCATGCTTTCAATCCACAACGTATCAATGGGCCCATCAAAGACCACCCATTTGCGGTCCGGGGTCTCTGACAGGGCAAATTCTCTAAAGGTATTGGCAACAATACCATCTGTCCACTACGAAAGATGAAGAAATAAAAGAGTTGAGAAGCTCCATTTTAAAAAAAGGAAATTCAGGACCCTGGAATGCTAGGCTGATGCTCAGTGGAGGGTTTCTGGAGACAACAGAAATAAAAAGGGCACAGCCAAAAGGCTGTTTAAGTGTAACATGAAGAAACAGCCATAAAAATTGGAAACTTGAACAGAGCTGGGCTTGTATCAATAAGGTAGGTCGGCATTAGCTAATCAAGGAAGAGATGTCTCTCCTAAAAATGCATACAATGAGAAAATATACACAGAATTGTGCTCTCCCCCCGCCCCAAAAATGTGATAGAACTGGAAATTTCTTGTTCTAGGCTTAAATGAAGGATAGGTGAGGAGAGGGTTGTTTAAACTTGGTTCATTTTTAGTTGATGACATTTTTTATGGGAGGTTGAGGTTTTTAATTCCCTAATCCCATAATTTCTTTGGGGGTGGGGCAGAACAAAGAAGGCCTGGAGCTGGAGGAACAGAAAGACATGGAACCAAGATCCAGGGAAATAAAAAGCTGGACTTTGCCCTCTGGTGAAGACCCAGCAGAGAAAGGCGTTATAAAAGTTGCTCGTTTCCCTACCTCATGAGACACGGGATCAAACTGGCCAAAAAGCTGGCCCATCGTGATCGACTTGGGGTTCACCGTCCTGTGAATGACCTTCTCTTCCTCTCCATATGAACGCTCGTTCATAAGCGTCAGCGTGTCAGCCAACACATGCAGAACCTTCGTCTTCCCCGCATAAGGTTCCCCAACAAGCATGAACCTTTTGGACAATTATTACACAATAAGGTTTGGAAGGGGTAGCAATGAGAACTGAATTTGGTACAAAGAACTCTCTACAGGGCTCACTCATCCATCCTGTAGTGTAGAAACAATTCCTTTAGATGTACTAGAAAAGATGATATTGGTACACAAAGAAAGAACAGCCCAAACCAGCTCACGATATATGAAAATGGACAAGCAAGTCTCTTCTTGAATTTTGATTGGTTCTGATTCCTTGGTTCCTCTTTCTAGATGAAATTAGCCAAGATGAACGTGTCCTCTTTATCTTTAATTATGATCTAAAATCTCCATGTTCACAAAATGAAGAGGACAAGGATGAAGAGGACAGACTCCTCCTGGCTAATTTCAGTTGGAAATAGGAATGAAGTAACAAGAAGCAATCAGAATTCAAGAACAGCCCAGCTGGGGGCAGCTAGGTGGTGCAGCGGATATAGCTCTGTCCTTGGAGTCAGGAGGACCTGAGTTCAAATCCAGCCTCAGACTTAACACTTACGAGCTGTGTGACCTGGGGCAAATCACTTAACCCCAATGATCCATTGCCTCACCAAAAAGCAAGGAAGCAAGCAAGCAAGCAAATAAATAAATAAATAAATAAATAAAAGAATAGTCCAGCTGGACCACAGTCAGGAGATCTTAACCACTTTTGTGTTCATGGACCCCAGGTTTAGAAACCATCGGCAGGTTTAGGTGATTCTCCTTTCCTTGTGTACTAATTTTTACCTATTCTAGCACATCAAAGACATTAGATTGTGAGATCCTTGAAGCTAAGGACAGTCTTTTACCTCTTTTTGTATCTCCAGTGCTTAACACAACATCTAGCACATAGTAGGCACTTAATAAATGTTGACTGATTGATTCTATTTACACCATAGGATGGATCAATGAGCCCCGTAGGGTCATGAAAAGGAGGAAATATCGACTCTCCTTCCCCTAATTCTCTGCTTTAAATTGAACTTATCCCCGCTGCAGAGGGAAAAGTGCTCTTCTACTTACTGACAGCTGGCTAATGACTTTTTGAAGAGTTCCCCAATGACCCAGTCCCAGCTAAAGTCATGCCTTGTCTACAACTAGGGAATCATAGATCTAAAAACCCTTCAGGATTAAAGACAGGGGAGAGAGGATCCTCCATCTGAGCCTTACACTGGCCCAATGTCTAACTCCCCACATAATCAGTAGCCAGGAGGAGGCTGGAGAACGCGCTCCACTCTCTTGCTCATCCCATTGCTTCAATCTCCCCATGGCTGAGAGGAAGCACCTACCTATGGAATGACATAGCAACTGAGAAGACAAAATGATCTTACCCATGTCTGACAATCATCATTTCATATGTCTGAATCATTTTATCGAGAAATACTTTAACAGGCTGAAGATTGTGCGCCCTGCAGCACTCATAAGCACATTCCAGAAAATCCTGAATTAAAACAAAAACAAGAAAAGCTGCTTTCCAACGGAACAGGAGGAAGAGGTCCTTAACCAATGCGTATTAATTTTAATTGCGGTATCATAAAACGTTTCTCCTTCTTGAAAGTAAACTTGTTTAATTGGTGACTTGTTTCTATATATAAAAACTATGGAAACAATTTTCAAACACACCATAAATGGCAGTATCAGCATATTTCTAAAACAATTTAATTCAATGTTTAAGCACCGCCTGTGTGAGCAGAGCATGGCGTTAGGCACTGGAGAAGGTGTAAAGGTTAGACAGCCCACCATCCCTTGTTTTGTAAATATACACCCCATCATGCATCATAAATTGCAATAGTGGCAGCTTTGGATATTACAATAATGTTCATTACCATTACCAATTTGCCTTATTTTTAGCTTGAACTGTTGCATTTATCCTATTTGTAGATCCGTAACTAGAAATACAGTCGCATGAGGTGGTAAAAAAAAAAAATAAAAATATACATACACAGCAATCGGATGAGATAATATCAGCCACAGGGGGGAAGGGAGCACTGCATGCAGTACAGAGGACAGTCTGAGCCCTGGTTCAGTCATGCAAAGAGAGGGAGAGTTGACCTGTCACTAAACCCATCAAGAGTGGGATGAAAGTGAGTTCTGGGGATAAGGACCACCTTCTTCTTGCCTCTCACAGGGGAGAGAGTCAATATGCTCCCAACTCGCAGTACATTTTCATCAAGAGGCACTCTACTTTGGAGATGGTTTTGCCCACAGTGATCCGGGCTAGCAGAAAACAGCAGTTACCGTGGGGAAGACGTGTGTCCCCATATGTTAGGGGCCTGGGACAAAGCCCCATTCCCCCAATACTAGCGATGGCTCTGATGACTGAGTGTTACAATTCATGTAGGGAAACAAAATGTTCTTTTCCTCACATGAGACATTTTCTGTGGCTTGAATCCCATCCCCCCTAGTACCAAACTCTGGAAAGCACAGAAATTAATTTAATCTGCCTTTATGAAAGTTCCTTAACTCAGTCCCTCATCCTACAACCAGAAGCAACTTACTTTTTTAATTAAGTTGAATGAATTAATTCCTCAATGAGACGACTGTTAGAAAAAAAAAAAAAAGCTGCCTAACAAACATACTTACATTATAATCAGCTTCTGGGAGCTTGACACCAGGAAACAGGTCACTTGTTATCCCATTAAACAAGGGTATGTCATGAGACAGAAACTTAGGTTCATTCACATCCTGTATCGATCGAAGAAGCTGAAAGTGCCAAGCACAGAAAGCTGATTACGCAGAGTGCGCTATAATCCCCATAAAGCCCACGCAGGTCAAGATGAATGTGCAACACCTTTCTGTGAGAGCAAAAGAACTGGGGACAGGGCGAGTGCCCACAGCTTGGGAGAGGGGCGAAGCCACGGTGATCTATCGATGTGGTGGAATATTACTGTGCCATAATAAGTAAGGACTGTGAGGAATTCAGAGAAACACAGGAAGACTTGGGTGAACTAATACAGAGTGAAGTTGGAAGAACTGAAACATCTATCTACTTGACACCTACAGTCATATAAATGAAAACAAAACCCAAAAAAACAGCTAAACCCAGACGAACTGCAGTGACTAATATTTGCCCCAAAGAAAAGAAGGTGAAATACACTTCCCTCTTATCAAAAGAAAGATGGAGTACTCTGCATACAGAGATAATTATACATCCATAGAAAAAGTCCCTTTGTCAGTAACTGTTCTTTTGTGTTACAAAGGAAGGTTTGGTGAGGATGATGGATAATGTTTTTTAAAAGGCATCAAAGAAACATAGATTTAAAAATAAAATAAAACTCTTAACAAAATTCTAATAACATATAAACTATCTTAAAAGTTTATGTAGAAGGTAAAGTAGTATATTGGTACATAAGGTCTTTCTTATAAATTATCATTACTGTAATGAAATTATCATAATAAATTTACCACAATGAAATTACCATAAGTGAAATTGCCAATACCATGCCAATACCATTACCATAAATTTCAATACCATAACAAAAAGGGAATTATGCAGATGATTACTTTATTTCAGAGTTATAATAAGGAATTTCTGTAACCAAAGAATGTGCTACAAATTCTGCACAGTCAAGCATAGGAGCAATGACGCTAGGTGGGCTGGGGGAGCAGCTCACCCCAGCCCATCACCTGGTAGCTGCTTACTTTAACTAAATATTCTTACCAACTAGGGCACCGATGGGCAACATGGCATGGGAGAGAGAGGGCTGGCTTCAGAGTCAGGACAATCTGAGATCAGCTCCTGCCTCTGACATACCCTGGCTGTGTGACCCTAGGTAAGTCACAAGCCTTCCAATTACAGACAGGGAAGGCTTCCTGTAGAAGGGAGGATTTTAGTTGGGGCTAAAAATCAATTCATATAAGTAGAAGACATTTCTACACTGGAATTTCCCCATATTGGTGAAACCATAGGCAGGGGCTCATCTCTGATCTTCACTCTCCAAAGAACTATAAACCCTACCAGAGGTGTCTAAATTTGACCTTCAGGGACAAAGTCCCAATTGCCTCACCCTAGTTACACCTCATCCTTTTTCCTCCCCTCCCATCAAAGTCCCCACAGGAGCAGAGCTAGATCCCCGTCCCAACTGAGGAATAATCTCATGTGTCCTTACAAGGACATCTTCATTTTCATTTGGAAATTTCAGCTTGAGATTCCCAGCCGCCACCAGCACCGCTTTGACAGCTCGCATGCCATAGTCATAATGAAACTGGGATGAAAGCTGTTCCGAGCACAGCCTGTAGGTCATCACAATCTTCACTGACAGAGGTTTGGCATTTAGAAACCCGTAGGAGTAGAGAGAGATTTCCGCAATGAGGGCATAGTTGGGCACCATCATGGCCACCGTCCGGAAGAGAACCTACCGCACCGTCAGAGAGAAGATAGTTTGATTTATTGCTAAAGACAGAAACAACAACAAAAAAATTGTAGATTACCAACAACATGTCTATTCACCACCCCGAGGCAGCTCTACCAAGGTTCACCCTTCCTCATCAAAAGGGAAGAGGAAGACTGATCACTGTTCTCAGGTCACCTGGTAAACAGTCTAAGAATTTAAACAAATAGCTCTCTAACAAAAGCAATTTCAACACAGCAAAAGTAAAGACGGATTATAGGTACACGCCACTGGATTTGTCAAATGTCACTGATTCCGGTTTCTCTCTGAATGGAAACTATGAAATGACTAGAATCCACAAGCAACATCTACATAGACCCAACCCACAATGTGCTGGTAGTGATATAGTGAACAAATGAGTCCTGCCCACTTCCTTTACAGAAAAAGGAGAGTTTGCAGAAAGGACATCCTTCAGGAGCCCAGACTTAATGATCCATCCATTGGTCAATAAGTATTTATTAATATTAACAAAAGCCAGGATTAGCAGGCATGAGTGAGCTGTAATCAGCACCATAAGAAAACCTCCTTCATCAACAAGATAAATGATCACAGATTTACTGGAATATCTAATTCTACCTCACCGAGAGCAAAACAGACAAAAAAAGAGGTTTCAAACAAATGAGAGAAAATTACAAAAGTTCTAATAGAGTTGGTTATAAAGAAATAGTCACTGGGAGGTGGAGTGGCATAATACAAGATGTGCTGAATGTTGTGTCAAGCAAGACCTGGGTTCACATCCTGCCTCTGACAATAAATTGTGACTTTAGACAAGTCACTTTTCTCTGCTTAGTTCTCTCATCTATAAAATGGGGATAATAATACCTGGGATAATCCTCCCCAGGCTGTGGGGAAGATCAGTCTAGACAATCTATGAAAAGTGCCTTGCAAACTTTCAATCGTTGTATCAACACTCAATGCTTATTATTATCATTCTCTTTTTTTTTTTATGGAGTTCAGCTAGAAAGGGTCCTCCTGGGAAAACCCCACCATTTATCATTCTTTTCATTCCATTTTCAGTGAACTTCTGCCCCAGTGGACAAGTTATTTTTATCATCTGTTATTCATTATCATTTTGTTCTCATCTTTGCCTTCTCATTGCCTGTTTCTGGGGGAAGAATTCAGAATTTTTTTTAAACCTTACCTTGAGGTTGTCTGGCAGTTCAGAGCGCCCAGCATAGCCAGGATTCATGGTAATTGCTACAAAACAGTTGGGATTGAGCTTCAACTCTGTCCCCTCAAAATTAAACACCTCCAGTTTCAACTGGATGGCTCTCTGGATGCAAAGGATCTGCTGAGCAACCACAGACAAGACTTCCAGCTCAATTCGATTAAATTCATCAAAACACGCCCACGCACCAGAAGAGGCCAAACCTTTAAAAAACTAGAGATGAGAGAAAAACATGGTTGTTTTCTGGTAGATGAACCGTGGAGTCACAGAACCTCACAGCTGATAGGGAGATGTTGGCGGCCATCTAATCTAACCCATAGCTGACCCAGAGTCTCTCTACAACATCCCACGCCAAGTGGTCAGCCACCCCACACTTCAAGAGGAAGAGCCCCCCAAAGGGGCACCCCCACCACTCTCTGAGTCAGCCCATTCCATCCTTGGGCAGCTCCAATCAGGAAAAGCTCTGCCACTTAAACTTGCTTAAAATTGACAATTAGTTCACATAAAAGGGTCAAAGGATGGAAGCTGTATCTGTATAGCTACACAAAGATTAGCAAGATAGTATCATTCTCAAACAAGACTGAGCCATCCACATAGATGGGCCACTGTGCCATGACTTAACCATCGTCTGACGTTGATTACCTTTCCCATGGCCAAGTAGTCTAAGCCGTCGGAGCAGTTGAAGACAACGCACTGGACAGCCAAGGCTTTGGCCAAGTCCTTAGTAGTTTCAGTTTTTCCTGTGCCCGCTGGGCCCTCAGGAGCTCCACCAAGATTTAAATAAAAGGCTCCTATCTGGAAAAAGCAAACACTTTATTCAAAGTGAATTAATTACTTATTATTAAAATATTCCCATGCTTAATATAAAACATGATCATTGGCAATCTGTTTATAAAAGCATCATGGCAGTCATGACCGTCCTCATCCAACACTGCTGGGAGGCTTGTGACAGTGTATGCTGTCAGCTCCCACGTGAAGATTCTGGGAGAGTTTACACGATCAATACTAGATGAGTCATTAGCTTGCATAAGATTATGAGGCTCTAGGTTGAAAACCTCAGAATGTGCAAACAACTCAGCGCATGCCAGTAATCAGGCACTAGGCATTTGATAAGCACCTTGCATGGGACAGGTACTGTGTTAAGCAAGGAAAATGCAAAAACAAAAAACAAAAAATACCAAAAAACCAGTCTCTACCCACAAGGAGCTAACATTCTAAAAGCAACCTTCTCTACTAAGAAATTCAAAGACCTTTGTCTGTAGAATATAAACTCTGGGACTACAACTACCCATCAAAGAGTGAACCCAGGTGTCCAGCAGATTGACCTATGTAGCAAAGTCTAGGTACCTTGTGAAATATGTCCAATGACCATACGACCTGTGGGGCCGTTAGGTGGTGCAGTGGATGGAGAGCCAGGCCTGGAGTCAGGAAGACCTGAGTTGAAATCCAGGCTCAGACACGTATTAGTTGCGTGACCCTGGACGAGTCATTTAACCCTGTTTGCCTCAGTTTCCTCATCTATAAAATGAGCCAGAGAAGAAAATTGCAAACCCCCCCCCCAGTATCTGCCCAAAAAACCCCAAATGGGGTGACGAAGAGTCGGACACGACTATACAACAGCAAACAAATGACCTGCCCAGATCGGTCTGGCAGCCAGGCAGCAGTCATCCAGTTGGCCCAGGCCAGCAGCCAAGGGATAAGCCCCATCTAGGCAGGCAGCTGCCAGGACAAGTGACCCGGCAATCTGTTCAGTACAACCTCAGAGTAGCCAAGCAGCCCACTAACCTCACCCCAGCCCCAGGGGACTGACCACCTACTGGCCTGAGAGTAGCAAACCTATCCAGAACAGGCAGCAGACTCAAAAAGGAGCCAGCCCAGCGGGGTGGCAGAGCACTTCATCTGTCCTGATGCTCACTTTATGAAGATTCTCCAAAAGACAGGCTGCACCCCAAGGCCCAGATGTTCTGGAGCTGTGAGTCACCTCTATGTTTGTCTCACTAGCATAGACAATACATTAAATCTGAGGCCCCCTTTCCCCACCAAGGGCTCAATGTCCATTTGTGGGAGAAGGCACTTCAGCTTTGGGTGGGAAGACTTTGTAACAGTTCTTACCGTACAATCTCAGTTAATGCCTTTACTAAGAGAAAAAAAAAAAAAAGAAGCAGCAGCGGCTCACAGAGGGTAGGGATAACTTCCATCTCTGGGTCCCCAGCAGCTAATATAGGATCGGCACAGAACACCAGCTTAATGATGCTCGTGGTTTTGAACTGAATATCTTACATCTCCCAAGCATCCTTATGAGACTGATAGAAGACCAGATCTACCTCCTCTGAATACCTGAGTTGTTTCCACACACAGGCAGTTATTGGCCATCTACAAGGTGTGATATCAGGGACAATGAAAGCACAAGGTGGCCCAAAATGACCCCCCTCCTCTGCCATCTGCCATGACACTTTCCTCCCTTCACACTGGAACTAAAATTCCCCCCACGCAAGCCACACAGGCGGGGACACTGCCACCAGAAGAACACTACTGAACTGTAAGTGGTCCCTAAAAGGGAAGAGAAGTCCATCTCCCATTAGCCACTGTTAGCCATGACTACATTAGCTGGCTGACACACTGGAAAACACCAAGGACTTAACCCACCCTGCTGGAGTTTAAAGACAGGCCAAGAGGTTCTCATTAGAGGTGGTCCACGGACAGAGCATGATACCATCTTAAAGAGGATAAACCCTTGGGACGTGTCCCTTGAGGCGGACAGTGTCAAGGGGAAAGAGTTGGAAGTACCACATGGGAGATTCACAGAAGACAAATGATCCATTTGCTAATATCACCTTAACCTTTCACATATTCCTTCAGTCAATCAGCCGTTCAACAGGCATTTATTAAGCATCTGTTCTGTGTCAAGGACCACACATGGCACTGGAGACATAGAGACAAATACAGTCTCTATCCTTAAGGGACTTACAACTTTCGGGAAATGGGGAAGGAGAAGAGACCCACCATGTAAACAGAATGATAAATACAGAATATCAAATAACTAATTTCAGGAGGGGGACACTAGGACCTGGGATAGCATGGGGGGCATGATAAGTCTCATGAAGGAGGAAGCGCTTACATTTAATTTCCATGAGACATACAGAAAGGTTACTACATGACCACACCTTACACATGAATTTCAAGGCTAACATTTCAATAGGGATACGACTTCAATTTCATTTGCTAATCGAGTGGATGCAGAAGCCTACCAAGGTCCGGTAGCATCTGTCCGTTAGAGGAGTGATGACAAGACGAGGTGAGTTGCCAAGGTACTCATAGGCATATTTGACATTGCAGTTAATGATTCGAACCCGGACATTCTCCCACTCCCAATAATATCGTAGTTGAGCAAGCCACTGGAAATCTGTATCAGTTGAGACCCCTAGGAAGACCAAAATTAAAATGAGAAGAAAAAAAATCCTTCAAAGGGGAAAAAGTTTCTCAAAAAAAGAGATACTCTAGTTTACCTGTCAGATCTATGGAGAAGGGAAGAATTTATGACCAAACAAGATAGAGAACATTATGAAATGCAAAACGGATGATTTTGATTATATTAAATGGGAAAGTTTTTGCACAAACAAAGCCAATGCAATCAAGATGAGAAGGGAAGAAGAAAGCTGGGAAACGATTTTTACAGCCAGTGTCTCTGATAAAGGTCTCATTTCTAAAATATATGGAGAACTGAGTCAAATTTATAAAAATACAAGTCATTCCCCCAATTGATAAATGGTGAAAGGATATGAACAGGCAGCTTTCAGAGTTAAAGCTATCTATAGTCATATGAAAAAATGCTCTAAATCACTATTGATTAGAGAAAGGCAAATCAAAACAACTTTGAGGGATCACATCCCATCTATCAGGTTGGCTAACATGACGAAACAAGAAAATGATAAATGTTGGAAAACATGTGGAAAAATTGGAACACTAATGCATTGTTGGCGCAGTTGTGAACTGATCCAACCATTCTGGAGAGCAATTTGGAACTATGCCCAAAGGTCTATAAAACTCTGCATAGCCTTTGACCCAGCAATACCACTTCTAGGTCTGTATCCCAAAGAGATCATACAAATGCGAAAAGGACCCACATGTACAAAAATATTCGTAGCAGCTCTTTTTGTGGTGGCCATGAATTAGAAATTAAGGGGATGTCCATCAATTGGGGAATGGCCGAACAAGCTGTGGTATATGAATGTAATGGATTATGAGATACTATTATAAGAAATGATGAGCAGGCAGACTTCAGAAAATTCTGGAAGGACTTATATGGACTGATGTTGAGTGAAATGAGTAGAACCAGGAGAACATTGTACACAGTAACGGCCACATTGTGCAATGACTGACTTTGATAGACCTAGCTCTTCTCAACAATGCAAGGATCTAAGACAACCCCAAAAGACTCAAGATGGAAAATGCTACCCACATCTAGAGAAAGAATTTAGGAGTCTGAATGCAGATGGAAGCATACTATTTGCTCTCCTTTTCTTTCATTGTTTTGTTTTGTTCTTTTTCATGGTTCCTCCCATTAGTTCTAATTCTTCTTTACATCATGATTAATGTGAAAACATATTTAATATGAATGTGTAAGTAGAGCTTATATCAGATTGCAGGTAATTTTGGGGAGTGGGAAGGATATGGAGGGGGAGAAAATTTAAAATTCAAAATTTTATGGAAACAATCGTTGAAAACTAAAAATAAATTAATTATAAAAAGAGATATTCTCCTAATAGTCTAGTGCTATTTGTGTTTTTTTTTTATTTGCTCAAGTTACAAACTAAAGGAAACTATTTTGAAAGAGGAAAAATAGCTCTGTGCGGCTCCTAGAATTAGAGTTGAGCAGGATCTTAGAGGCTCTCTAATCCAAGCCCTTTATTTTACAAATGAGAAAACCAAAGTCCAAAAAGAATTCAACGACTGGCCCAAGGTCACACAGGCAGACCTACGGGCTTGTATAGACACCCTCTTGTTACCTGATCATGAAGATTTAAGAAAATAAGTTCCATACCCATTTCAATCATGTCCATGACAACATCCCGGGCGTGCACATCAATAGTGACCAAAGCACCAAGAGTGATCCTGGTCTGTTTAGACAATTTCCCTCGCACCAGGCTCACGATGTCATTGAGCTGAAGTTGAAGGTGCTTGTAGTATGACTTTAAGCCCTGCAAAAGGGAAAACACCCATTGTGAAGTTACCTTCTTTCAAAACATTCAATAGTTATTTAGACCAATTTTTAAAAATCAATTCTAAAAAAGGAGGGGCAAAAAGTAATAATTTTGTCTGTAGATCTAACAAAATATAAATAATATGTTTAGGGTGTTTTTTTTAATTTGATATTTATACATATTTTTGGAAAGCACTTCCCAGGCATTATCTCCTTGGCACCATGTTTTCAAATGGCAAGCAGAAATATTAAAATATGCAAATACATATTGATATTAATATTCCAATGGATCTAAATCAAAATATATCCGGTATCTCCAAAAGATTCCTGGCATTAAAAGGAGATGTTTTATATCAAAGAGAAGCTTGGCATTGTTGGAAGTGCTGCTCCATTTTCCAAATGAGATTCAGCTTTCTTCCTGTCCTATTCGGTCCAAGGCCCAGTTCAGCACTGCTTAAATCTATCTCCTCTCTGTAACATTTTACAAAGTTTTCTATTTCAAAGAGTATTATCCATGCCTGTCATCTCTCTCTACTAGGCAAGGTGATCGACTGAGTGTTTGTTGAGACAGTTTCTGGGCTCTTGTGGCCTCACAAAGGAAAATGACTTTTTCTTTATCCATTTCACATTTTTTAGCATCTATATCTCATTTGAATAGGTCAGGATAAAGGTGCTAGCATTATACAGAGTCTTCTTTTTGTCTTTCTTCTCCTAATTTATTTTCATTTTCATCTTTCTCCTATTGAGGGGATGGCTAATTTTTGTGTGGCCCCCAAATTGTGAACCAATCATTTTCTGCCTGTTGAGATAACTCCTTGCAGGTCATCACAATCAAAGAATTGGCCATGCCATGGCTGACCTGCTTCTGGACAGAATCTTGGTATCGAGCCAAGACTAGTCCTTGGCTGGCAGACACAAGGCCTCGACAGCCTGGCAGACCCTACTAGAGCTCGTCCTCCCCTGGCATGGCCTCTGAGGCCTCGGTGCTACATTCTGGCAATCGTGAGCAGGATTTTCAAAAAGCAAATCTATGTCACAAAGGCATAAACTAGCACTCTCTGGGAAACAGAGAAATCAAAAAGAAAGTTCCATTTTTAATTTCCCTAAAGACTTTACCTCTGGTTCACTGCTTATACTTTCTTGAGTTTGAATTGTCCAGTACATTTGAGAGACACAAAGTACAACCTGGCCAGGCCATTCTCGTACCCAGTCTTTTCTTTCTGATTGTGGATAAGCCTGAAAAATGAAAGCACATTTCTCATTTTCATTCTTTATCCTCAAACAAGCCATCCAAAATGTTACTCACGCTCAGTTCACAGATTTAATCTAACAAAAAAGAGGAGGTCGAACAGTTGAATGAAAGAACACACAGCAGCCGACATCTCTGACGTTGCTAAATCTGACCTCAGAGCCAGGAAAACCTGGGTTAGAGTCCCTGTTCTGACAAAAACTGGCTATTTGGGGCAGGTCAATTTTCTGAGCAACTCTTTAAGTCCCAGTGTTCTGGGCAAGTCTTTAAGAGTCTAAGCTTCAGGGAAGGTGCCAACCTGCACTGATAAGAGGAGTTTCCTCACCTGGGAGATCCTGATACCAGAGAATTCACTAGTTCCCATCTCTATCTATACATAAAGTACTTTAACTCATGTTCCTATGAGGAAACCACTACATAGAACGTAAGTAAAAATGATGGGAATCTGGGGAAGAAGTGACCCTTCTCTCTTCTACTTGGTGATACAGAAAAGCTGGGTGTTGTCCAATGTACTCCCTGGATTCTTAGGAAGGGGCTTTAAAAAGGACAGAGTACTGTGTGAACCTTGGGCAAGTCACTTAACCCCGACTGCCTCGCCAAAATGCAAAAAATAAAATAAAATAAGTAAAAAGGACAGAGAAAGCATTTCCCACGAACTAAAATTCTCTGGGGGAAGATGACCCAAGAGGGATGGGGGCTCATGGGAAGGAAATCAATTCTAGTCACTTTCAGTCATCAACGTCTGTACTGTGCTATCAAAATTGAATGAACATCCTTGCTGAGAACAATAGATGAATTGTTTTGGGGAAATACATTTTGGAGATGGGAGTTATTCCAGCGTCAAGTGTTTGTTGGGAAAGGTTGATTATGTCCACATAAAAGGCATCCCTACCTCCTAACTTAATTATGCAAAATGAGACATATTTGGCTGGGGCCAATAGGGGGATTTGCTTTGCTTCACTATGCTTCTTTGTACAAAGACTTGTTTTCTTTTTCCAGTGGGGTGAGGGGGGATGGTGAAAGGTAGGGGGAAAGAAAAAAATGCTTTATAATTGAAAACATATTTATATAATGTATCCCTAATTTTTCTTAATTTTAATGACACAAACACTAAAAATTTTTATGAGAAATATATTAAAGGAATTAGAAGAGGATTCTCAGTGTTTTAAAGTGTGCACACACAGACACACAGAGAAATGATGCTTCATTAGGAAAACTACAAGACCATGTGCCTGTCCTATTCAACTCCTAGAGCTGTTGTGAGGCTCAGGAGAGGGCCCTGAGAATGAAATTCAAGCACTTTGTAAGCATTAAGACACAATAAATATAAAGGAGGATTGTTATTGCTGGTGGTGTTATCCAGTGGGAGGGTGGAGGAGGGGTGGAGCACCATGGAGAAGAGTCAGACCTGTAATTTCATTGGTAAAGGGAAGTGTCATTCATTAAGTACCTACTGTGTGCTGGGTACTGCACTAAGTTCTGGGGATAAAAAAGAGGTAAAAGACAGTCCCTGCCTTCAAGGAGCTCACAATCTAATGTAAGAGATGAAACACACACAAACAAGTCTTATGTATAAGATAAATAGGAAATAATTAAAAGAGGGAAGGTACGAGAATGAAATGGAGTTGGGAAAGGCTTCCCATAGAAGACTGGAAACCAGAAAAGCCAGGAGCCAAAGATAAGAAGGGAGAGCACTCCAGGCATGGGGGACAGTCAGAGAAAATACGCGGAGCAGAGAGACTGAGAGTCTCCTCCACGAAACAGCCAGGAGACCAGTGTCACCAGATCAAAGAATGCATTGGCAAGGGAAGTACAAAGCTCAAGAAAACGGGAAAGTTGGAGGTTGGGGTGGGGGTGGGGAGAGGCAAGGTTATGAAGGCTTCAAATGCCAAGCTGCAGACTACAGCGTATTGGATTTTGGAGCAGTAGGGAGCCACTGGAGTTTATTGATTAGAGGTGATAAGATGGATGCAGCTGCACTCTAGGAAAACAGCTTTGGAGGATGGACTGGAACAGGGAGAGCCAGCAGGCCATAGCAATAGCCCAGGGGTGAGGTGAGGAGGGCCTGTACCAGGGGAGTGGCAGTGTCAGGAGAGAGAGAGAAAAGGGGAAACCAGCAGGCCTTGACCCCAATGCAGATCTGCTCCTTACAGTCTTTAGGGAGAGCCCTGGGGCCCTAAATGGCAGGAAACGTCAAGGGCAGGACTTCTCCACTTCCAGGATGCTTCTCTTTTTGAGCAGAAGTAGTCAAAGAAAGAACATTAAATGACTCAAAACTCATTACTATGATTTCCTGAGGCTTTTAAAAATTAAATATCACTACTCTGTGGCCAGCACATAGTAGGCCCTTAAATGTCTGCTGCCTTGACTAACACATAGTAGGCCCTTAATAAATGCCTGCTGCCTTGCCTAGCACATAGTAGGCCCTTAATAAACGTCTGCTGCCTTGACCAGCGGGCACTTAATAAGCGCTTGTTGACCAACGTCTCATTCAGAAGAACGTGGCGCTCTGGGGAGCCCTGGGACACGCACCACCCAGGACAAGGCAATGACTTGGTGGACGCTCTTCAGCATCAGGTCCTCCACCTGAATGAGCCACTTCTCGACAGCTCCTCGGGCCTGAGCCGTGGAGATGAGGGAGATGAGCTCCACCCGCTCGCCCTCGGCACTGTACATGGCGCTGATGTCCAGGTTGGGCAGGAACTCCAGCTTGGCGATGCCCTCGAAGCACTTCTTCAGGTGTGGCTGCACCCGGAGCGGGTCTTTGGTCTCGGACAGGATCTCAAGCATCTCATCGTTGGACAAGAAGAAGAAACTAGGGCGGGACAGGTAAACACGGGTGCTTTGGTCAGGGAGCAGGGGCAGCGCAAGCATCCGAACCACCCCCCACGCCCCGCCCTCGTACCGGGGGAAGAAAAGGCGCTTCTTCTCCAGGTAGGCATTCAGTCCTTTCGTGATTTTGTCCAGAAGGTCACTGCAGTCCTGCAGCTTCTCCAGCAAGCCTGTCAAAGACATGGCAGCGAGGACCTGAAAGAAGACAGGCTTGTGGTCAGACATGGGAACGGGAAAAGATCTCATCCGTGTAAGGGTCTCCCTCCTGTTCAACGAACGCCAGGAGCAAACACAGAACGCTCAGTTTGGCACTCAGAGCCATTTACAACCCTGCCCCCTCCCACCTTTCCAGTCTTCTGGCACCTCACTCCCCGACAGGTACTCCATGATCCAGTGCCTCTGGCCAGCTGGCTGTTCTCAAACAAGGCCCTCCTTCCCTGGGCTCCAGGCTTCTCTCTGGCTGCCCCCCAGGCCCGGAAGGCGCCCGTTGCCACCTCCTGGCTTCCCTGGCTTCTTCAGAGTCCATATTAAGATCCCATCTCCTACAGGAAGCCTTTCCCAAGGCCTCTTCATTCTAATGCTTCCCGTCTTCTTATCACGTCCTATCTGTCTTGCAGAGAGTTGTTTGTATGTTTTGCACCCATTTGTTTGTGGGTTCTCTCTCCCACTGAACTGGGAGCTCCTTGAGGGCAGAGGCTGGCCATTCTTTGTATCTCCAGCATTTAGCTCACTATCTGGCACGTAGTAGGTGTTTGATGTGTATTTATTGATTGATTAAGCCAAGAGCATGTGACTAGAGCTCAGTAAACTACAGCAAGGTTAGGAGAAGGTGGAGTTCTGTCAGTGGGAGGGGGCTCAGGGTTGTTCTGATTGGGTAAATCCACACCCCGAAGACTAACCAGACAGCTGGATCACCCAGAGAGAGGCAGAGCTGGGGACGTAGATGGCTGTCCACTTTCTAAGAATCGCAGGGAGCTTAGCATTGCCCCAGCACTGCTGCTCAATGGGATGGGGCATCCTAACCGCCAGGGTGAATATATGGCTAGCCCAGTGGTTAAATACAACCAAGACAGCAGCAAAAATAAATAAAAAATTAGACTGGAGCTTAGGGAAGAGATCACAGCTGCACATATAGATTTGGTAGCCAGCTGCATATGAATAATAATTAAAGCCAAAGGCATGAATGAGATCACTAAGGGACAGAATGTAGACACAGAAGGGAACAGGACCATGGACAGAGCTTTGGGGGACAGACACATTTTAGGAGTATGAGGAGCAAGATGAACCAATGAGGATACCTGAAAGCCAGGGTTCAACAGGTAGGAAGAGAACAAGGACAGAGCCCATCATAGAAGGCAAGAGAGATGAGAATTCCAAGAAGGAAGCATGGGTCAATCATGTCTAAGGTAGAAAGTCAAGAGTTATGAGGACTGGGAAAAGGCCAATGAAGGAGGCCAAGTGAAAAGTCATTGAGGACAATTGAGCAGAATGGGGAGGAGAGAAGTCAGATTGTTGGGGAGTTTAAAGAGTGAGTGGGTGGAGAGAAAGGAAAGGCAGCCGGTATGGTCAATTCTTGGCTAGAAAGGGCAGATGTCTAGGATAATAGCAGGAGCAGGGAGGAGGGCCAATAGAAGCGGGGCACATGAAAATGTCAAAAAGATTAATGAAAACACTGACGGCGTAGTTCTTCTGTGCTAGAGAACCTGCTAATTAAAATTAATTAGCTCGCCATTAGAATTCGAACTTGAGAACAGAAATTGTTTTTGCCTTTCTTGGTATTATTAGTGCTTAACATAATGCCTAGCACATAGTATGCACTTAATATTTGTTGACTGTCTTGAAATTTGACCAATCAACAATTATTTATTAAGCACCTACTGTGTACCAGAAGCTGAATTAGGCACTGGACATAGGAAAACCAAGATGAAACAGTCTCTGCCTTCGAGGAGCTCACACTCTATATTCAACAGAAAAATAATGAGTGACAATAATTGGTTCTATTCATGTTAAAAATATAACCGGCCCCCTTCCAACCTTGCCAGTCTTCTGATACCTTGTTATTGTTCAGTCCTGTCTGACTTTACTATCCATGGTTTTTTGGTGGGCAAAGATAGAAGCATGGTTTGCCATTTCCTTCCCCATTGAATTAAGGCAAACAGAAGGCAAGTGACTTGCCCAGGGTCATGCAAGTAGTAAATATCTAAGATTGGGTTCAAACTCAGATCTTCCCAACTCCAGGCTCACTGAGCCACCTAGTTACCACTCTGACACCTTATTCATGCCCATGTACTCTGTGATCCAGTAACACTGGCCTCTTTGCTGTTCCTAGCACAAGACCCTCCACCTCCTAGCGCCATGCCTTGTCACTGGCTATCCGAGATGTCCTCCTCCTCATCTCTGCCTCTGGCTTCCTTCAACATTCACCTTCTGTAATCCCACCTTCTGTAGAAGGCCTTTCCTGAGGGCAGCTAGGTGGCGCAGTGGATAGAGCTCTGGCCTTGGAGTCAGGAGGACCTGAGTTCAAATCCAGTCTCAGACCCTTGACACTTACTAGCTGTGTGACCCTGTGTAACCCCGATTGCCTAGCAAAAACAAAAACAACAACAACAATGACAAAAAAGGCCTTTCCTGGTCTCCCCCAACTCCCCCCAACCCCGTGCCTTCTTTCTGAGATTACCTCGAACCTACCAGACATCTATCTTCTCGTACATAGTCATTCGCATGTCGGGTAGATTATGCATTTGTAGTAGTGACTGATGCACCTCAGATAGGGAGGAGGTGTGAGAGCATCCTCATTATTCAGAGCCACCACAGCCAGCGTCCAGCCCCCAGCCCCCTTACCTTTGGGTCTTTGGCACAATACTTCATGACGTCCCTCCAATGTTTGTCCACCGTCTGGAACTGGCGCCCCTCCTCGGGCATCTGCTGCATGATGTCCTCAGAGCAGAAGATGGGCTCCAGGTACAGCCACTGAGCCTGAACTTTCAGCCACTCATCAATGGTTTCTTGGATTCTAATCAAACGGTCCTCCCAGGCCTTCAAATAATCACAGTTCCCAATTATGTAAAGATGATAAAAGACTGGGAACTTCTCTGAGACTCATTTGCCCCATCTGCAAAATGGGGACAATCCTATCTACAGAATGTGTCCCCCAGGGTTGTTGGGAGCCATCTGATGCTCCGCAAACTTTAAGTCTCGACCTAAATGCCCATTCCTGTTAGGACCAGCCAGGTAGGACTGCTGCCAACCTTCCCAGGCACATGAGAATATAGCCTAGGTCAGGGGGGTTCAACCCAGAGAAAGAGTTTTTGTAGCTTCTGAAGTCTGTTAATAACCGTGATGATTTGGGTAGCTTTCATTGTTTCTAACTCACATTTCTGAAAATGGGGTTTGCCATGGGAGATAATAAACTGCTGTCCAGGGTTAAAAAGAGTCCTGGATCTCAGGACTCCAATCTGGACTGAAACCCTGGCACTGTCACATCCTGGCTGTGTGACTTTGGACAACTTCCTGTGCCCCTCAGAGTTTCTAAGTAGTGCAAGGTAGGGTGCAAGGAGGAGGAACTATGGCACCCCCCCACCAGCTAGTCAATACCATCACAGAAAATAAGGGGCAGATGATGGCAGGAACAGGGTATTATTAATATGTCAATGAACTCAGAGAAACAGAGACTTGTATAAGGTGAGCGAAAACAAAGCAGGGTCAAAAGAACAAAACAGGAAAATATAGATGCGTGTATGCATACAAATATAAATACGTGTGTGTTTTTTTTAATGCAATGGCCAATGCCAATACTACACGATAATCAAAGATAAAAGGCACATCCTTCCTTTCTGTTACTAGTTCTTCAATTACAAAAGTGAAAAGGACAGGCTAGAGGATGATTTTGCATAAGTGTCTTCAGGCCACACAGAGAGGGTTATAAGGGGGTTTGTTTGGGAGCTACCCGCTGCATCCAAACAAAAAGATACTTACACATTTTTTAAAATTTCCACATTTTAAAAAATAACTTTGGGGGTTGGGGTTGGCCAATGATATGTGTACTCCATTCCTCATAGAGCTGTTGTGATAATGTCTATAGAAATGAAAAACAAGAGAAAAAGGAATGACCAGGCCCAAAGCCCCACTAACTCCACCTTGATCTCTTTTTCAAATGGCTTAATGAAGGGGGAGCCTCTCATCGTCTGAGTCTTGACGATCTGATCGTCCAGGATGGCCTGAATCTCATCCACGGCAGAAAGGATGCTGACTCCCGTGTCTCGATACGGACTGATGTGAAAGGTGATGTCATCCCATGTGTTGATCATAACGTGCATGGCTTTCTCTAAGGAAAACTCCTAGGAAGACAGAGAGACAGACAGGTTGTAGTCAAGGTACTGGTTCCTTCTCTGAAGCAGGCGACCTAAGTTCTCATCTTGGTTCAGCCAGTGAGCCAGCTATTCTATGACCCTGAGAAAAGCATTTAACCCTTTCTGGGCCGCCATTTCCCCATTTATACAAGGAGGGAGCTCACAGGATAATCAAAGGGTTGCTCTAGAGAGGAACTCAGAGATCACCTAGTCCAGCTTCCTCATTTCACAGATGAGGCCTCTGGGGAACCTATGCTCCTATCCAACATTCCTGGAACATTCTAAGGTTTTTCAAAGCACTTTACAAATAAATCTCATTTAATCTGTATGACAACCTGATGAGGCAGGCGCTAGTTTTACCCTATTTTATAGATAAAGTGGAGAGATGTCAAATAACTTGGCTAGAGTCCCACCTAGCATGCTTCAAACTCAGGTCTTCCTGACTCTATCCTGCACCTCCCAGCTGTCCCCAAAACAGAAAGCAATAATGTGATACATCTTTAAATGCCAAGGAACGATATGATAGCCCATTCTCTGATCAGCATCATCCTGGTCAATAAAGTAAAGATTGCTCCCCTGCACCCCCCAAAGACACCACAGAGACAGTGATGTCAGCCCACACTGGGATCTCATACCTTTATGCTTTCCTCCTTACCTTGCTCGCCCCAGCACTGATGACTTCAAATTTTTCCAGGTACGGGGCAAGATTTAGCTTTAATACTTTTCTGAGAGTGGTCCCTGAACCCGGAGTTAAATCATATCCTACAATTTCCGACATCTCTTTCCAGTGGCGAGCTCTCAAACCTGGATTACACAGGATTGTGACAGTAGGGATGTATTCCTAATTATGAGGAAAACATATTAATGTTATTATTAAAAAGCAATGCAATATTGCCTACTTCACTGAGACACATGTTTTAAAGATATGACCAAACATAAACTCATTCAACTGTCCTGTTCCCCAATAGCTAAGCTGAATTTCTCTACATTTTAAAAAAAAATTTTGCTTACTTACCAAAACACTTATTTTTAGGAGCAATATTCCTATTTGTCTACTAAGGTAACAACACCCTTCCCCTCTGACTCATTTCTCCAGGTGTCTTATCCCTGTTCAGCTCAAACCTACCCTTCCCTGTCCCTCCTGTGCTCTCTTCTCCTCTTCTGGCGTGTCCTTTGGAAGCCCCCATTCTACCATAAAGATGCTTCCCTTCATTCTCCACCTCTTCCTGTTCCACTCTTCCCATCCCCTGGTTACCTCCTTTCCCACTCCATCCCTGGCCACTCTCTCTAGTACTGGATGTTACTTCTTTCCTCCCTGCCCCCACATCCCCACACCAAAACCCATGCCTCTCCCAAACTTCCAGAACTTAGCACAGGGTGACACAGAGTGGCCTCCTAATAAATGTCTAATGACTTACTTCCCTATTTCCGTCAAGAACACCACCATTCTTCCAGCTTCCCAACCTCTGTTATCCTCACTCCTTACTCTCCTCCTTCACCTCAAACATCCAGTTAGGGGCCAAACCCTATTGTTTCTACCTCTCATCTCCCCAGCCTCCAGTCCACCATCTGACCTCTTCCCTCAGTGGAAGGACATATAGGTAAGTACAAGCAGTGGCCTGGAGTCCAGCAATGACAGTAAGGGAGTTGACCAGACGGCCATCCCCCAAATTTGGTGCTAGTATCTATGGAATCAAAAAAGGAACCAGGCAAAAATCTCTAGTATGTTGGGTAGATCTCCATGAAGGATTTGCTGAAAGATGCGCCTGATTCACATGGCATAAGACGAATGAATGAATGAATGGGCTGTGATGTGGAGAGAGTTCTCACATTCACGGAGAGGAAGATGCCCTTAAGAACAGAAAAACAATGGCCAAATGCTAAGTGGTGGAGGGCTATCACTACCTTAGGTCCTAGCTTTCAGATCCCAGGAGTCTGTGTTCTGAGGACTATCAAGAAAAGAAAAAGGAAGAGAGAAGAGCATTGTTAAGTGATAGAGGTAAAAAAAAAAAAAGGCACATGGGATGTGCTGGGGACAGCAAGGTGACCAGCAGTTCTAAAATGGAGGGGAGGGCTCATGCCAGAAAGTTGTGGTGAGTAAGGAAGAACCAAAATATGGAGGGCTTTGAATGCCGCCCAAAAGAATTTCCCCTTGATTTACCAGACAGAGTGAACAGGCTTGTCCCGTGCCTGGAGTGCACTGTCTCTTTTCCTCTGCTTCTTGGAATCAACAGTTTCCTTCAAAGCTCAGCTCAAAGGCCACTTCCTCCGTGAGGACTTTCCTGATGCTCTTGGCCACTAAAAATCATCTTGCACTTACTGGCATATGCTTTGTATTTACTTAGATGTGCACCTGTTGTTTTGGGTTTTTTTTCCCCCAACAGAATGTAAGCTCCTTAAGGGCAGGGCCAGATTTTATCTTTGTATCCCTGGAGCCAGCCCAGAAAGCACTTCCTAGGTGCTGACTGATAGTTGGTTGATTGACTGAGGGGAATGCTCTACTGGTCTCATGTCACTGGTCTCCTACCTTGAAGCTTCTGATCTGCTCCATGACCGCAGAACACATCACTACTGTCGGGTTATCTTTAATGTCTTCCTCTATTTTCTCATCTATTACAGATCGCTTTCCTGCTGCCTTTCTTTTTTCTTGGGCTTCTTTCTTTTGCTTCAACTGGAAGAACCTCAGGCTCTTGTAAATTTCTCTAAAAAATTCATCCACATCAGTTTCCATGCTTTCTCCATTAAGGTCCAGAAAGCCTCCATCCATCCACCTGGAAGGAAGGGGAAATTACAGACAACTCCTAAGAGCTTTTGAGCTAGAAGGGGCCTTAACCATCAACTTGTTATATCCCTTCAGGTTTGCAGATGAGGAAACTGAGATCCCGAGAGGCTAAGGGATTGTTACACAGCCAGCCAGAGGCAGAACCAGAGGGAGGACTCAGGGCACTTATGCTGGCTCCTAAGTCCACCCTTCAGTTTCCTCATCTGTAAAATGAAGGAGTTGGCTAATCTGGCTTCTAAGATTCCTTCCAGCCTGAAATCTATGATCTCTTGATCCTATGAATAGCAAAGTGTAAAGCTCACACAATTTTTTTAAAACCCACAAATATGAATGTATTCAGTATGTGCGTCTCAAAAACAGCCAAACACACTGGACTGAGTTCATTCATATACAAGTAAGTTCCATTTCGAATCATTTGTCCAAAAGAAATAAAATTGATTGGCATTTTGAGCTTTTCACAGGTTTCATTTAAATAGTTAGTTCTCTTTCCCAAGTTACAATTACCGTTTTTCTGTCCGCTGCCACCTCAAAATGAAAGAAAAGAACTTCTGATACGGCTCCACACTGACTTTCAGCTTGTCCAGTTCTGGGTATTTTGTCAATTCCCACTTCAAGAGTCCCTCTTCTTTATTAATGAAAGCCACCATATCTTCTGCCTCTTGAATACGTTTCTGCAGCACTCTCACATCCGTCACATACTAAAAGCAAGCAACATTTCTCTTGAGAAGTGTTTGGGTGAGATTAGAGAAACAGCAATGCATGATTCTAACAGCCCAGAATATTGAGCAGACTCAAATAAACTTATATTTACTAAGCATAAATAGCAAGTATTTACTAAGCACCTACTATGTGAGGGGCACTTCACAGTCTTACACTTGAGTTAAAAAAAAAAAATCAACCTCACAAGTGCCAAGGTGGGGGAGGCATGGCTAGATAGCCGTCTGTCTAAGAAAGAACTGGGGGTGTTAGTGGACCCCAAGCTCAATCTAAGCCAAAATTGAGATCTATGAAAACCAAAGCCACCTCCAGCTGCACTGAGGGAAGTGTAATGTTCAGAACTAGAGAGGCGAGAGTCAGTTCTGCGTGCCACAAATTAGGAAAGATACTGATATGGCAGAAAGCACCCTGGAGAAGCTTCCTAACAAGTGGAACAGGTCAGAGGGAGGGCTGGTGGGCCAGACGTCATGGCGGGCCTTCCAGCAGAGGCAAGAGAGAGAATATTTATCCAGAGACGGACTAGCCAGAACAGTCTCCAAGGCGTGATGCTCACTCTGGATGCTCCCTGAGGGCAGGGCCTGATACACTGCCATCTTTGTCTCTCCAGAAAATGTCACTGTGCCAGAGCATTTAACAATGCTCGCTGGATTGAATAAACTAGACAACTTTCCTAATTAAGAACTGTATTTTTACTGGGAAGAGGGGCTGGGTGGGAGCTGGGGGTAGGGGGGAGAGAAAATGATCCTCATGATGCTATCCAAGTGTTTTAAATAGCTGCTAACATGTACCCATAATAAATAGTGACTAAAATAAATTAAACCAAGCCGTGAACAGAACAGCAGGGCCACAGTTTGCTTATGGTATCAACAGGATCTTAGCTTTTTAAAACAACGCAAGTTTTTCTACCATTAAGTTTTAGAAATGAGACGTGGAATAAGACCTGTGATTTCAATAGTATAGGGAACTCCCAGGGAGGAAATTCCCTCTCCCAGTCCAAATGGATGCCTGCCCTCTACCTTCTAATCTTAGAAAGCTCCTGAGATCATTGAGATGTTACGTGACTTGTCCTGGATCACACAGCTAGTGTATGAAAGAGGTAGGAGCTGAGCCCAGGACCTTCTGACTGACCCAGAGGCCGTTCTCTGACAGCATGGGTGTGTCTGACCTGCTGCATCCGCTCCAACTCTGCATATTCCATAAACTCTCCCATGCGCCGAGTTTCCTTTTCAACCTCCAGAATAAGTTTTTCCCTCTTGGTCACCAAGTCGGTCTCGCCTTTCCGCTTGGCATTCTCAATGAGCTTTGCAAAACAGAATTGGGTTGTGTTAATGACCTCATCACATTTAGCAAACAGGCCAAAGAAACATCTAACTGCCAAGTGTGGTAATGAAAACAGAGAGAGAGAGAGGCAAGAAAATAAAATATTACCGGCTGCAAGTTATCAAAATGCAGGGCTGTCGACAGAACTCGCTGTGTAAGCTGGTTTTGCCCAATCAATTGATAATCAATCAATAAACACTTATTAAGCCAATGTATGTGTGCCAGGCACTGTGCTAAGCACTGGGGATACGAAAAGGCAAAAGATGGTCCCTGCCCTCAAGGAGCTGACAATCTAATGAAGGAGATATTGTTACAAGGGAGGGTAAGATATACTAGAAAATAATGAGTGAAAACAAAAGGCTTCAATATTTTTTAAAAACGTAAAACACTCACAAGACCTAGCAGCTTCTACTCTAAAAGACGGTAGGTCTTGGAACATTACATTTTGAACAACAAAAGAGCTAGGGTTGCATCCAAGAACAGTTTACCCAGCAAAATTGAGTACGATCCTGAATTTAAAAAAAAAAATTACTAAGAAAACCCCAAATGGGTCAGAGTCAGACAAGACTGAAAATGACAGCAACAACAAAGTGTCTTCTAACTTTAAAGCCTGTGACCCCTAAGTAAAATAAGGGAGGAAACGATTCAAAAATGCTCTGAGGGGAGTAAAAATCACCCTATCATCGATATAAATACTTATTAAAAATGTGAAATTCAGACATAAGTGTCATTGGGCCATGAATTAGCTTTAGGCATATTGGGTGTTGGAGATGCATACGATTTCATTGAGTGTGTGTGCGTGTGTATACATATACATATATATATATATACACATATACGCAGAGAATATAGATATATCTATAGAAATATATATGTATATGTACATTTATATATAAAGTTTGCAAAGCACTACAAAATTCTCCCCCTTTGTCCTCCCACACAATCCTGCGAGATACATTTCACAGTTAATCTTATCCCTATTCTACACATGAGAAAACCGGAAATCAAGGAGGTGAACTTGGGAGGAGGTCCCTGCCCACAGCCACACAAAGCGTTAAAGGCAAGATTTGAGCCTATTTGGGGTTTTCTTGGCAAAAATACTGGAATAGTTTGCCATTTCCTTCTCCAGCTCATCTTACAGATGAGACAAACAGGGTGAAGTAACTTGCCCAGGGTCACACAGCTCCTAAGTGTCTGAGGCCAGATTTGAACTTCTTCCTGACTTCAGGCCTAGCACCCTGTGCACTATGGTGCCCCCTAGCTGCCCAATTTGACTTTCCTTCAAAATCATGACCAATTATTTTAAAAGTTGACTAGCCAGCCAAGCCCCATGAGCACCAGGAATGTCCTGAGAGCACACACGCTGGAAACATACCTACCTCATCATTTTCATCGAAGATGGGATTAATGTTCTGGGGCCACAGGAGAACTCTGGCATTTAAATCTAAATCCTCAGGGGGAAATATGAAAACATCCAACAAGTAATTCATCCGGCGCTGGCATTCCTACAAAACAAAGGAGAATTTCTGTTTCTGTCCTGGTATAATATACTACACAGCAAATCTAAGACCTTATTTTTTTTTAAGTGGAAATAGAATGCAGATTCTAACACTGACTAGTATCTTTATTAATTACATTTTCAATTACAAGCATTTATTTTGTTTCCACCACAGCAGGACAAGGGGTAAGTTCATAGTAAGTAGGCAAACATTAACTAGTGTCCTGTCCAAGTTTAGGCCTGAGGCAGCGTGGCGTGTTGGGCAACCCAAACAGAGAGATCTCAATTCCAGGCCTAGGGCAGCCACTCATCCTCAGTGACTTCCCCTCCACCCACAGACCACAGAATGTTAGCTCCAGCAGGACCCTTCTGTGGGACTCCAGGCAAATCACTTGACCTCTACCTGCCTCAGTTTCCTCATCTGTAAAATGGGGATCATAATAGCATCTTTCTCCCAGGGTAGCCATGAAGATCAAATGAGATAATCTGCACAGTGATGGGCACAGAGTAGGTGCTATATAAATGCTACTATTATCATCATCGTCATCATCATCATTATTATTATTATTAGGTGATTGGTGACCTTTTGCTTTAGCTTACTCTAGAAACACAGACTCCTATCCCTGTATCCCCAGCTCCGAAAGGCGAGGTTTCATCTCTTGCAGGGGTCCAAGGCTCTACAACCTTCTTAGGTACCTCCTCACCTTCTTTCTCCCTCCTTCCCCTTGCTTTCCAGCTCTCCTTTAGGTACTGGCTTCTCCCAATAGAATGTAAGCTCCTTGAGGGCAGGGATTGTCTTATTTGCTTGTATTTGTTTACCTGGCTCTTAGCACAGTCTCTAGAACACAGTAAGTGCTTAATCAATGCTTTTGTGTCTATTTACCCAGTAGGCACTTTAAAAATGCTTGTTGATTGATTGAACTGAATTCAAAGAAGGGCTTTTAAACCAACTCATCTAATAGACTACAAGTTTTCCTCTCGAGTTGGGCAATGTTCCCTATTTTAGCTGAAGTACAACCGAACTCATCCCAAGGAAAAGAAAAGTGATGTAGGGTTTCTTGGTGGTGTTACACCCCTAATATCACAAATAATCAAAATTTTGCTGAATGACCTCACTGATGTTTAAATCTACCAATCAATCGGCAAACATTTATGGAACACCTATTATGTGCCAGAAACAATGTTAGCCGTTACAGATACAAAGACAAAAAAACAAAGCGCCCCCTGCCCTCAAAAAGTTTGTATTCTGTAGGGGGAAACAAGTAGAAATGTAAGCACATATGAAACATATATAAATACAAGATAACACAGGAACATGGGGAGGCATGAACAGCTTGTGGGTGAATGAGCAGAGAGAGGAAACAGCAAAGGCCTCATGCAGGAGAAGGACCTTGAGAGCTCAGCTTGGAAATATATGAAAAACCAAAGACTTGGGTCTTTTGTACCAAGTTCAAAAATATTACAAAAGACAAAAAAAATAATTCTCACTGTACAAATAGCGCGCCTGAAAAAGCGACAAGCATTTTACCTGGATTCTTAGCGCCAGTTCCTGGACACCTTTAGTCCTGGCATTTTCCACATAGCTTATCAGCTCCATCATTTCCTCTGTTGTTTCAGGAACTTTCAGTGCATGTTCTTTAATATTTTCAAATTCGATGCAAATACTGTAAATGACACCGAGTTTCAATATTTTTCTGCCAATACACTTTGTACTAAATCCAACAACTGTGAATTACTAGAACTACGATAGTTTAGAAGATGAACACCAGGTTTCTAACACAAGTTACTCTTTCTTCAAACAGACCTGGTCTGTAACCCAGGATTTATCTGAAATAAGCAGAGGCCAAGGCCTGCCTTTTATAAACCATTCAACCATAGGACATGAGCTGTTTTTGCAGGAGCAGTGATGGGTTCACACTGACCGATGGCATCTTTTCTAGCAGAATGCCCCAGGTGACCAATGGCTTGCGTTTTGCAAAATGGTTGGTCAGGGCTGGGTGAGATTCTACCCTTCCTCAGGACCTTATCATCACCCAGAGAGGAAATAAGCCATAGCTCATTAACAACTACACTGAGATCAGAGAGTACTCAGAAAGGGGAAGTTTGAATACCTCCAAAATCTAAAGCAGCATTTTCTTAGATACAAATCATTTTAATACACCATCTACTTAGAACATTTGTGTGTATCTATGTGTGTATTTATATGTATGTATGTATGAGTGTGTGTTTACATGTATGTATGTGTATATGTATATACACATATATATATAGCAGAATAGATAAAGGTATAATTCCTACTTCCTGCATATAGTGTCACACACACACACACACACACACACACACACACACCCTCTCTTATTGGAACTCTGCTCAAGAACAAGAAGGATTCTGAAGTATTTGGGGCATTTTCCCACCTCCTCAGTCCATACCCCTTCTCTTCCCTCCCGAAACTGTCTACAAGAAACACAAGAGTTTTCAAAGAAAGGAAGTGGAATAGGATTAATATGAAATGCACTAACTGGGTGCTTTTCTGTCTATCCTGTGTCAGCTCTTCTCAGTGAGGTCTTGTCATTTTGCTTAAAGGACATGGAATTTCCAAAATATCCTAGGCTCTCCTCACCCTATTAGCACAGTCACTCACTCTCACACACAAGGACCTAGTTGGGGATTTTTGAGGGGTACCAGATCTGAGGTTTCATTAGTATAGTGAACTCGCAACAAGAAAACTCCCTATACAGATATGAGTCAGCACCTTCCCTGCAATTTATAGCCACACAAAGTTTCCTGGAGAACAGAGAAGTGAAGCAATATCTCAGAGAAAGAACACGAACAGAGGTTTTCATGATTCTGCCAGCTCTCTGGGCATACCATTGGTGTCCATCTCCATGCCACTGTCACCTCTGTTCCCAGCTCCATTGCAAGTCTCTCCAGGGCAAAGAACTCATGTGCTCTTGACAGAGCCAAACAAAGATAAAGGGAATTCAAAGCAAGCGCACTAACCTGGTTCCCAAAGAAAATTTGAGTGCAGATGACCCAGATTTGCAAAGGACCTGACCAAAAAATCACTAAAGAGATAACTGAAAAGTCACAGGTAGCCCTAAAGAAAGCGGGGTCTCAGAAGGTTGCTGTAGCCCTGTCAGTTCAAGATGCTGATAAATTAGCTCCAGCTACACCCAGTACACACCATCTCAGCAAGGAGTGGCTTTCAGCTCTGGAGTTAAGCGGAGTTATTCAGATGGTGGAAATATAGAATGATTCAATAGAGCCTCCAAGATCTAAAATTAACCAGAAATGCATATCATTTGGGTTCCCCTTCCTTGGTTATACATGTCTGTAATGCCCAACATAATCAATAGATACTTAATGTGCTGACACTAGCTAGAATCATCCAAGAGTTAATATGAGCCAAAGATAGGCTCCATTCCTAGAATTCAAAACATGGGTTGGAAAACCATTCTACTCACCTCTCATTTTCATTTCTGTGCTTTGTAGCTATGTCATTCAAGAGCAAATTTGCATAGCTTTTTACTTTATTTACCAGTCCCTCCTTCAAATCATCACAGTCCAAACGCACCATGGGGAAGTGAGCCAAATTCGGCAGCATCATGATTTCTTTAGCAAGGTTTGAAAAGTATTCTATCAGCTTAAAAGTTAGACAAGAGAAAGGATGTTGCAAATGAATGATGAAAACATAATTTATCATTGATTTTTTTAAAAAGGTTACATATAGTACTTAAGTGAAATTCTCATCTTACTGATTTACAATTCTAAGCTAATTTTTCTATAGCTGCCTGAAAAATTTTTCCTTCGATGGGCTCTAATGGATAGCCAATGGAGCTGTAAATTGGACCAATCATTTTGGAAAGTAATTTGGGGCTGGGTTGTGTATGATGGGGCGATTCTAAAAAACAAAATCCGGCAGGAAAAGAAAAAAAAGGAGAAATTATCTCACAAAAATGGGGTGTGAAAAGAACTGATACAGAGGAAACAGGTGGGGTAGAAGATTGTTGGAACTTGCTCTTATGGGATCTGAGCTGAAGAGGGGACAACTTGTACATCTATCCGGAGGGGTGTAAAAGTCTTCTGGACTTGTAGAGAGGCGAGTGAACTGGGGGACAGGCTAGGGGAGGGACTTTTAGCTTTTTCGATTAAGATTTAGGAGGGTGGAAGAAAAAATAATGAAGGGATTCTTACAGGGCTGGATAGAATAAGGAATAGGAGCGTAAGGGGAAAAGATAAGGTAACTGGAATAGGGTAAAAACAGACACTGAGAAGGACAACAGTTAGTAAAAGGAGGGAAATTCACAAACAAGTCATTATAACTTTGAATGTGAATGGAATGAACTCACCCAAAAAACAGAAATGGAGAGCAGAATGGATTAAAAATCAGAATCCAACAATATGTTGTTTACAGAAACACATTTTGAATGAGAGATACACACAGAATTCAAAATAGAGAGTTGGAGTAGAATTTATTGTGCTTCAGCTGATGCAAAAAAGGCCAGGCTAGCAATTATGATCTCAGACAAAGTTATGGCTAAAATAGATTTAATTAAAAGAGATAAATAAGGTAACTACATTTTGATAAAAGGCACCATAGACAATGAAGCAATGTCAATACTGAACCTATATGCTCCAAATACTATAGTATCTAAATTTTTAAAAGAAAAGTTAAATGAATTACAGGTGGAGATAGATAATAGTACTATAACAGTGGGGGACTTTGATCTTCCCCTCTCAGAACCAGATAAATCTAACCAAAAAATAAATAAGGAATAAGTCAAGAAAGCAAATAGAATTTTAGATAAGCTAGATATGATAGCTATCTGGAGAAAGGAATACACCTTTTTTTCAGCAGTTTATGGTACCTTTACAAAGACTGACCACATATTAGTACATAAAAATTTTATAGTTAAAAGTAGAAAAACAGAAATATTAAAAGTAACCTTTTCAGATCACAAGGCAATAAAAATTCTATTTAATAAGGGACCACAGAAACATAGATTAAGAACTAACTAGAGATTAAACAACCTAATCTTAAAGAATGAGAGGGTTAAAGAACAAATCATATTTTCTTACAAGTCAATAATTTCATTGAACAGAATGACAATAAGGAGACAACATATCAACACCTATGAGCAACACCAAAAGCAGTGATTAGAAGAAAACTGATACCTCTAAATGATTACATCAATAAAACAGAGAAAGAGTAGACCAATGAATTGGGTAGGTAATTAAAAAAAGAAACTAGAAAAAGAAGAAACTAAAAATCCCCAAGTAAGCAGTAAATTGGAAATCCTAAAAATTAAAGGTGAAATAAGAAAACCAAGTGTAAAAATCTATTAAATTAATATATACAAAATAGGAGTTGGTTTTGTGAAAAAAAAACCTTAAAATAGATAAACCATTGGTTAATTTGATTTTTAAAAGAGAGAGAAGAAAACTAAATGACTAATATTAAAAATGAAAAGGCTGAATAATATATCATTAATGAAGATGAAATTAATGCAATTATAGGGGGTTATTTTGCCCAATTATATGCCTATAGATTTAACAATTTAAGTGAGATGGAAGAATATTTACAAAACTATAAATTGCCTAGATTAGCAGAAAAGGAAACAGAATATCTAAACAGATCTACTTTAGAAGAAGAAATTGAGGGGACAACTAGGTGGTGAAGTGGATAGAGCACTGGCCCTGGACTCAGAAGGACCCGAGTTCAAATCCGGCCTCAGATACATAACACTTACTAGCTGTGTGACCCTGGGGAAATCACTTAACCCCCATTGCCCCCCCCCAAAAAAAAGAAGAAGAAAAAGAAGAAGAAGAAGAAATTGAACAGGTCATAAATAAGCTTCCTAAGAAAAAAGCACCAGGACAAGATGGATTTACAAAGTGAAATCTATCAAATATTTAAAGATCAACTAATTCTAAGATTAAATAAATTATCTGAAAGAATAGGTAATGAGGAGGTCCTACCAAACTCCTTTTATGCAACAAATATGATACTGATTGATACCTAAACTAGGAAGAGGAAAAACAGAGAAAGAAAATTATAGACCAATTTCATTAATGAATATGGATGCAAAAATCCTAAACAAAAAACTAGCTAAAAGATAACAATAATATATTACAAAGATTATACATTATGACCAAGTAGAATTTATACCAGGAATGCAGAGATGGTTTAACATAAGAAAAACTAATAACATAATTGATTATAGCAATAATAAAAGTTTTTAAAAATCGTATCATTTTACCAATAGAAGCAGAAAAAGCTTTTAATAAAGTACCATACTCATTTCTATTAAAAAAAACTTGAAAATATAGGTATAAATTTCCTTAAATTGATAAAAAAAAAAACCCAACATTTATCTAAGACCATCAACAAGCATTATTTGTAATGAGGATAAGCTGGAAGCCTTTCCAGTAAGATCAGGTGTGAAACAAGGATGCCCACTATCACCAATATTATTCAATATTGCATTGGAAATCATAGCAATAGCAATAAGAGAAGAAAAAGAAATAGAAGGAATCAGAATAGGGAATGAGGCAATAAAACTATCTCTTTTTGCAGAAAATATGATGATATACTTGGAAAATCCCAAAAATTCAATCAAAAAATTAGTGGAAACTATTAATAATTTTAGCCAAGTAGCAGGATAGAAAGTAAATCCACATCAGCATTCCTATATATCACAAACGAACCCCTGCAAGAAGAGATAGGAAGAGATATTCCGTTCAAAATAACTCTAGACAGTATACCTGCCAAAACAAAACCAGGAACTATGTAAACAAAATTATAAAAAAAATTTTATACAAATAAAATCAGATTTAATAATTGGAGAAATATTAATTGTTCATAAGTAGGTAAGGCCAATATAATAAAAACTATTTTTACCTAAACTAATTTATATATTCAATGCCATCCCAATTGAATTGCCAAAAAATTATTTTGCCAAATTAGAAAAAATAAAAAAAATTCATATGGAAGAACAAAAAAGCAAGAATATCAAAGGAAATAATGAAAAAAAAGTAAAGAAAGGAAGTTTAGAAGTAGCAGATCTTAAACTATATTACAAGGCAGTAATTATCAAAACTATCTGATACTGGCTAAGAAATAGAAAAGTAGATCAATGGAACAGAGTAGACATACAAATTTACTAAGCTAAAGTGCTTAGTAACCTTGTATTTGACAAATGTAAAAACCTAAGATTTTAGGATAAGAATGCATTATTTGGTAAAAATTGTTGGGAAAACTGGAAAGCAGTATGGCAGAAATTGGGCATAGACCAATATCTTATACAATTTACCAAGATAAGGTCAAAGTGGATACATGACCTAAATATAAAGAAAGATATTACAAGAAAATGTGAAGAATATGGAACACATTACTTATCAGACATGAACAATTTACGAATAAACAAGAAATAGAGAGCAGAATGTGGTGTAAAATGGATAATTTTGATTACATTAAAGTAAAAAGATTTTGTACAAATAAAACAAATGTAGCCAAGAACAGAAAAAAAAAAACAGAAAATTCGGGGGGCGTGATTTTATAGACAATTTCTCAGATAAAGGCCTTATATGTTAAATATATAAAGAAGTTTGTAAAATCTATAAGAATTAGTCATTTCCCAATTGATAAATGCTCAAAAGATTTGAATAGGCAGTTTTCCAATGAAGAAATCAAAACAATTTATAGTCATATGAAGAAAAGCTCTAAATCATTATTGATTAGAGAAATGCAAATTAAAGCAATCTTGAGATATCATTTTATACCTGTCAGACTGGCTAAAATGACTGAAGGAGAAAGCAACAAATGTTGGAGGAGATATGGAAAAATCGGGACACAAATTCATTGTTGGTGGAATTGTGAACTGATCCAACCATTTTGGATAGCAATCTGGAATTATGACCAAAGAATTATTAAATTGCCTTTACCCTTTAACCCAGCAATACCACTACTAGGATCTATTTCCAAATAAAATCAGGGGAAAAGGAAAAGAACCTTTTTGTTCTAAAATATTTATAGCACATCTTTCTGTGGTGGCAAAGAATTGGAAATTGAGAGGATGGCCATCCATTGGGGAACGGCTGAACAAGTTGTGGTATATGAATGTGATGGAATACTACTGTGCTAGAAGAAATGATGAACTCGATGATCTTAGAAAAACATGGACAGACTTGCACAAAATAATAACGAGTGAAATGAGCAGAACTGAGAGGAAATCATATACAGTGACAGCAATATTGTTCTAAGAACAACTTTGAGCGAATAAGTCATCTTGACTATTATAAATACCCAGATTAACTACAAAGGACGTATGAAGGAAGGTGCTATCTGCATCCAGAGGAAGAACTGATAAATAGATGACCAATAACAACTCCAGAGAACCAATGATGAAGCATGCTTCTTGACTTCTGACAGAGAACTGATTGACTAAAAGTACAGAATGAGACATACATTTTTGTACATGACCAGTGTGCGGATCTGTTTTGATTGAATATGCTCTTTAATTACAAGGAAGTTGGGGTTTTGGGGGGAGGTGATACCAGAGATTTTTGGAAGGGAAGGGACAGATTTAGGGGAGAGAGAGAGAGTGAGAGGAGGAAGGAAGGAAGGAGCATCAATGAATCTTCTTTTTTAATCATAAACAGAAGAGAACTGTTTGCTTTCAAATGCACCAACATCTATGTACTTCTGAACAGTCACAATGGCCAGATCAAAACTTACAAGAGATTCCTTAAGGTAAAATTTCTCAAAAAGAATTCCATCAGAAGCATCACTGGAAATCAGGCCTCCTCAGATGAGCTGCAGGGATTGGCTCTGCTGCTATAATTTCCAGGCAGTAGGTCCAGGGTGCATCCCAAGCACCAGAGGAATGCCCATTCCCTGTTATAGTCACGGCCACCATGTTGACTATCTGGTGTGCTCTCCCCAAGCCATTTAGCATATTCTATCCCAGTGCTCGTAGTAAACAGGAGGAGACAAAGGCATGTATAGGCAAGGCAGCAAGAGCTCACCTTAGCCACACAACCTCACATACCTACCACTCACGAGCTAAGAGCAGCCTTTGTGATCCACCAGAACAGACACAGGCTTTCTGATGGAATAAATCATGTCGGGCCAACGTTGCATTGTGAGAAATCGCCAGACATAATTGCTCAGAATCTTCAGCAGTCACCCTAGAGGAGGGACGGCCACCAATGCAATGTGGCTCCAGCTTCAAGGCTGTTCCCTAATGCACTAACTACGTTGCAGAGTCTGATCAGCATCAGGCGGTGTTAGGCTGGGAGCAGCAGGTTCTCCTTGAGAACATGCAAAAGAATCTTAGCCAAGAGCCTGGTCCCCACCAGACATGACTGCCCTGACAGACCAGGCCCTCTGACTCCAAATCCAGCAGCCTTTCCACCGTGACACACTGCCTCTCAGAAACCTGCACTCTCCCTGCCTGAGAGCCAGTGCTAGGCCCTCACATGCTAGGTCTGCCATTTTGTTGTGTTTCTAAAGGCTTGGCTCACAGCAAAGAACTATGAGTAGTTTAGACACTGTAGTCCAGAGAACCTCCAGAAGAGCTTACTTCCTCTAGACAGAGTTCTGAAAGGTTTCTCTAACCTGTGACTTCAATTATTCTCTAACTTTTTACCTTTTTCTCTAAATATTCAGAAGAAACCCATGCTGCTGCTAAAACTCAGTATTCTCAATGTTTCCATTTATTTTATGTACAAATGTTTTTATCTTATCTTACTTTTTAAATTAATTTTTTAAACTGACAATGTTTTAAATGCATAAAATAAAATAGAGCATTACAAAGGAAACCAATTATGTGGAGATACAATTATTAAAAAAAAACAAACTTTTTTTTAAGCTCACAAACCCAAGGTTTATAACCTCGGATCTAGACAAAGATCTCTAGAATGTGGGGTAAAACCTCGGTGAAGGATTTACAGGAGGCCATGGAACAAATTCACAGTGCACAGGAAGGTGTAGATAATTCAGCCCATTTTTTGCCTATGACTTAATATTCAGGTTTTCATTATGGACAATGACATACATTTTTGTACATGGCCCACGTGGGAATTTGTTACAAAGGGGTTTTTTCCATCTTTTTTTTTGTTTCCCAGGGGAGTGGGTGGGAACAAGAGAAAATATATTAATATTCCATTACATTCTTATACTACAGTTTGTTCATCCAATCCCCAATTAACAGGCACCTCCATAGTATACGGTTCTATACTTCCTTCTATGTGCAATTGTATAGAACTATTTATCTCTATTACCAATTATGACTTATGCCCCCAAAGTAAAAAGATATCATTCAAGAAATAACATTATTAAGAGGCAGCTAAGTGATGCAGTAGATGGGGCACTGGCCCTGGAGTCAGGAGGACCTGAGTTCAAATGCAGCCTCAGACACTTGATACTTACTAGCTGTATGGCCCTAACCAAGTCACTTAACCCCAACTGCCTCACCCCCCAAAAAAAAAAACATTATTAGAAAGGAAGTTGGGATGATTTGCTATCTGTACCATCGATGAGACTGGGGACCAAATAAAATATTAAAGTACCTATGAATTTACTAAAAATGGATCAATGAATCAGATTTGGAGCAGGAATGCCCCTAAGAGTCCAACTGCTTCCTTTTACAGATGGGAAAACCTGGGCACAGAGAGGTATCTAAGTGACCCAGCAGAAAGAATGCTCAGCTTGAAGTCAAGAAGATGTGAGTTCTGATCCCACCAGAGATACTTATTAGCTGTGTGACCTTCAACCTCATCTGTAAAATGGGCACAATAACAGTATCCATCTCCCAGGGTCATTTTGGGCATCAGACGAGATAACTATTTGTAAAGCGTTGTACACACTTAAATTGCTGTGTAAATGTCAGCTCTTCTGAAGTGATTTGCCAAAGCAAGCAAATCTACTCAGCCCCCATAGGAGTACGCCTCATATGGTGCTACATTTTTAGAAAAAAAATGCACCCCAAATTTTATAATTAAGAACCTCAGATTTCATGCATAAAGAAGAGAATTAAAACTCACCTCAGTGTACTCGTCAAAAGTGTGATCCTCTGCCTGAAATGTTTGTATTTGGTCAACCGCAGTCCCATTGATAAGCCAACTATATTTTTCAACTGAAAATTAATCATCAAATTAAAATTAGATCAAAATTTTTAAATTTCAGTGAATTTAGTGTTGTCAGTGCTGAATGGGTAATGGGTACTCTGCCACATTGAATAATCTGGTTAATTGAGGTTTTTCTAATGGGCCATCCCCAGACAACCAGTTTTCAGAGAATTAGTCTACAAAAGCCCAGCACTCAAACCAGGCTTTTTCCATGAAAAGCCATGAGGCCCTTGGTCACCTTCCAGCGTCCAGGGGCCACCACTGTACTATGGAAATCTCAGGACTTACTGAGGAGTTGGGGTTTGGAATGAGGGCTTCAATTCCAACCACCATATTCAGGAAAGCATCTAAGGAGGCCGTGTGCTTTCAACCCCTGTAGCTTCCTGGGGAGGTGGCCACTTCTGGCTTTCCTCCTGGGAGAGGGAGACCTCCACACAGGGCAGAGCCCGCCAGGCCGAGGACTCAGGAGCCCCAGGTCCCAGCCCAAGGTCTGTCCTTGTGGGATCTTGGACAAATCACTTCCGTTCTCTGGAACTAAATGTCCTTGATCTAGAAGACCCTGGTGTCAGAAGAGAATATCTCTAAGGGCCCTCCCAGTTCCATCAATTTATGACCCACATCTCCTCCTGAGTAACAGGCAAATAGAGAAGGGAGTCAAAATGCCAATCCACAAAAACTAGGGTTTGGTTATTTTTGTTATTGATGTTTTAAGGTCAGGGGTTGGGAGCCAGCCAGGCACCACCCACCGTATTCATTAAAGTGCTCCTTCGGTCCTTGTAAATTCAGGTTCACTGCTTCCCTCAGAGTATGAAAGGCCCCATTCAATATGTGGTCAGGAAGGTCTGTGCTAAGTTTCACGGTTGTGGGTCCACCTGCCAGCCAAGACTGGACAGTCTGAACATTCTAAAAATGTCAAAAGGAACAGTCCAGGTATCAATTATCAGCCATCAAAATGATCAAACTTATCTGTTTAGAGAAAGAGAGGGGACAAGTGACTTAAGTTCCCAGAGGGATCTCCCTCTACCAAAGCAGATGGGCACCTTCTGTACCATCCATAATCTTAGAGAATTGCCTAGGACACTGAGAAGTGACTTGGCCAAGTTCACAGAGGGGGGCCTCTCCTACATAGTTTTAAAAAAAACTCATATACACACGTATACATCTATAGTGAGATATACACGTGTATCCATATATGATGAGATACATGCACATGTATACATATAGAGTAACATAAAAACACATGCATACATAGTGATATAGATATATACATACGTATACATATATAGTGATATAGATATATACACAAGTATACATCTATAGTGAGATATACACATGTATCCATATATAATGAGATATATGTACATGTATACATATATAGTAACATAAATACACATGTATACATACTGATATAGATGTATACACAAGTATACATCTATAGTGAGATATACACGTGTATACATATATAGTGAGATATATACACATGGATACATATATAATGAGATATACACATGTATATATCTATATTGAGATATATACATGTATACAGTGATACAGATATATACGCATGTATACATATATAGGGAAATATATGCGCATGTATGTATATGTATATGGAGATATATACACATGTATATATCTATAGGGAGATATATACACATGTATACATCTATAGTGAGATATATATGCATGTATGTACATATAATGAGATATACAAATGTATACATATATAGTAATATAGGTATACACACATATATACATATATAGTAATATAGATATATACATGTATGCATATATAGTGAAATATATACACATGTATACATATATAGTGGGATTATATACACATATATACATAGTGAGGTATATGCACATGTATACATAGTGAGATATATACACATGTGCATATATACTGAGATATACACAAGTATACACAGTGAGATATATACATGTATACACATATAGAGATATATACATTTATAGTAATAGAGATATATGCACATGCATACATACATGATAATATAGATATATACACATGCATACATATATAGTGAGATATATGCACATGTATACATAATATAGTGAGATATAGACACATGTATACATATATAGTGCAATATATACATGTATACACATAATATGGTGAGATACACATGTATACATGCATAATAAGATATATATAAATGTATACATACACAGTAAGATATACAAACAAATATATAAGATATATACACATTTATACATCTATAGTGAGATATATACACATGTATATATAGTGAGAAATATATATACATGTATACATACATAGTGAGATATATACTCATGTATACAGTGAGATATATACATATGTATACATATAAAGTAAGATATATACACATGCATACACACATAGTAATATAGATATACACACATGTATACATACATAGTGAAACATACAAACATGTATACATATAGTAATATAGATATATACACTTGTATACATATATAGTGAGATATATACATATGTATACATACATAGTAAGATATATACACATGCATATATAGTAAGATACATGCATATGTATACATATATAGTGAGATATATAAACATGTATACATCTATGGTAATATAGATGTATACACACATGTATATGTGCATAGTTAAATATATACATGTGTATACATATATAGCAAGATGTGTACACACAGGTACATATATTGTAAGATATACACATATGTATACATAGTGAGATATATACACATATATATGAGGTATATAAACATGTATACATATATAGTAACATAGATATATACACACATGTATACATAGTGTGATATATACACATGCATACATAGTGAGATATATACATATGTATACATATATAGTGAGATATATACACATATATACACATAGTGAGATATACACACATGTATACATACATAGTGAGATATACACATGTATACATATATGATGGGATATATACACATGTATACATGAGATATATACACATGTATATATAGTAAGACATATAAACATGTATACATATATAGTAATATAGATATATACACATATGTATGTATATATAGCGATATATTCACGTGTATAGATATATAGTGAGATATATACACCTGTATATACACACATATATACATATATAGTGACATAGATATATACACACATGTATATATACACAGTAAGATATATACACATGTATACACATATAGTGAGATATATAAACATGTACATATATATAGCAATTTAGATATATACACACGTATACATACTAGTAAGATATATACACATATGTACATGTCTAGGAAGATATACAAACATGTATACATGCATAGTGAGATATATATGCATGTATACATATATAGGGAAATATATGCACATGTATGTATATATACATATATATGGAGATATATATACATGTATATATCTATAGGGAGATATATACACATGTGTACATCTATAGTGAGATACATAAATCACTGCTGATATTTTTTGAGTATTGTACCTTGTCGACCCCTGGGAAATCTGGGTCCCTACCCTGCTGTAACCAATAGTGTCTAACTGCCCCCAAGAAGACCCCCACATACCCCTGCAGTTCCTAACTGCCCCCCATTCCCAGACATAGATAGTTCTAAGGACATTTCTATGACCTTGATTTTGCAATCTGTCAACACCTTCAAAACCGCCTTCCTGCAACCCGGCTGCTCTGAGTATCCAGACTCCCCTCTTGCTGCTTCCCATGACTACAATCTACAAGAATCCCCTTCTCCTCTTGCTTCCCAGGCATTCTTGTCTGAATATAGCAGAATGCTGCAATTCCTCAACCCTGAATAAATGCCTTACCTTATTTACCAATCATCTAGTTGGTCTGAGGTTTGTTTTTATTTCCTATGTTGACAGCCTCAATCCTATTTCCCCCATAAGCCCCGTGGTTTTTATTGTACAAATTTGAACACACAGTGATTTTTAAGAGGATATCTGTCTCGTTACAGTAGAACTAACCGTACACATATATATGTATATATATAACAGATAATATAACATATATAATTATATATAATATATATAATAATAAAAAACTCATTCTATACATTTACTCATTGGATGCTTACAACATCCCTGTGAATGAAGTGCTATCATTATCCCCATTTTACAGAGGAGGAAACTGAGACATAAAAGTTAAGTGACTTGCCCAGGGTCACACAGCTAGTAATTGTCTGAGGCCAGATTCAAACTCAGGTGTTTTTGAGCCTAAATCCCACACTCTATCCCCTCTACCACCTAAATGCCTCTTATATACATATATACATACATATGTCTACATGTATATACACACATATGTACATACATTCATATATACATAAATATATTATATATAACATGTGCTGCCTCATATGTCTGTATGCAGATGTATATTTCCTAAACTATTTTTCCCAATCTTTTTTTAAGATTTTAACTAAAAATAAGATGATTTCATTTTTTTAATGGTTTCAAATTTTGCAGATGTACCATTAGAGAAAAGTGGTTTGTGTTCAGGAAGGCTGACTGGGTCAGAATGATATTTTTTAAAATGACTATGATGTAAAAATGAGATATCATTAAAATCTTCACTTTTAGAATTGGATTAGAGTATCTTTTCATGTTTATCCTAACACCCTCCAAAAAGTTCTATTCCAATACCTCACTGTAGCAGGATGGTGACTTGGAGATTTGGAAGGCTATGCCAGTAGGCTCTGGAACATCCCATTGCATTTTGAGTTTCTTGAGGGCAGGGGCCATTTTTGCCTTTCTCTATGTCACCAGCGCTCAGCAAAACGCCTAGCATATAGTAAGCATTTACTAAATCCATGTCAACTTAATTCAACAGCCAGAGTACGGCTTTGACAACAGATCAACCTGCTTTTTTTGGTTCAGAAGAGCTAAGTATGGAAAGGCTTATCCCCAGTGGCTAGCCATCTTGTGATGAGCTATCTGGCCAATATCAACCCATTGGAAAATACAAGTATAGAAACATTCTACTTAAAAATCATTTAGAATAGAAAAGAAAAACATTATGAGACTACACTCTAAGTGGCTCTAGATCCAATATTAATAACGGCCCCAACAAATCATTTACTTCTGAGAATGATTACTTCAACACCGAGGGTAAAGAGGTCGCCCCACCTTCAGCGTTTCTCCAATCCAATCCACCACACCTCCCACGACTTCTTGTAAATCTTGAAAAGTCGGGTAAAAGTCCATTTTCTCATCATCAAATGTCAACTCCATCTTGAATATTGGCAGCCATTTTCTGTCGTTAGGATCAAAGAGATCTACAAATCCTTCCACCGTTCTCTTTAAGAGATCTCTCAGCTGGATCATAACACAAGTTGATCTCATTACTTTAATAAATAAAACTTTACCTTTGGTTGTCACACAATTTTTTTAAAAACAGAATTCCATTATCTTATTAGGTCCTTACTTTGGGATGCTTTCGAACAGTCAGTTCATTCTGCCCCCTCTAATTAATAACTCTACTTCATGCCTCAACTACTTTTCCTCTTCATTCACTGGTCTCTTAGTTAGGATTTTTTTTTCATTGAGGGCGATTGGGGTTTTCTTGGCAAAGATACTGGAATGGTTTGCCATTTTCTTCTCTAGCTCATTTTATAGATGAGGAAACTGAGGTAAACAGGGTTAAGTGACTTGCTCAGGGTCACACAGTTAGTAAGTGTCTGAGGCCAGATTTGAACTCAGGTCTTCCTGACTCCAGGTCTGGCACTCTATCCACTGCGCCATCTACTTGCTCTTGATATGAGTATTTCAATATAATTTGTTTCCTTTGTAATGCTAGCTATTTATTTTACATATTTTAAAACATAATTCTGACAAAAGATCCATAAGCTTCCACAGACTGGCACAAGGACTGATGGGGGAAAAAAAAAAGAGTCAAGAATTCTTGATCTAAAAACAGTCAACCCTCCAGCCAAACTGGACTAGTCTTTGATCCACAAGGTGCCCCATCCTTTCTGGGTGCCCACTCTTCTCTATTCCCACCTTTCTGCCTAATGAATTCCTACCCATCCTTTAAGGCCCAACTCAAATATTTCTACTGCGAGGTAACTGACTCCTCCCAGAGGAGTAACAACCTTCTTCCCATTGCATTCAATTTTGCAGTTTCCCTAATATACTTGTCTATAATACTGGGTATCCTGGCATGCGCCCTCCTAGACTGTAAAGTCCATGAAGGCAGAGGATATGTGTAATCTGAACATGGCTCCTCCCAGCCTAATGACTAGAACACAGCTTCTACACGATATAGACCCCAAATAAATGTATGCTGAATGAATGAAAAAATAAATGAATGGACCTCTCCCAAAGCTAGTAATAACGTATCACATGTCTATAGAGCTTTAAGGTTTACAAAGCACTTTTCACCACAACAGACCAATAAGTGAGCCCAAGAATTGTGATTCTCCGTTTCACAGCTGAGGAATTCAAGAACTCGGATTTCCAGACTCCACATTCATTGACATTTTTACTCCCACAGAGTAAGAGAGATAGTCACCTGATTCGACATCAGTGTGGACACACAGTTATAGAAAGAATCCAATTTTTCTGCTTTAATGTCATCATGAGCTTCCTTCTTGGTGAAGATATGGATCACCTTGGGATACCAGGTATTCATTAATTTCTCCTCTGTTTTTCTGGCATTGATAGACACATCATTTCTCAAACTTTCGCAATCCATGGGACCTTTAGCTCTAATTGCAAGGAAAAGGAAGGAATACAAACACCACGGAAAAGTTAAGATCAGCAATAACTGATAAAATAGTTTTGAAAAAAGATTTTAATTCCCCAGTGATTGAAATAAATGGAATCGAAAGAAAAATCCTCAAGTTACTAGAAATGATGAGTAAAAGATGATGCCAAGAAAAATGAAAAGCTAAAGATGAATGAATCAAAAAATGAATGAATAAGCATTTACTAAGTGTTTTGTAGGTGCAAAACACTGGAGAGACCACGAGAAGAATCAGACGGTTTTTGTTCTCAAGGAGTTCATACTTGAGTCAGGCTACAGAGCCCACACGCTAGTGAGAGGTCATCTGCAGGGGGAATGACCAAGGCCCAGCAGGCATAGAGAAGGCACAGACCATAAAGCCCAGGAGCTCAGGATGCAGGAGGGTGGGAGGAGTGCAGGGGGGCAGCACACTGATGAGAGGAGTCAGTGAGGAGCGGGGATGCTGGGCTCCCTGATTCGGCAGGGGATGTCATCTTCAAATGTTCACTGGAAGGGTCTCACCATAGGCTCATAGGTCTAGGGAGGCAGGGGAATTCGAAGGTCAACTAGTCCAACCCCCTCATTTTGCAGATAAGGAAACCAAGGTCCAGGGAAGCTAAATAACCTGTCCAAGCAAGTAATAAGATTCAAAGGTAGAATTGGAGCTCAGGTCCTTGGACTCCAGGGCCACCATCATGTGACCTCAGACGCCCGCCCTTCTCGACTAGCTCCCTCTTCTCCGGACGTTTTCTCCTCCCCTGTCTGCTGCTGCCCATATTCCTCCTGGTCCTCCTCCTACCAGCCTGACCACTCCTCCTCATGTTCCTCCTGGATCGCCATCTGTGTGAGATGCTCCCCTCAGGGTATCCATTCCTTGAGGTCAAGGACTGTCTTATTTTTGTCCTTGGATCCCCAGGGCTTGGCAAAGTGCTCAGCACACAGTAGGCACGTGGTCGATAGTTACTGGATCAACCTAAAGACCAGGTTTTACCTGAACCCTGTTAAGTCCAGTAAAAGCCTGTTGGCGAATGTTGTGTAGCCCAGGTCCAGCAAGGTCCTCAGGGTGGGATGAAGAACGTGCAAATTCTCAGAGATCTGGTTTCTGGCTTGGAGATAACTGCTGTGCCAAGGTTTGGAATAATCCAGGCCACTGATGGAAAAAAAAAAAAGAAAAAAAGCAAGCCCTTGGTCAGAGAAAGAACCGCCCGTGTGCCTGAATCAGAAGGAAGAAGGGCGTGGGTTTTTCCAGGGAGGGGGGAGTAGGGAAGGTGGGGGAGGGGAGGGGGGCTGGTTTATGATGCAATACCAAAAACAAAACAAAAAATGACCCACTTGAAACGGCTCAGGAGTGAGGAAATCCATGCCCCCAGTAATGGAAGTCTGGGTCACGGAGGAACACTATGGTCGCTAAGGACCCCTGGGCCTTGCCCAGTGAACTGCAACCGTACCTTCCATATGTGGGGAGCACATAAGCTCCCTGAGGGCAGGGCCCACCTCACTTTTCTCAGTACCTCCCCCACCCAAGCACTCAGCACAGTGTCTGCACCCCCATTATTGAGCACGGAACCTCACACGTTGTTGTTCAGTAGTGTCTGACTCGTCATGACCCCATGGACCATAGCACACCAATGCTATCCATGAGGTTTTCTTGGCAAAGACGCTGGGGTTTGCCATTTCCTTCTCCAGTAGATTAAGATCAACAGGATTAAGTGACTTGCCCAAGGTCACAAAGCTATTAAGTGTCTGAGGCCAGATTTGAACTCAAGCCTTCCTGTCGTCAAGCCCAATGCCTTATCCACTGCACAATCTAGCTGTTCTAAATTTTTTTAAGCCTACAGCACCTGGTATTCCCAGGTGGTCTCCCATTCAAGCACTAACCACGTCTGACCCTGCTTAGCTTAGATGAGATCAGCCCTATTCAGGGTGGTATGGTCATAGATGCCTAGCACATAGTAGACACTTTATATATTTGTTGATTGAGTAATATGCATTGGGCAATTGAGGTTGCTGGACCAGAGTTCAGGAGATTAGGGCTGGATATGCAGATCTGGGAGTCATCTGCAAAGAGAAAGAACACTGAGAAAGAGGGCACAAAAAGAAGAGGAGAGGGCCCAGGGCACAGCATTGTGGGATGCCCCGACACAGTGGGCAGGACATGGACAATGACCCTGCAAAGAACACCAAGAAGGATCAGGCAGATGAAAGGAGAGAACCACAATGGAGTAAGGTCCTAAAACCCTAAGAGGAAGGGAGGGAGGGAGGGAGGAAGGGAGGAAGGAGGGAAGGAGGGAAGGAGAGAGGAAGGAAGGAAGGAGGGAAGGAGGGAAGAAAGGAGGGAAGGAAGGAAGGAGGGAGGGAGGGAGGAGGGAAGGAAAGAGAGAAGGAGGGAAAGAAGGAGAAAAGGAAGGGAGGAAGAAGAAAGAAGGAAGGAGGGAAGGGGTACAGGAAGGAAGGAAAGAAGGAAGGAAGGAAGGAGAAGAAAGAAGGAAGAAGAGAGAGAGAGGGAGGGAGGGAAGAAGGGAAAGAGAGAGAAAAAAGAAAGAGAAAGGAAGGAAGGAAGGAGTTATTAAATGCCTACTATGTGCCAGGCACTATGCTAAGTGCTTTACAAATATCTCGTGTGATCCCCAAAACAACCCTGAAAGGTAGGTGCTATTTTTATCCCCATTTTACATCTGGGGAAAGTGAAGTTAAGCAGTTTTCCCAGGGTCACACAGCTAGTAAGTGTCAGAGGTCACATTTGAACTCCAGTCTTCCTTAATCCAGGGCTATACCCACTGAGCCACCCAACTGCCTCTGGAAGGAGGGAGTGGTCGAGGAGTGCAGAAGAATGAAGCCTAAGAAAAGGCCATTAGACTCAGCCATAAATCAGCAGAGGTGAGAGAGGGAGGTCAGAGGCCAGAAGGCAGGGGCTCAGAAGCGAGGGGGAGGCTGCAGAGGCAGGCAGCTCTGGGGCTCAGGTACTTCTGGCTCCAGATGCAGCCTCTGGGATGGGCCAGAGGAGGGGATTCCAATGCAGATCAGGGGGAGAGGGAGTCAGGTGAGCAGCATCCTCAGTGAAGCCTGAGCCAAGGTACTGAGGACAGACACAAACATTTAGCTCTGACTGAGAAAAGCTGCGCTTCCATCAAGCCTCCAGCTGCCTCCAGCTCAGGGCTCTGAGACCCAATGGAACAAATCAGATCCATCTCCCCCTGGCACCTGAAGACAACCAGCAGCCCTCAGAACTCACAGCCCTTCACATCCTGGTTCCTCTCTGCCGGGCACTGCCTGGCTTTTCCATGGCCTTCAGCTCCAGCTGAGGTCTGACCAGGACAGTGTGCAAGGGGACTGGCCATCACCTCCTTATTCCTGGAAGCCCAGCCTCTATTAATGTAGCCCAAGTTTGCATTGGCTCCTGTGGCTGCCACATCACACTGCTGACTCATATGGCGCTTGGCAGCCACTAAAGCCCCCAGATCCTTTTCTGACAGATGCTCACCACTTTATTAACCAAGTTATTTTGAGACCTTGTTAGCATAAAGAATGGCAGTGGGTCTGTAGGCAGCCAAAAAGGCCCAAGGCTGCAGCTCCTCTCATCTTTCCATGTAGCAGACACCATAAAGGTTAGGAGGGAGATGTGTCCTCATTCAAAAAAATCTCAGGTTTCCTCATTTGAGGTCTGAAGGTAGCCTATAGATCCCCTCATTTGGATTCAGGAATGAAGGTGCCGACAGACAGCCATGTTTGGCAGCATCTACTCACAGAGGTGATTCCAGTAACCGTCCTCCCTCGTCTTCCAGCCACGACACTGGCGGTCTCACAAGAACACTTTGTACTAGAATGCACACATACAATTAATGATAGTGTCAGTATTCCTAGCAAGCCCTCGGCGCATCACTCACCCTACGGGACACACAACGCTGCCAGGCTGAAATCCTGAAGGGAGTTGGGATGGTCTGTGACTAGGAAGGGAGCTTCGATCCCCTTTGGGCTCCCCATTACAAACTAATATTAGTGTGAAAGCCCTTGGTCACACCTGAAGGAGAATCTGTCAGTCTTTCTTTAACTATTAACTCTGAAACAAAGCCCTCCTCCCACTCCTTTCTCCTCAGCCCTCTCCCAAAACCCAACCACTTTCTTTTGCTGACCTGGGCAAAAGCCGGGGAAGAAACTGTTCTCCTCATCTGAACAAGAGTGAGGGGTCCTCCTCTGATGCATGGAAGAGGAGGAACGCCCTCTTTCCCCAGGCCTTTACAGCATTAGGGAATAAGCACATGAAATCAGGGGCTCTTAACATGGTTTATGTCAATCTGGTGAAATCTATGGGCCACTTTTCTGAATGATATTATAAATGCATAAAATAAAATACAGAGAATTATGAAAGAAACCAACTTTATTCTTATCCCTAGCTAAGTGACTTGCCCAAGGTCACACAGCTAGCAAAGGTCAGAGGTGAAATTCGAACCCAGGTCTTCCTGGCTACAAACAGAGGAGAATGGCATGATAGACCCACTGCATCAGGGTGGAAAGTGGCCAGGGTGGTAGAAAATGGCCCAAGGCCAGTTTAGAAGGACCAGAAGAATGGTGAGAAAGCAAATGTCAGAAGTGAGATTTGAACCTAGGGCTCCACTATAATAATAGTAATATATAACAATAATATTAAATACTATAATATAGCTAATGTATAAATAATAATAAATATAAAATGATATAATAATAGTAATAGTATTCTATTATATTTTTGATGAGCATAAAGGAGAAAATACCATTTACAAGATTATAAGTTACAAAAGAGTGATCTATTTGCACAGGTGAAGGGAGTTTCCATGCCAAGAGTTCTCCCTGTAACTATGAAATTATGGATCCAGACAAAACTCCTGCCACCACCCTACCCCACTCCTCAAAAAAACAAAAACAAAAAAAAAACTTTATTTGATACAGAAGCAAATGCTTGGTTGTTGTTTTTTCTAATCTTCCTTTGGTGAAAATCAACCTGTTTGCAATAATGAACTAATTAATTCTTATCTTTTTTGTATTTTCCCCAGTTGTCCCAAAGGGGTCCTCTCTTGGCACCCTTGCCCAAGGATGAAGGAATGCACCCAGACTGGAAGGAACAGACACCCAGCTCTGAGGGCAGCCCTGCACACCACCTGACCCCTTCTCAGTTTCCCTCTTGAGCAGACTCTGCATTCTTGCTACCAAATGGTATAGGCCCTTACCTAGGGCAATGCCAGAATCCTTGGGAAATAGTGCCACGCCCTACAAACCCATCCTGGAAACAGTGACCAGAGCCAGCGAAAGCATGTACAGGAAAACCCCAGATTGCCACAGCTGAGCTTCTGACAGGCACTACCAGACCTCCCAGAGAACCATTCCCTTGCTGTCTCACCCATTCCAATATTACCCACCCAAGGAATGGACCGGTCTACCCACAGTGCACCTGCCCTGAAGGTCTGCTGCTGACTTGGGCATCCATTCTGGTCCTCCGCACTGGAGGCCAGGCACTGCTCTTTGGTGCCCAGAACCAGCTGAGGCCCTTATTTACTGCTAGTCCATACTGATCCCAATAAAGATAATGAGCTAAGGCATTTAAAGAAATTTCTCTCCATTTCTGCCCCATCTCACCTCAAATTACCAAGATTTACTAACCTAGGATAGAGGGACAAAAGGCTGGACCTGGAAAGAGGAAAGCCAGAATGTGAATCCTGCCTCAGACGCTTACCAGTGTGTGACCCTGGACAAATCATTTAACCCTGTTTGCCTCAGCTTCCTCATCTGTAAAGTGGGAATAATAATAATAGTATCTACCTCCCAGGGTTATGATGAGTTCAAAATGAGATAGTATTTGTAAAGGGTTTAGCACAGCACCTAGCATGCTAGAAATGCTAGCTATTACTGTTGAGGAAAAAAGTAATGAAGAACCTCTAGACAAAGGCAGCTTACCCAAGTATCTCTTCATACTCCTTTCAAATTCGGTTGTGACCTCGTTTAGGAGATTCTCCACCAGCTGCTCTCGCTCTCGGCCATTCTTCAATGACTGAGGCACCAGCTCCAACATATTGTCCAGCCACTCCCTCTGAATGGGGACGATGGGGTGACTCTCTACACATTTTTTCATAAAAATATAGTTCTCCTGGAAAGACAACATTGGAATATAATGGAATGATCCACGAGGCAAGGTCAATTCAAGCGATGCTTGAATCAATGAATGAATGAGTGAATGCATGAAGGCAACTTTCTCTACTAAGGAGGTATCGGATACAACTAAGGAATTCTACTAAGGCTCAGGACAACATTGGTTATTGTAGTGCTCTAGGCAGAATGCCAAAACCATGGACAGAATCACGAAGGGCAGGACTGCCCCAACACAGTCATCAAGACCTTCCATCTAACTAGGGAGACAGCTCATAGAGCCAGAGCCCAAACAATGCAAATGATGAATCCAGTCAAGTAGTCTCATTATTTGAATTCACACTGAATATTTCCATTGGGCTGGAACCAGTTACCATATTTTATATAATTATAATTTTGGATAGTGTGAATCCTAATACATGCTCATTCACATGGCACTAATTAGGACCTTGTTGTATGTACAATTATTTGCATGCTGTCTCTTCAATTAGAATTGAAGGCAGAGACCATGTTTTTGCCCTTTTTTTGTCTGCCCAGGGTCCATAACACCTAGCACGCAGAGGCTGCATGCATTAATAAACAAGCATTAATTAATACGTGTTGTTGATGATACATAGACTGCAAGCTCCTTGAGGGCAGAGACTGTTTCATTTTGGTTGTGTCTTTTTAGCACATAGAGCAGCTGGTATACAGTAAGCGCTTAAAAAATGCTTGTTTCCTGACCAAAAAATGGCAGTCAGGAAGACGCATAACTAGGACTCAGACGCTCATTTTGTCATCTTTGTAAACTCATTCTGAGAATGGGATCTACATTTATCATTGATAAATGTGTGTAACATGCACATGTGTGTGTGTGTGTGTGTGTGTGTGTGTACACAGAGACAGAGACATAGACAATGAGGAAAGGAAGAGGCTGGCCTTCACAGAGACAAGAGGCAAGTCCTTGAGCTGAAGAAGTCGGAGGAGGTGAGAGAAGCAAAGGAGGAAGAAATCAAGAAAAGAGGGAAGTTTGCAAGAAAAGGTGAAGTGAGAAGAGGTACGTAAACCAAATTGGTTAAAAACAATGTTAGAATTTGTGGGGAAAGCGAAGGGAATTTGGGTGCTGTTGTCAAGGATTAAGAGCTTGTCAAATGTTCTGAGGCACTAAGGAGGGGAGGGGGAGAACGCAGCTCTGGGCAGTGGTCTCCCCCAGATTGGGTGCCGGGTGGTAATGGGAACAATATCATAAGCCTGAGGCCAGGAAGTTCTGCAGGATGACACTAGCCAGGAGGACAAAGAACAAAGCTCTTCCTTCTAGTAAATATGAAGAACGGTGAGATTCTGCATCGACTGGCATTGACTGTCACCCACCAAGTCCCAACCCTTTGTTTCCTTATCGATTCTCAAATGCCAGGAAAACTTAAAGTTTTGGCTGATCAGAGGGCCTGGGTTCAAATCCCACCACAAACACCTACTACCTGAATGATCTGACCCAAGTGTCTCAATCCCTGGTCTCGATTTCATCTGAAAAATTGGGGGTGGGGGGCAGGTTCCAAGATTCCTGTCAGCTTGAGCTCCATAAGCCTATGAGCCCATGCCCCAGGAAAGAGTTTTATGAGTTTTTAAGGCAGAAAAATTTTATCCTTCTCACGATAAGCAAAATTTAAACTAGGTTTGTCCTTGGACAAGACATGTCCATACAGCAGGTGCTACATAAATGTCAGCCATGATGGTAGGGTTGTGGATGAGGATAAAGATGATGGCGGTGATGATGACAGTGATGGAGGAGGAGGCCATGGGGCTGGGACCTGCTCAGAGCTTTTCTAGGCTGGTAATAATAAAAATTTAAATAAATGCTTTCAGGTTTACAGTATGATTTCCTCATAACAGTCCCATGAGGGGAGGGGCATAGATATTATGATCCCCATTCTACTGAGGAGGAAACTGAGGCTCAGGATGCTGAATGACTTGCCTAAAGTCTAGACAACTAGTAAGTGTTAAGAGACAGAATTTGAACCCACGTCTCTCTTGCCTCTGTATTCAGAGTTCTCTCCACCACTCCACTCTGCCCTAGAATTCAGGCTCCAAAAGCCCCCAGTCACCTCTACACAGAGACACTGGAGCAGACATTAGCTAGGGGCCCACTCTGTCTCCCAATTTCTACCGCTGCTGTCACTGCCTGAGCCCCCTTTGCCTACATCGCTCCCCTCAGGACCACCTGACAGCTCCCAACCATTCCTCATATCAAGGAACTTCAAAGCCTTCCAGACCCAGATCTTCCCGGATCCATGGTCCCCAGGATCTGATGGGGAGATTACCCCACTTGTCCCCATGTGATTGGGCTCTAACTCAGCCTCTTAGCCCACTGTCCCTACTGGCAGGCCCTGAGCACCAGGCCCTGCTTCACCTTCATATCACATGCAGCCATAACAAGTCTCCTTTCCCTGGTCACCCCTTCCCTACATGCCTCATCTTCCCTGATTCCAAAGGTTCTTACCATGGGAAGTTGTAAACTTTTTTTCCTAATGTTTGGATTATATTTCCTTATAATATTTTCTTTTGCAATCCCATGTGTTTTATTTTGAGCATTTAAACTGTATTCTGAGAAGGGGGCGAAAGGCCTGCCCAGACTGCCAGAGGGAGCCGTGACACAAACAAGATTTGGAACCTCTGTTAGAACCCAAGCTCTGATGGAGGCCCAGCCAAGTGCAAATCTCTGTATCTTGCTTACCAGCCCCATCCTTCCTAACTTCTTTATTTCTATGGAGGGCATCACTAGGTCCCCAGCCTTGGGCTCTACCTTCGCTCTTCTCCCTCTCACCCCCACAGCCAAGCAAGTGCAAATCTTGTCTGTTCTACCTTCATAGCATCTGTCCCCATCTGAACCCCTTTCTGCCCTCACTGAGCATTCCCACCATCCCAGCTCAGGCCTCCTCCCCCTCTCTCTACTGGACTATGCAAGGCCTCCTAAGAGATCTCCCCACATCCAGGATGCTTCTCTCCTCTCCCACCCATCATCCGCAGAGCTATGAAACTGACATTCCTAAGGCTCACATCTGACCACAACATTTCTCTACTCAAGAACCTTTACTGGCTCCCCTTTGTCCCTCTGATAAACCACAGACTCTTCTGACTGATACTTAAAGCCCTTTACAATCTGGCTTCAGATGTTCTAGATGATTCCACATTCCCCTCCCTCCTGAACATGCCTGTTCCTCAATCATGACATCTTCCAAACCCCAACAACAAATTGGTGTTAAGACAGTAACAATTGAAGATGGCTGAGTAAAAGCAGTGACTTGCTTGAGCTCTTCCCCAAACCCCTCCAAATACCTATAAAAAATGGCTCTAAACAAACTCTAAAGCAGGAGAACTCACAAAAAGAGTGAAACAAATTTCCAGTCCAAGACAACCTAGATGGTTGATTGGAAAGGTATATCGCTCTGGGCTGGGAGAGGAACGCAGTTTGGTGTGGGTGCGCAGGCCACAGCGAACCTGGAGCAGGTCTCAGAGAACTGAATCAGAGACAGCTGTTTCCAAACTTCTCAACCCACAAATGCCAATGACAACTTAGAAGGTCAGTAGGAAAAGTACATGTGTGCAGTGAGAGAGAGAAGCGCAGTCCCAGCCCCATTCCCAGGGGCGGCGGTTGCCTCCTGAGCTTCTGGCCCACAGACCGAGGGGGAATCGAGTGGCTGATCAGACAAGGATTGCAGGATTCTCTTGCTTTGCCCTTGCTTGGATCTGGGTCACAGTTCTGGGTGGCGGTCCTAGGGTGAGGACGAGCTCTGGCATGGTGGAGCTTGTAGTAGCTGCAGAGAGAGAATCCTCCTCACAGTTCCAAGACAGAAAAGAGTGCTTGTGGTCACTCACAGACCACAGCACAGGCCAGGAAAAGAGTAAACACTTTGCCCTTGATCATAGCACTCTGGAAGAACTGAAAATTTATAGGTCTCTAAAAGTATCTCTGAAAATAGCTGCACAAAACCCCTGAAGCTTGGGACAGTACATTCTCCACACTGGAAACAGACCCCTACCTTAACAAAGAGTTTACAACTCAAGTAGTTGGCTGGGATCATGAACAAGCAATGTAAAAAGAATCAGACCATAGAATCTTACTTTGGTGAGACAGAAGATCAAAACATACAACCAGAAGAAGACAAGAAAGCCAAAGCTCCTACATCCAAAGCCTTCAAGAAAAATATGAATTGGTCCCAGGCCAGGGAAGAGCTCAAAAAGGATTTTGAGAAGCAAGTAAGAGAAGTAGAGGAAAAACTGAGAGTGATGCAAGAAAATCATGAAAAACAAGTCATCAGCTTGCTAAAGGAGACCCAAAAAAATACTGAAGAAAATAACACCTTAAAAAATAGCCTAACCCAAATGGCAAAAGAGGTCCAAAAAGCCAATGAGGAGAAGAATGCCCTAAAAAGCAAAATTGGACAAATGGAAAAGGAAGTCCAAAAGATTACTGAAGAAAATACTTCCCTAAAAATTAGAATGGAGCAATTGGAAGCTAATGACTATATGAGAAATCAAGGCACTGTAAAACTAATCCAAAAGAATGAAAAAATAGAAGAGAATGTGAAATATCTCACTGGAAAAACAACTGACTTGGAAAATAGATCCATGAGAGAGAATTTAAAAATTATTGGACTATCTGAAAGCCATGATCAAAAAAAGAGCCTAGACATCATCTTTCAAGAAATTATCAAGGAAAACTGCCCTGATATTTTAGAACTAGAGGGCAAAATAGAAATTGAAAGAATCCACCAATCACCTCCTGAAAGAGATCCCCAAAGGAAAACTCCTAGGAATATTGTAGCCAAATTCCAGAGTTGCCAGGTCAAGGAGAAAATATTGTAAGCAGCCAGGAACAAACAATTCAAGTACTGTGGAAACACAATCAGGATAACCCAAGATTTTGCAGCTTCTACCTTAAGGGACTGCAGGGCATGAATATAATATTCCAGAGGGCAAAGGAGATAGGATTACAACCAACAATCACCTACCCAGCAAAACTGAGTATAATTCTTCAGGGGAAAAATGGTCATTCAGTGAAATAGGGGACTTTCAAGCATTCTTGATGAAAGAACCACAGCTGAACAAAAAATTTGACTTTCAAATATAAGACTCAAGTGAAACTTGAAGAGGTAAACAGTAAAGAGAAATCATAAGAGATTTATTAAGTTTGAACTGTTTACATTCTTGCATGGAAAGATGATATTTGTAACTCATGAGTCTTTTGTCAGTATTAGAGTAGTTGGATGGAAAAAAAATTATATGTATGTATAGATAGATAGATAGATAGATAGATAGAGGGCATAGGGTGAGCTGAAGATGAAGGGGTGATATCTGGAGAATAAAATTAAGGGGTGAGAGAGGATTATACTGGGAGGAGGAGAAAGGGAGAGGTAGAATGGGGTAAATTATCTCACATGAAACAGACAAGAAAAGGTTTTTACAGTGGAGGGGAAATGGGGGAAGGTGAGAGGGAATGAGTGAATCTTATTCTCATAGGATTTGGCTTAAGGAGGGGATAAAATACAAACTCAATTGGATATGGAAATCTATCTTACCCTACAGGAAAATGAGAGGGGAGAGGACGAGAGAGCAGGGGGATGATAGAGGGGAGGGCAGATTGGAGGAGGGGGTAATCAGAAGCAAACACTTCTGAAGAGGGACAGGGTCAAAAGACAGAACAGAATAAATAGGGGGTGAGATAGGATGAAGGGAAATAGAGTTAGTTTTTCACAACATGACTACTATGAAAGTGTTTTGCATGACTGCACGTGTATAACCTCTATCGAGTTGCTTACCTTTTCAATGAGGGTGGGTGGGGAGGGAGGAAGGGAGAAAATTTGCAACCCAAAATTTTAAAAACACATGTTAAAAAATTGTTTTCGCATGCAACTGGGAGACAAGATATACAGGAAATAGGGTATAGAAATCTATCCTGCCCTACAGGAAAATAGAAGAGGAAGGTGATAAGAGAAAGGGGGGAGAGATAGAAGAGAGGGCAGATTAGGGGAAGGGTTGCATGCATGCCATCTTGGGGTGGGGTGAGGGATGAGATGGGGAGAAAAACTGGAACTCAAAATCTTGTGGAAGTGAATGTTGAAAACTAAAAATAAATAAATTTTTAAAAAGACAAAAGTAACAATCAATAATAAATATTAATTTGAAATAATTACAATAATAATTGGTAATAAGATAGTAAACTCACGCCTCTTCTTCTTAGGTCACTGTACATCTAAAAAAAGAAGCAAGACAAATACATTAGAGAAATGAAAATCCATCCAAATCCGTTGAAATAAATCAATGACTGTTGCCAAATCTTGAGTTGGCACTCTCACTTTTAAGGTGAGCAGAGCCCTCCCATTAAAAATCCCTAAAGGGACTGACACCATGTTGAACTCACAGTGGAAGGGTACTTGGGTTCTGGGGCTCTCAAGCTTCTTTTTTTCTTTTCCTCTGACACTCTCACATGTTTTTTTATTGCTCCAACAGTTCTGAAATTCAGAGTGAGAAACAGAAGAGTGACTAACTTAGGATTCACTTCGAGATAATAGATATCATAAAGCATCCACACGTTTAAATACAGAAACCTAGTTCTTGATTTCACTTGAAGAAGGTTTAATCAGATCTATTGAAGCACAGCCTTGTGTGGCTGGTGGGCCACAGCCTGACAGTCCAGAGACCTGAGTTCTCTTCCGGCCTCTGCAGCTTGGTAGCTATGTGACCACAGGCACTAGGCAGCTTAGCCCGCTCGACCTCATTTCTCTCATCGACAGATTGAGAGGTTTGGCCCATTAGCTCCACAGCATCCTTCAGCTCCTGATCCTTTCGTGTCTTTGGTGTTTAAGCCAACAGACTCAGTTTTTTATCCTTCCACCTCTCCCTCACATGTCTCTTCCACCTACTGAATCCACTCCTTCCTGTTCTTTCAGGCCATCCTCTCTGCTATCCTCAGAGGGATCACAGATCTAGAATCCATCAAGTTCAAAACCTTCATTTTACAGTTGGAGAAGCTGAGGCTTAGGGACATGCCCAAGATCACACAGGTAGCAAATGTCAGAGGCAAGATTCGAATCCAGGTCCTGAGACTCCAGGGCCAAGTTTTTCCAGCTATACCATGATGCGTCCCTTCTTTTCTACCTCCATAGACTTGACCTGAGGGTAACACACTCGTCCCTTGCTTCCTCGTTCTATCACTCCTCACCCCGTGCCAAATGCCATCCCCAAGTTACCTCCACCATCAGCCTTTCCGGCTCCTCTCCAAGTACTGCAGAACGTTGCAGACAAAAGGTACTGGCAAGCTCTGGCCCACCAGCACGTTACTGGACTCACCAGGCCTTCTCCTGCTTCCTGACCATCCCCTCAAGTCTCCCCTGCTTGTCTGTCTCCTACAGCGACACAGTCACTGTTCCAAACCTCTTCTCTCTTCCAGCCTCCCAAGCCCGCACCTCCCTACCCATCTTAACAGAATCATTGCCTGCTGATCTACAGCGCCCCAAGGACACACACGCACACCCCTGCAAAGCCAAATTCCTCAGATCTCCTTTTCAGACAAGCTTGCCTGACCATAGCACCCCCCCACCTCAAACTTCCAAGTTCTTGAATCCAACAGCAAGATTTAACACTGAACCTTGGGAAATTTCATCTAACTCAATTCAGCTTGATTTTCCGGCCTCTGACAAAATATTTTTACATCTGATTCTACCAGCCAGTGCATTAGCTCTCCCTACAAGCTTGGTTTGGGTCACCCGCAGATCTGTTGTAGTCTATACTATATTCTATACTGAACCAATGGAACTATAATAATTCGATTAAGATCAGTCAGAGAAATACAAATAAGTATGGAAAGACTTCTATGAAATCATGCAAAATTTAAAAATAGAGGGATAATAACAAAGTACCCTCCAATTCTGATCATATAAAAAGAAAAAGGACCAAAAAATGGAGACTTAAGAGGAAGTAGCTGACAACTTGTTTCAATTTCTCATAAAATTAATTGAAAGTTAAGTAGTTGTAAAACTAATTTAATTGGATATACTGATATTGAATATAAAGTTCATAATAAATCATTAAAAACCAATCTTACATTATACAAAGTTTCAAGCTATCTGTATATTATTGTTATTTCACTTGTCAGCCACGTCAGTTGTAAAGGTAAAGCATGTCGATTGCACTTTTCCTAATCCACAGGAATGTTTCCTGTTCGATTTTATTTTCCTAATGGGACTGAAAAGCCTATCGGTAGAATGTTTTTGGTTGGGCTGACACTATCAGCAGAGGCAGCGAGGTGTAGGAGAGAAAGCAACGAAGCTGAAGTCCTGAAGACCTGGTTTAAATTTGGCCTCAAGTATTTGCTAGTGGTGGGAAGCTAGGAAAGTCACTTAACTGCTCCATGCCTCAGTTTCCTCATTTGTGAAAATGGAGACAATAACAGTACCTCCCTCCCAGGGTTGTTGTCTTGGGAGATAATATCTGTATAGCATCTTTGCAAAGCTTAAAGCACTCTAAAAATGTGACTATCACCAACTTAAGTTGACAAAAATCTCACAGCTCCCTGGCATGGTAGGTTGTACAAATAGGAATACCTTTTTATTACAGGAGAGGAAATGAGCTCACTCTGGGTCAGGGAAGGGAAGTGACTTACCTAGGGCAATACAGAGGGTAAAGGGGCAAGGCAGGGAATTGACACCAGCCTTGCTGGGCTCTCTTCCCACAAAAAAATTGCCCACTTTAAACCAGCCCCATTTTCAACAAGGATTCGACTCCACAGGTATTTATTAGACACCTGTTACACTCCAGGAACTGGGCAGGTGCAGCTACAAAGACAACAACACAACCTTCCCTGCACTTAAGGAGGCAGCTAGGTGGTTCAGTGGATAGAGCACAGGGCCTGGAGTCAGGATAGACCCAAGTTCAAATCTGGCATCAAATACTCCCTTACCTGTGTGACCCTGGGCAAGTCACTTGACTGATGTCTGCCTCGGTTTCCCCATCTGTTAAGTAGGGCTAATAACAGTACCTCCTCCCCAGGTTGTTGTGAGGATCAAATGCAATAATTGCTGGCACTATCCTGTCTCCATTAAGATGCTCTGATTCTTCTAATCTAGCCACTGCTGATTCTTAAAATCTAGCCAATAGCTCACTAATGTTCAGACTCCTTAAAAGTCAGCCCAGTATGACAGATGTTCTAATAAACCTTGTCTTTGGCTGAAAAAAAAATAATTGCTGGCACACAGTAAGCACTACATGAATGTTGGCTGTTATCACTAGAATTTTGATTTTGAAGAATGAGAGGTTACATTTTGTGCATTGACGTTAATTAAAATGTGAGCAGTTACCAAGCAAGTCATTTGTATTAATGGTCCCTGTTGAGTGTTTCCTCTGTGCCAAACAACTGATAAAAACAATTGGCCTTGTTTTGTTCCCAGCCAGTACGATAGATAGACCCGTGGAGAGCTCAAATTCAGCTCCACTTGGGAAGGTGGTACTCACACGATCTGATTGAGCCTCTTCGCCTGGTCCTTGGTTCTCCTGAATTTCAAGAGCTTACTTTGCAGTGGGCTGTCAGTCCCTATGTCTTCAGAAGGATACATGATGGGAGGCAGCTTCAGGTTCAGGGCTTCCTTCTCGGCAGTAATCGTGTCTTTATCTTCTTTTTCTTCATCGTCCGACATCTTGGGCTCCCTGAGTTCAGATTTCAATGCTTCTTACTCCGTGAAGAAAAAAATTCATACAATTTACCTGGATTAGGAAAGGAAGAGAATTGCCCCTAATGTTCACAAGGGTTTCCGCATGGAGACACTAACAAAGGCCACTAACAAAGACCAATTCTACTTGGGTTTGGCATTTACTCCAACTGCTGGGTTGATTCAGGGCTCCACTGGGACCCTCAGAATGTAAGGAAAGGATGAAGCCTCCTGCCTGTTGGGTGGACCCTTTAGAATTCGTACAAGTGCCAAGGGCTCATGTTTGTCCTTTGTTCTCAAAGAGGACCAATGACATCAGGAAGGTGATGACCATTTATTATAAGGACTTAATCTGTACAAACCAGTATGGATGTGTTGTGATCAGCCCCTTCCAAGAAATACCGGAGATGATGGATTCTCAACAGCTTATCAACCCCAAAGAGGCACACAGTGTCTTTAAGAATCAGTTTTCTTTTAAAAAAGTTGAGGGGTGGGGAGGAGGGGAGGAAGAAGAGAACCCATTTTCCCAAAAATACCAGTGAAATCAATAGCTAAGCTGATTGATTGAGTCCAGCTAACTAAAGGAACTCGATGCTTTGCTTTACTTAAAACGGGGCTTTATTCTGGGGGACCCTAGAAAGGAGAAGAAAAAATTCAGGTCACTCCCATCCTCCCTTCTTTGTAGAGGAGGGGGACTATGGGTTCAGAGCACCGCATACTGTTAGACAGGCTGCTTTGTTGGGCAGTTCTTTGGGTCAACGTCTAGAGCCGGAAGTGCCCTAGGAGACTCTGTGGTTCAACCTGCCCAAATTACAGATGAGGAAACTGAGGATCAGAGGCATTGTCAGTGACCTCGGCACTGCAATGCTTTCCCCCTTTCCTTTCTTAGAAGGAGTGCTTCACTGAGTAAAGGAAGGTTGTTTGGAAATGAAGATGATACAAAGACCAAAAGCAGTCATAAAGATTTTTAAAACAGTAAGACGCTTTGTTTTATTTCTGTACTACAAGGGTCATGTGCTCACATGTCTGAGTCAAAACAGGCCCCAGACGCCCACCCACTCCCACCCTCAACCCGACCCCCAAGGCTGATGGTGTGAGCAGGTTCCCCTGCAGGCTTGGGGGCAATGTCTCTGCCCCCTCCTTCCCTCTGGATGACATGAAAAGTTCAGGCCGGCTGGAGCCCTGGGACAGCAAGAGCACCAGGTGAGGCCGGAACAGGCAGCGTCGTCAAGGCAGGAGCCCTGCCGCGCTGAGAGATGGAGAAGGCCAGGCAGGGCTGGCAGGGCCGGGCAGAGCAGCCGTGGCAGGTGGGGGGACGGGATGGCAAGGTACCTGGGCGCTGGCTCCGGGCCGAGATCTTCCTGGGCTTGGAGGACTCGGAACAAGTTGGGGGCACTGATGGCCGTAGGCCTGCGAACTGCCCCAGCTCCTGGGCTCAAGGATGGAAGCGGGGGAGGGGGAAGAGAAACACACTGGTCACCTTGGAGACGGCTGGGGGCGGAGCCTCGGGCTCCGGGAGACAAGCCAGCGCGGCGGCGCTTGGCAGCCGGGAAAGGCGTAGGCAACGGGCAGCGCCCCCCGGACGGGGTCACCCCCATGCCAGAACCTCCCCTTGGCTGGAGCCTGGCTCTCCCACCTCTGACCGCGTTTCGGGCAAACGCCCGCCAAGGTTGCTTGTGCTCGCGGCGGCGCTCCCGCTCAGTCTAGGACCCGTGGGGGGCCTCGGGGTCTCTGGGGAGTTGTCGGGGACCCTGAACCCCACTTTCAGAGGTGCGGAGCTGAGCAGGAGCGACAGCCGGCCCGTTCTAGGTTTTGTTTTCTTTCGCGTGGTGCTTCCCCGCCCTGCTGCTAGGAGCAAACCAAGCATGTTAACGTCGGTGTGTCCACTGGACACAAAAGCATTTCAAATTTCAGAGATCAAAAGTTCCTTTTCTTTACTCTTTCGTAAGGTGTCAATGTGTAGCTTCAGTACCGCTGCCTGAGTACTCTCAGCAGTACACAGTATTCCATCAATCAAGAAGCAGTTATTAAAGCTCCACTCCATCCAAGTCTGTGGATATGCAGACAAAAACAAAACTACTGCTTCCAATGTGTTCACATTGTCAGAATCAGCAATCTGATTCATTCAGTTGTAATTGCATTCTCCAAAGTTACCGATGACTACTTAAAGCTAAATCTTATTTTTTTCTTCTCAATCTGTAGCCTTGCTGACTTTACTGCAGTGTTTGACATTGAATCACTTCTCCTAGACATTTTCTGCTCTTTTCATGACTTTTGCCAAATCTTCCTCTAAGTCATACCCATGATACCCAAGGCTCTGTCCTGGGTCTTCTCTTTACTCCACACTGCCTCATTTGGTCATCTCATCAGCTCCCGGGAGTTCAATTATCTCTACACAAACGAGTCCCACATCTCCATTTATCCAACCCCTACCATTCTCCTAGGCTGCAGGCCTGCATCCCCAGCTGCTTGCTGGACATTTCCAACTGAAGGTGTCATCAAGACTAACGTGCAATCAGCTCTGAAGCACGGGCTGTAAATTTGGAATCGGACCAGATCCACAGACTGGCCATAAAGAGTCTTGGAGGAAACTGGAGCCCCAGTGCTCTCCAAGTACTGACCAGATTGGGATTACATAGTTTTAAAGAGCTTTGGACACAGAGAGAGGGAATAAAAAAGGGTTGGGGTTTTTCCCCCTCAAGGCCAGACTTTTTGGGAAAGTAAACACCAAATTGTTAGCCCTGCCCCCCCCCATGCAAAACAAAACACTAACAAAAATCAGAACAAAAGCCTGGCATTTACTTTACATATACTTACACTATAACACCATCACAGCCAACCTCCCCCAATAAACTTTTCAGTCATGTCAGACTCCTCATGACCCCATTTGGTTTTTTCTTGGAGAGGTTTGCCATTTCCTTCTCCATCTCATTTTATGGATGAAGAAACTGAGGCAAACAGGGTGAAGTGACTTGCCCAGGGTCACACAACTAGCAAGCATCTGAGGCCAGATTTAAGATGAGTCTTCCTGACTCCAGGTCCAGCTCCATCCACATCCCCACCCAGCTGCCCAATGAATTCCAGGTTGTTCCCTATTGCCTCCAGGAACAAATACAACCCGCTGTTTGACATTCAAAGCTCTTTATACCCAAGCCCTCTCGTCCCTTTCCAGTCTTCTGATACCTCACTCCCCAACACAGACTCTGCCCTCCTGGCTGTTCCACAAATAAGATGCTCCATCTCTCAGCTCCGGGAATTCTCTCTGGCCATGTCCCAAGCCTGAAACACTCTCCCTCCTTGGCTCAGAATACTGACCTTTCTCTTCCTTTAAGGCCCAACTAAATCCCCACCTTCTGCAAGAAGCCTTCCCCAATGCCCGCTAATTTCAGTGCTTTCCCTCTGTTAATTATTTCCTATCTATGCTATATATAGCTCGCTTTGCATATGTTTGCATGTTATCCCCCCTTTAGATTGTAAGCTCCTTGAGGGCAGACTGTTTCAATGTTGTCTCTGTATGCTTACTCAGAAGTGAACACAGTGCCTGGCACATAGCAGGCACTGAATAAATGCATGCTGATTGGAGTTTAAAAAAAAAAGGTAGGTTGGGGGCAAATTATGGAAGATTTTAAGTGCCAAAGTGAGAAGTTTGGGGGAGGAGCCATTGAAGACTTTGGAGTTGAAGCTGACACAGTCAGCTTTGTGAGCGAAAAAATGAGAGAAGAAGAGGGAGGTCAGACCATCGTTCCTTCTCCTCCAGTTTATTATATCTTTATTATAAACTGTATTTCAGCTTTCATTGACAAATATTTAAATATGTAAACAAGCGCATATTAAAACCGGAAGTGACTATAGAGATGATCCAGTCCAAAGCTCATTTCACTGATGGACAGCTGAAGGCACATGGTAGTGACACAGCACTTGGTCACATCTAGTCACCCTCAGAATTGTGACCACAATCCAGTTCTCTAGCTTTTTTGCGGCCACACCTTATCTCAGGTCTTCAAAGGGAAAATCACACCTGCCACCGAGCCACACCCCTTCCTCCAATTCGGAAGGATCTTTCAGGCCCTACCTTGATTGCATGTAAGCGAGGCTCACGGCCTGGAGATGAAAACACTTCTGAGCAGGGGTGGTGGCCCAGAGAGTCTGGAATTTCAGGAAATTCCTGCCCAACAGCGACTCCAGAGCCAAGTCTGGGCTCCCGGGTGAACCTGTTTCCCCAACTGTAGAAGAGGGATAATAATCCGACCTCTTGGAATAACAATACCTAACTAGAGAGAAAAATTCCAGGCAAACTAGCCACTGCCATAAGGATGTAAACTGATACATTTTTCTTCTGCAAACTTAATATTTGTTAACCCCCTGGGGCATGCAGGGCCCCAAGTAACCAAGCACCAGGGGACTGTAGATGGGTGCCTAAGATCCTAAGACTGAGAGCTAAGGGAGAGGGTTCTTCATTGGGGATGAGGGATGCCTCCTGGTAGGAAGCTCTTCCCGCTGCTGAAAGGGGCTCAACCGGCCTCGTCCAGCAGCATTTTTACCTAACCTGTGACCTACATACATGGGTACTGGAGCTAGGAGGGAGCAAAGTGCCTCTGCCAACGCAGCCGGGAGCAGCACTTAGACCTCGGGTCAGTTCCCCATTCTGAGAGATGCGAGGTCATTTGGGGGCCCGGATAATGCGGAGGGGTCCCTGCAGGGTCCCATGCCCCCCTTGAAGCCGGGTGAGGTCGGCTGATCCCCGTTTTGCAGATAAAGTGCGGTGGGGAGAGAGGGGGTCCCGCACGTGCCAGGGCCGGGCTCTGCTCCCCAGGGGTCAGGTCTGAGCTCACGGGCATTTGGGGGCTTGAAAAGTGCCCACGGATCACTTTCGAGCCGTGCCAACGTGACGCCCCATTTTCCAAACGAAACCGAAGCCCCTCGCCTGGGACCCGCCGGCCGGGTCTGCACACACTGACTAAAGCGGGCCGAGGCCCTGGACGAGGCTGCCAAGGTCGCCTGGGGGTCCGGAGGTCGCCGACGAGCGGCAGGGCTAGGGACGCCCCATTCTACAGGCGAAAAGGCGCCCCGGCCCACCCCGGCAGCCGGCGCCTCCGAAGCCGCCCAGCGCGGCGTGGGGAAGCCCCGCCCCCTGCCGGCAGGCCCCGCCCCCGCCACGTCACCGCGCCCGGCTCCTGCTCAGCCGGCCCCCGGACCCCGATCCGCACTTTCGACACGCACCCGACGCGGCGGCCCCAAGCCGGGCGCCCACCCCGCAGCCCCCGCCTCCGGCGCCCCGCGGCCGCTCGCGCCTCTCCCCAGGAGCAGGACCCCGCGTGCCGCCGCGCGCCCCGCCGACGCCGGACGGCCCGGACCGCATCCCGCCGAAAGTGCGGGCGCGGTTGCGCGGCTGATCGGCGCCCGCGCGGCCCGGAAGCGGCGGCGGCGGCGGCTGCATGGGCCGCAGCGGCTCGTGCGGGCGCGGGTCCATGTGGAGGCTGCGGGCCGGGAGCAGCGCGCTGCGCGGCGGGGCCTGGGCGCGGATCTCGCAGCGGGCCGGGGCTGAGGCCGTGGCCGCCGCCGGCATGGAGCGCGCCGTGGTGCGCTGCGTGCCCTCGGAGCCCAAGCTGAGCCTGTCGTTCGCGCTGGCAGACGGCAGCCACAAGCACATGCAGCGCGACCAGAGCGAGCCGCTGGGCCGGGCGCTCAGCCGCATCGCCACCAACGCGCTCAAGGGCCACGCCAAGGCGGCGGCGCGCAAGGGCCGCCGGGCCGCCGAGCCCGGGGCCGGAGCCGCAGCCGCGGCCGGCGCCGCGGGCCCGGCCGAGCCGCTGGTCAAGCTCTACTACCGCGAGGAGGCCGTGGGCGACGACGTGCTCAACGTGGACGCGTGGCAGGACGGCGCCGTGCTGCAGATCGGCGACGTTAAGTACAAGGTGGAGCGCAACCCGCCCGCCGTCACCGAGCTGCAGCTGCCGCGCTACATCATGGCCGGCTTCCCCGTGTGCCCCAAGCTCGGCCTCGAGTTCGGCGAGCCCGAGCGCTCGCTCTTCCGCTGGTTCCGCGAGGCGAGGCCCGGAGCCGCGGCCGGGGCCCCCGGCGCGCCTGCGTGCGCGGCCCCGTCCGCCGCGCCTCCGCCAGCCGACGGGGACGCGCCGGCGGCGGAGGCGAGCGCGGGGCCCGCGTGGGTGGAGGTGGGCGGCGCGCACGAGCGCGTCTTCACGCCCTCTAACGCCGACATCGGGCTGCGGCTGAAGCTGCGCTGCACGCCGGGCAACGGGCAGCGGCTGGGCCCGAGCCGCGAGCTGGAGAGCGCGGGGCCCGTGGAGGCCGGGCCCGGCGCGTGCACGTTCGACCAGCGCCACCTGTACACGAAGCGCGTGAGCGGCGACGGGCTCGTGCGCGCCGTGACGTATAACGTGCTGGCCGACGTGTACGCGCACACGGAGCACTCGCGCGCCGTGCTCTACCCGTACTGCGCGCCCTACGCGCTGGGCCTCGACTACCGCCTCAACCTGCTGCAGAAGGAGCTGAGCGGCTACAGCGCCGACGTGCTGTGCCTGCAGGAGGTGGACCGCGCCGTGTTCCACGACAGCCTGGCGCCCGCGCTCGACGCCTTCGGCCTGCACGGCCTCTTCCGCCTCAAGCAGCACCAGCACGAGGGCCTGGCCACCTTCTTCCGCAGGGACAAGTTCCGCCTGCTGGCCCAGCACGACATCGCCTACCAGCAGGCGCTGGCCGGGGACCCGCTGCACGGCGCGCTGCTGGAGCAGCTGGGGCGCTACCCGCAGGCGCGGGACCGCGTGCTGCAGAGGTCCTCGGCGCTGCAGGTGAGCCCGCACCCGAGGGCGCCGCCCGCGCACAGCCTCGGGCCTGGAGAGGCGGAGGTTAGGGAGCCTAGGGACCTAAGGCTGTGTGTCTTCGGTTTTTCCTAGTGGTCCCCTGCCCTTGAAATCTTAGAGAGCCCAGGGGCCTGCCTAGTGTGCCCGAGAGGGGTTTGCCTCCCCAGTCGTTCGGTCCCATCTAACTCAGGAGTTGGTGGATCTCTTCTAACGTGGGCTTGGCACGTGGGGTACACAAACAAGAAGAGAATGTCCAAGGCCCTCAAGGAGCTTACGGTATTGGGAGGGTCAGGGGCACCCTGCCTCTCACCCAGTGCCTCGATTTAGTTGGACAGCTTCATTGTCTTCCTTAAAGGGCAGGGGCTGTTTGATTCTTGTTTCTCTCTCTCCATATCCTGGCTCAGTGCCTGGTCTGTCCAAGTGCTTGTTGAATGAATAAAAGGCGCATACTGGGCTTTGTGATGCTGAGTGAGTCCCTCCATCTCAGCACTGCCTCAGGCAGCACTGCAAGAGTGAAGGAGTAGCCCGATTGCATTTGTCCCCGGGCTACTGCCCCATACCAGTGAAATCACAGCTGCCCGCCTCTTGCCCCTTTCCTGTTCTTCCCCCCCCCCCACCCCCCCCCCCCCCCCCCAAAAAAAGCCATGCTGGTTTTTAGCCAGTTTTATTTAGGCCTGTAAGACACAAGGTGGTCAAGGTTAGATTTAAAGACTCTAGCATTCCTTGATGGCGGGGACTGCTTTGTCTTGGTGTCCCCAAGCAAATGTTGCCTGCAGGTGCTTAATAACTTATGGATTGTTGGTGGGAGAAAAACTAAAGTGAAGAAAGGAAAGGAGGGTCCCCAGGGGTCAGGATGAGATCAGTCTAGCCAGGAGGATGGTCAGACAGCGTTATGATGATCCTAGATAAGTAACTCACTGAATGTCCCTGAGTCTGCTCTATAAAATGTGGATCACATCCCAGCCGTACCTACCACGCAACAGTTAGTAGGCTCAAATCAGGTCATATTTTCAAAGGACTTCTTGTAAGTGTTACTGTTACTTTTATTAAAGCCAAGTGTTTCGGGCCCTGGGAAGTGATCAGAAATGCCTCCTCATCTAAAGCCAAAGGACTTACTTAATAGGTCATTGTATGTCTGGTAGGTTTAGGGTCAGAGATGACAGGAGTCCTAGCTCAAAGCCTTCCTTCCTGGATTGTAAATTGTCTGAACTTCACTTTGCTCATCCAGAAAATGAAGAGACTGGACTAGATGTCCCTTCCTAATGTAAATGTGTGATCCTGTGACCCCTCGACTTTGAAGGTTCACTTAATGAAATTAGGGTAAATTGCTATAGGTGAATCGTCATTTAAATTGTATTTAAATCTCACCTAGTTCTTTCTGCTCATGGCAAGTCACTTCTCTCCAGCCCAAGCTTCCTCTTGTGTAAAAGGATGGGATTGAGTTAGATGACCTCAATTTTTAGGGATCTGATCTTGCCTCTTCTCTGTCCTGCCCTTAAGTAATTTCATTCTCTTAAGGGGTGGGGGTGATCGCTAATTCAGAGCTTCATTAATTTTACTGTTCATTCTTGGGCAAGTATTATAATTTCTCTCTTAGTGAAATGTGGCATACGCACACATTTCAAACCCAGCTCAATTTATTTAAGATTTTGCTATAGATCTGTTACTTTGTTGGTGTGCTTAAACTTCAAGTTTATAAAAAGATCAGCAGCAGTTCTGCAGCTCAGAGTTTTGGAGAGCTACTGAAAGAAGTTAGGCCAGTGTCAGAGGATAGACTCGAACCCAGGATTTCTGGGCTCTAAATACATCATTTCTAATTCAGGGTTTGGTTGGTCATCGTGAAAATGAAGTCAATTATCAGTCCCTTCCATATTCCAGGATCAGACTCTGAACTTAGTAACAACGGTGAGACACTTTTCTAAGGTAGTGTCACTTTATGTTCTAGGTTTCAGTTCTTCAGTCTACAAAGGACTCTTCTAAAAAGATTTGTGTTGCAAACACTCATCTCTACTGGCACCCAAGAGGTAAGCATTTGGATGGGTGCGGGGGGGGGGGGGGGGGGTGACACACAGAGACAGATTAAAGAGAGAATGCCTTACATTGTTGCAGTAGTTAATAAGCATTGGGCTTGTTAGGATTCAAGTACTTTTTAAACCACGTCCCTAACAGTTTAGTCATTTGTGTTCCACAGTCATATGTCTCATCTTTTATTTCCGAAGGTGGGCACATTCGTCTCATTCAGATGGCGGTCGCGTTGACTCACCTGAAACATGTGACACATGATCTATACCCTGGCATCCCCGTCTTGTTTTGTGGGGATTTCAATAGTACCCCCTCCACAGGCATGTACAGTTTTGTCAGCACAGGCAGCATCTCTGAGGACCATGAAGACTGGACCTCCAACGGCGAAGAGGAAAGCTGCAACATGTCTCTCACCCATCCCTTCAGACTGAAAAGTGCATGTGGGGAACCTGCCTACACTAATTACGTGGGAGGCTTCCACGGATGTCTAGATTATATTTTCATTGACTTCACTGCCTTAGAGGTTGAACAGGTGATACCGATGCCAAGTCACGAAGAAGTTACCACCCATCAGGCCTTACCCAGTGTCTCACACCCCTCTGATCATATAGCCCTTATTTGTGATTTAAAGTGGAAATAGACTGGACCTCAGCATGGCAGACAGTTGTTGAGTGAAAAAAGGAGTTCAGTTACTTAGGATCTAACTTGAATCAAGGCCTACGTTGTAATCTTGACGAGAGGGGAACAGACTTATTGTGGGAAAATGTTCACACTCTTTTACCGCTGGCTCTGTCCTCGTTCTTCATTGTATGTGACATCTGCATGATTCCTCTTCCTCTCTTTTCTCAACAGAGGGGAAAGAATGCAAATATATTTAAAACTGGCACAAAAGTTGGATGATCATATACCTTTTTAATAAGTGATTTTTAAACAGTGATAAGAGGTTATTTTGTCTTTTTAAGAAACCTGAGTGATTCTAACAGGTTTTGTAGAATAGTGTACCTTTTGAACATGAACCATGTTTTTATAATTAAGGGAAATAAATTGTAATCAGGTGCAAAGTGAGAGTGGCCCAAGGAGGAAAGGAAGGAATACTATCAGGTCTCACCCTATCTCCCTCTGGATAACCCTCTTTAGAAAAGAAGAGCTTTGAGGACGCTAAGTGTATTGTGACCTCCAGCCGGGCTTCTTTCCATCTCGCCTGTCCAATTCTGAAGCCAAAACACAGGGTCTAGTAGGGCTTTGGTTTTTGATAACTAGCTGCTACAGGGACTATACTGTAGTTTGGTCACTTAGTGTGACCAAACAAATTAGCACCAGTAAAAAGACATTCCTTATTAAACGTGTAAGTTAGTAGACTTGATTCCATAGTCATTGGCATGCAATAGCTTCACTCTCTCAACCATAAATTCTGTGTGAAGTTTAATTTTATTTGGAGTTTGGCTCTGCAGGCCGGTGTTAAGGTAGATTGGATACAAGTCAGAAATTTCAATACCCCGCTAAGGTGGTCTAAAGTTTGTAGATAATTTATTTAAGTTTGATGTTAGAGGTGTAGCGGGTGGGTTTTTCTTAATAATATCTACAAATCAGAATAACACTACTAAGAATGTTTGGGACTAGTTAACTAAACAAGCCTGTGGATTATAGGAACATCCCAGATAGAGAAGTCACCTCTTGCAAAAAAAAACAGCCATGAAGCCAAATGCTCTGCTTTTTCATTTGGGACAGATTTATTTAAGTTTGAGGTTGGCCGGCTCGTGTTTGCTGTTGGTTGTGTTTATAATGAGGCCCTGGCCAGTGCTTTCCCTAACCAGATGTCTGTGCGTACAGGGTCGCTCTTGCCTGGTGGAGGCAGTCTGCACAGCTCACTGAGGCTTTGTGGTAGCAGCTTCCTGCTTGGGTTTCATTTTAGCTGTTGTCAAAGGTGCTGATTCCCCAAAGCTAGAGGATTTCCGATGTTTTCTCTCTGGGGGGGAGGGGGAAGTAATAGGTTGAACTATTGGTTCTGATTTTGCCATTGAGCCTGGAACCTTAATGAGGACTTAACTCTTTTATTGGTGTTTTGTTCCTTCATCTTCTGCCTGCTGAAAGTGCTCATGATTTGGGGTCATAAGCTCCCAGGAGATCATTGGAGGTAGGTCCCTACCTCCAAACTCCTCCTTTCCTATGGACTTCTTAGAGGCCCATCAAAATCACCATAATCAAGCCAAGAGCCAGTGTGGCAATGTGGCATGTTAGAAGGCTGAATCTGGAGCCAAAGGACCTGAGTTCAAATCCCACCAGGATTTCCTCAGGCAAATCAGGTAGCATTTTAGTTTCATTTCCCTCATCTATAAAATGAGGGTGTTGGACTAGATCCTAACTATTGTGGGTGGAAGGAGAGATTTAGGTTTCTGTATTTTTGTCTCCTAAATAAAAAGGAATGCAGGAAGAGGCTTAAGATGGCATTTTCCTGTAGTTCTAGCCTACACCACTGTAAATGTAAATTCAGTGTCTCTGAGCTGTTCACTTCTGGAACCATGGAGAAGTGAAACAGCCTGGTGAGAGGTGACCTGAAATCTCTCAGACATTTTTCACATTCAAAAGTGTACGTGGGTTATTTAGGCAGATGGGATTCTCTTCCTAAACAGCCTGGTAAACCTCCCGGCGGGTCCAACAACTCTAGCCGAGGCAGATCTGATGGCAGCTTGGCCGACTGAGGCTTTCCAGGTAAAACTCTCCAAGTTTGTGCTCTTCTGGTCCAAACGTGCATTCTGTTTTCCTGGTGGTTTTATCTCATTTTCTCTAGAATCTTCCTATGAGAAAATCCATTAATACATTATGCTGCAGGCAGGAGACACAGGAGGATAATACAAGATACCTTAACTGACACCCAGTTTTGTAGCTATGAAAAGCTAAGTCAGCTACCATTCAGCTTGGTATGTGCAGGAGTTTGCATATGGAGATAATGAAAGCTCTGTAGTGACCAGGAAGACTGTCTGTCACTGGCATTTCTAGGTGTGCTGAAATTCTGTCTTGCCATTAATGAGTCATAATACCTTATTATTTAAAAGGGTTCATTAACAATTTATGTTAAATGTGTTTTATGCCTCATTCTCACTAAATTTGATTTTATAGTATGTTTTAAATTTGAGTAGAGGAAAGCCAAGCAATTTGTTCCAGGATATACTGGGTTTTATAATATCAGAAATTATTGCCAAATAGATTAACCAACTAAATTTAAAAAAAAAACTGTGGGTTAAATTCAAGTGGTTGAAATGGCACAAGATTGGATTCCACCTTGAGCTTGGTGACTTTGAGGGAATTTTGTTGAATTTATAATTTAGTAGAAAGCATAGGAACCCTTGGTGAGACTTTTAAAATGTCAGAATTCCTTTCTGGTGATCTTCTGATTTATGAATGGGCTGTCAGAAAACAAAACTAAAATCAGGTCTCTAGGCCATCAAATTGACCAGTTCTAGACATTCTGATTTACCAACAAGATGTTACCTATGTTTTGTCATCCATAAAGCATGCTTGGACTAGGTATTCATATCTGTTGTTTTCTGATTTTAACTTTTTCCATTGGTTGTAAAGAATAAATAGTGAGGGATCATTTCCTACTCTGCTCTCTCACTAGAAAGTAGGTGTGGCCCTGCTCAGATTAACTCTTTATAAACTTTATATCCATCAAGATCTTTTTGCTTATTTTTGTATCCCAGCATGTAGCATAGTGCCTGGCACATAGTAGGCGCTTAGCAAATGTTTATTGACTTCATGCCATATTCATTGAGAACAGACTTGATCTGGAGGTACTGCAGGGCTCCCCTCCTGAGGGAGAAGGCTAGGCATGTACTTCAACCATTCCAATTGGCATAAGATTCCAAGCAGTGGAGAGGATGGGGCTCTCCTTACTGTGAAAACTAGCCTAGCCTGCCCGGCACAATGTTGGGATAAACCAGAGATGCCTGTGGGCCAAGGGGTAAGAAAGGATGCAGCCGCAAGATACATTCAAATGGCTATGCAGAAGAGAAAGTAACCAAAACACTTTACCAAACAGTCTCATTTTTTGTCTTTATCTTTCCCCCGTTGCAACGTTTTTGTAGAGCACGATAGATTGTAATCTGTCAGCAAGTTTTAGTTTCTTGTGGAGGTCAGGGTCCATAAGGATTATTAACATCAATACAGTAGCGTGGGCAGGGTAGCCTTGGAGTCAAGATCAGACCTTGCCTGACACTTTTCTACCATCTTGACCAAGTCATTCCCTCTTAACCTTAATTGGTCATCTGTCAAACAAAAGCGACAGTGGCTATAGACCCTCTCAATAGGGTCGTTGGGCCAAAATGAGAAAATACAAAGCACTTTGCACATTTTAGTTATACAAATGTCAGCTGTTATTCACGAGATTGAATTTTAAACATAGCTGATGTTTAAGGAAAATAAAACTGGGAGCTTTATCCTAAAACTGGCCCTTATCAAGTACAAGACAACCCCTTTGGGTCCTCATCTCTTTAGGTTTTGTAGCAAACGAGTATGTTCTGGGTAACCAGAGTGTGTCCTGAGAAATACAGGACACTAAGAATGAATACAAAAAATCTGAAGAGCTGTAGTTTTTTGGCAGTTAATATTCAGGGCTATATCAGCCAACTCGGTGCTTTCCTCCCAACGGGCCTTGTTTTCCACTTCAGTTCATAATGATATAGCTTATGACAGGTTGAGAAAGGATAATTTAGCTTTCCTTGATCAACTAAGTCAGGGTGGTGACAGGCAGGGGGAGCACAGATTGAAATGAGTTATACATTTTTGCATTTTGTAGTGTTTGAAAGTTGTCTTTTAAGATGTTAGCAATCCCCACCCGTCTCAAACAGCAGAGTAGGAAATGCATCCACCTTAATTTAATCAACCCTTCTCCATGTATGCTGGGTGAGATGACCTTGTAGCAACATGTTCAAAGAAGTTAGTATTGTTAAGAGATTTGAAAATAGGAATGTAGTTGTGACCAAAACCCTAAGGCCTGGAACACATGTGGACATGAAATTAGTTCCTGGAAAAAGAAACAAGACTATCGAGGCAAAACAAGAAATACATTCATCTTTTGCATTGCACTCATCTCCACTGAGATTATGCTAGAACACACGAAGCATAAACTCATTGGTTTATGTGGGGAACTCCCAGCATGGTCAGGCCTTGTGGTGAGAGCTGAGACCTGTCTGAACTATGTTACTAACATTAGCAAGCCACTCGACTTGCTTAGGTCTTATTTTTCTCCTCTGAAATATCAGCCTAGATGCCCTCTTGGACGTCTTCCAACGCTAGGCCTACAACCCTATGAAATGGCCTGCCCAAGATCACAGAGGAAAAGGCAGAATTTGACCTTCTGCATCAAGGTCCAGCATTCTAGTTATTGGTGGGGAGAGGGAGCTTCATCTAGTCTCTGGTGTGTCTACGTAAGGTTGGCTTGGTCAGTAATTTTGTTACGACACAAGTTCCTAAAGACTCCTTTAGGAAAATGGAATCATGTGATCCAAGTGTAAGCTCATGCCATCCGATCTGGACACACGGAGGTGATCTAGGACCTTGCTCTGTGTAATTGAACTGTCTAAAAGCCCCTTGGCTTTTTTTTTTTTTTTTTTTACTCCCTTGGGTAAGATAACACACTGGAAGGCATAGGAGTGAATTTTCCAGGCCCTGAGTTTTTTCATAGTCTTGGGTTGTGTCATAATATGACAAATTTTTAATTTTCATTTATTTGTTCCCTTTCACAATATTGATATTCGTGTCTCTGTAGCTTTGCAAAAGCACTTAAACATCTTATATGTGTTCTCATCTCATTTTAACTAAAGTATACTGATTAAACAAGAATTAGCAGGTATAGACAGAGCTGCTTCAGCTTTTACTTTTAGCTCTTTATACTCACTTGAGAATGCTTTCTAGAGAACGTGGTCTTCCTTCTCCACAACCAACTCTTGCTGAGCTTTCTATTAGCCTTGGTGATGGAGACAAAGATATAATTTAAAAAGTTGACAAGGGAGCATGCTACATTGGGGCTATTACATTACAGAACAGTCTGATCCAAATTCTTGGGCTTCCATTGCCCATCCTTAGGTAGAGGTGCAAAGTGAGTGATCCTAAATTATCGAGTAGAGAGCCCCCCAGTTCTAAAAAATTAAGAGGAAGCAGCATTGTACTGGGGTTTCAGCCTCCCTCGTCCCCTTCATTAAATAGGCCCGTCTCTAGAGATGGTAGGACCATAGGAAACACTTCAGAGACCACTTAGTCTCCTTTTACAGAAGAAAAAACATGTCAGTGTCACAAAGAATTGGTAATAAAACAAGTCCAAGTTTAAAAGGAAATGTCACAAGTTGGGTCGTTTTCATCATCGTCAGTAGTGGCACACCTTGCCCAAAAAGACTGTTCATTCACGTTTTCCTACAGTTGACTTGAGAGAACTCTGACTTGTCCACCCCCACTGAGTTTTAGGCTTCTGGGTTAGTGGTGCAGAAGGAATTCAGTGACCACAAACAAAAACCCAAGTACATAAAAATCAACATTCCTGAGTAAGAATGGACTCGAGTCAATAAGGGTAAAGGAAGAGAGAAGCAATTAATCCAATACCAAAACTGGAAAATCAGCAATGTTACCTCCAACATCTTATAATTTACAAGATGGATTATAGTTTGTCTGAGGTTACACTTGATTCATTGTCAGAAGCTAAGGTACTCTTGGAAATAGCCAGGTTGACTACATGTGTTCCCAGGTCAGTTGTTAAAATTTCAAAATTTGTTACATGATGTTGAACAGAATAGCTGAGCTAAGTGACCCAGTGGATAGACCACTGGGCCTGAAGTCAGAAGACTTGAGTTCAAATCTGGCCTCAGATACTTAGTAGCTGTGTGACTCTGGGCAAGTCACTTAACCCTCTCTGCCTCAGTTTCCTCATCTGTCAAGTGAGCTGGAGAAGGAAATGGCCAACCACTCCAGTATTTCTGCCAAGAAAACCCCAAATGGGGTCATGAAGATTTGGACAGGAGTGAAAAAATGACTAAACATCTTTAAAGTATTTAATAAATTTACTATCTTTTTAAGATGGCTAATGCCACCCACTGAGTACTGCTGCTTTTGAAAGACCATCTTCAATATTTAATTGGGGAAATGGATGTCTTTTGTTCAGTCATTGGCGTACTCACAATAGCACATTTCCTTGGAGAACTAATGTTGGTGTTTCTGAGATCCCTCTCAGAGATCCCTCAAAGTAAGCAGAAAATCTGGGAAGCTGCAAATCTTGATTTATTTCCATCTTACAACCACTGTAGCATTTAAAAATAACATGTCTCATTCCATGTTTTTTTTCCCCGTCCTGAAGAAAGCTGTTTTAAAAGAATCTGTAGTCTTGCACAGTTGTCTTTGTGTTCATGTTGGATAAGTAAACCAGATAAAAGGACTTGTGTCCATGGCAAAAAGCATGGTTTCTTCCTGCTGCTTGCTTGGGTGAAGGACTTTGGGTTAATCACTTGAACTATCTTTGGATAAAATGGGTGCCTAGTAGAGCTGGCCTTCCTCTGAGCAGTCGAGGTGAAGCTAATGCTTATGTACCCTGGTACCTGGAAGTAAATACGAAACATTCTTCACTGCTAGTGTGCTTGAGTTCAGTCATCTTGAATTTAAACAAAAAGAAAGCACACGTGACTCCTGTGAAATTTATCCAATGTCATGGTCACTTAAGAATTTTGGCTTCTTCAACCAGACTTACGTATACACAACTCAATTTCAAACTAGCCCCAGCCCCCACCAACCCAATACTGAGGAAGCCTTGGCTTTGCTCTGGGGTAAAGGTTTATTTGACTGGCTAATTCCCTTTCCTAAATGACTGCCACTGAGTGTCAAGAAGTCCGTAATAACTATTTATGGTAGACTCAAGTTTATTTATTCTGTTTTTCTCTTTGTATTTTTGTCGTACCCAAGTCTGTGATGTCTATCAAAGTTGATCGCACAAAACAATAAAAACCTTTTTGAGAAAAGTCATCCTGGAAGGAATATAAGGAATTTTTATTCTTTTGCAAACAGTAGTCACTTGTGTCTAAATCATTTGTAGTCATAGGACTTCTCAAATCCTATGGCTCTGCCACTCACAGTGTAAGGTCACCTCCCCTCTTCAGGGCTCAATCTCCTCTAAAATGAGGAGTTTGGACCAGACCTTCAGGTCTCAGTGTGATCATCTGGGAGCCACCCTTTATTTCCCCATATAAACCAGTGACGGATAGTATTTTCTTGCCCAATAAACAAGCGAAGGCTCAAACAATCCTATCAACACATGATCACCTGTCCATCCATCCTCAGCAAGGGAAGTCCATTCCAAATTTGGAAGATTGATGAATGAGGCACTTCTGGCTTACAGAGTCAGCTTACACTGCCTTTTAGGGTCAAGCAATAAAAGAATCCTAATCCTTCCACCAGGCTATGATCATAACCCCCTCTATCTTTTCTTTTTCTCTGTTCTAAGCACCCCAGTAACTCCAATACTGAGATAACTCTTTTTTGCCTTCTCCCCTGGCATGTGTCAGTCAAGAAATGCTTAAGGGCTAACTGTGCCAGGGAGCCCTGGGGACATGAAAGCCAAGAAAGCAATTCAAGGAGCTCATTCTAATAGGGAAAAATAACGAGGTCTATCGCAACATGACTATTATGGATATGTTTTGCATGACCACACGTTATAATGTACATTGAATTGCTTGCCTTCTCAGTGAGGGAGGATGGGGAACGAGAGAATTTGGAACTCAAAAGTTTTAAAAATGAATGTTAAAAATTGTTTTTACATGTAACAGGGAAAATCAAATTCTAAATAAAAGCTAAAAAACATAACCAGGTATGCAGACGATATATACAAGTAGATGATTATCCGAAAGGGAAAGGCCTTACTGCTGTGGGTGGTACTTGAGCTGTTCCCTACAGGAAGCCAGGGAAATTAAGAGGTGAGGTGGACAATGAATACTAGACATCAGGGACAGCCAGTAGAAAGACACATGAGATGGAAACAGGCCGAGTATATGAAGCCAAGTCAAGTGGGAGAAGACTGGAAAGATAGGAAAGGACCAGGTTATGAAGGGCTTTAAATGTCAAATAGGATTTTACATTGGATCCTGGAGCCAAGGGAGCTCAGTACAGGAAAATGAGCCGGCAGGCCTATGCTTGGGAGTTTAGTGGAGCCCCAGCTGACAGGATAGCTCCGTGACCAGGGCATCTCTCTGAAAACAAGCGTTGTCAATTCTGCACAAGTTATCTTGGGGCCACAGCCCATTCCTGCCTCTCCAGAGCCTCTTCCTTACCCTTTGAGCATCACCAATACTGATGCTAACAAGGTGGCCTTTACTTTCAGGGAGAAGCTTGAGGTCATTAAAAAACACTGCACAATTTCTCCCAGGTAATCCAGCCTGCTCATTCAGCACAACTGGGCAACCTTATTAAATTAATGAACATTCTCTTGCTTTAAATACATACCACAAATAGATAAAAAAAATTTCATTATCAAGAATAAAAAAATTCATACAAGCAAAATTAACTACTAGTCCTGCAAATGGCACAGAAATAAAATACTTCTGGGTGCACCTGTAATAATTTGCTGGAGTCAAAACCCAAGTTACGGGACAAGAGTGACATAAGATGATGACGTTAAGAAATTTCATCCCGTTTTAATTTCAACCAAAATGTTATAGGAAGTTAAAAAATGGATACACTTCATAGCAAAGCAACAGAATAATCCCTCAAACGAGGGACAGCAAGAGAATTTATTCAGTTATGAGCAAATAATAGCTTCTTAACAGGATGGAGAAGTGAAGGGGACAGCTGCTGTAGTCTGCATCGGACTGGGAACCTCCAAACAAATCACAATCTCTGTTCATTTTTCCAATCTGATACTGGAAAACTAGCTGTAGGAATATAGTTGTGACCTTACTGGGTTTCAGTAGCATTTTACACCAACAAATTGTTTTCCACAATAGGGCAAATCACACAAACCTCTTACTGAGGCTGACCAAAACAGTAATCTTTATTTTTCCCATGAAAAAATGACCAAGTGTTAAATCTCCATGCCTAAATATTTTTAAAAGAAACAGGTGGTAATTTTAGAAGAAATTAGTTTAAATTTAAAACATTCTTTCCCTGCACCCCGAGAAGGCAACCTGGGTCTATTGCTCAACATCTGCAGTTTTTCCAAAGGACCCTTAGAGGTCACTTAGCTCAAAGCCCTCATCTTAAGGTAAGGAACAGACCCAGAGAGGGAAATGTCTCGGTCAAGGCCATTCCAGGACTAAGAAGGGATGGGAGTTGAGTTTGGGATCTGCAGCCTCAAGAGAGGGACAGACGACTTTTGACTAGGAGGCCTGGAGAAGGCCTCGGTGGTGATTGCGGTACCTGAGCTGTTCTTTAAGGAAGAGGAAGCAGTGGTAGGCATAGGAGTGTTACAACAAAGATCAGAACCAAAGCAGGGAGCAGCTCCAAGCCAGCCCACTGGAATGTGGATTTTCCAAACAAATCTCATTAAAATTTAGCTTTAGTAAAAATTAACCTTTCATACAGCAATAACTATACAAATATTGCATGAAAGTAATGTCTATTTAACAGTAGATCTGAAACAAGCCTATTATAGAAAAAACAATTTTGCTTTTTCTTTCAACACTCAATTAAATTCTCATGCTTATCAGTAATATAATTTACATAAAACACTTTGAAATGATCAACAGCCTTGGTTAAAAAAAAAAGCACCCAAAGCATATTTCTAAGTGTACTATGATTTAAGTTACCAACATGGGAAAAACAAAAAATTTACCTAAGATACAGCCTAATCTGGGGTAACCATGGGCTTAAGAAAAGCATTTCTTTTGGTCAGGCCACAAAATATGTTAAAAAAAAAAAAAACAACAAAAAAACCTGCACCGTTTCTCCCTACCTCACTCCCCTCCCACCCATCCTCCCATCAGTTTCCACTATCTAAAACTCATTAATCTTTCAATTATTGAAACCTGAAACAGGTCAAAGATCCATGACCTCTCAGCCTGCACCCTCCCCCTGCTTCCTGCACTTTGTAGGAGCCTCCATAACTAACACATTGATCATTCTCTCGCCAACCAAACGGATGAAGTTGCAACTTCAGCTGGGCAGCTACTTCTGCAAAGAGACACTGAATCTTTCAAGAGGCCCGTTTTCAAAGACTCTGCAACTTGGTAGGAGTGGGCTCAAATTTATGCCCAATTGGCACGACCTTTAGACATGGAGGAACGCTCAACTCTGAAGCCAGGCCAAGGCACCAGAGTAAAACTCTAAGGAAGGGCCACACAATTCTTCTGCTTAATCTCCCTTAATTCGAGAGCCTTCCCTCTAAGATTTTCTCCAATTTATCCTATCTTACCTACCCAGTTGTTGGCATATCTGTCTCCCCCAGAGTGGGGACGATCTTTGGCCTTTTTCTGAATTCCTAACACTTCACACAAGGCCTGACACATAACAGGTGCTTACTAAATGCTAATTGACTTGGCTTGATTATGATTAGCAAATATTCATGAATTCAGTTTTAGGATAATTTATTATGACTTTTTAATTTTAATCATCATAAAAGCTTTCCTATCAAGTGCAGATCTTTGAGATTAAAAAAGCACAAACCCAACTGTATATTTTATCATTTTATTAGGAATAATTTCAAGTGGGTTATGAAGAAACTAATTCATTATTGAGTTTGATGAATTTTCCAAAATCTCTTAATGAAGATATGTTCACCAATAAACAATAAAACATCAGCTGAACTATGATACATTGGGCAAAAAGTCAGGCTGATACCAAAAGCAACATGCAACATAAAAAAAGATACCATATAAAGGAAGACAATCTGCTGAGTATTAAAAGCCATCTCGGTATCAACTCTTTGCCACCAGCACAAAATTAATTATCCATCAAGTTCAAATCACACGAAGATAAGTGGGGCTGGTTAATAAAAAAAAGTTCCAATGTCCCTCAGTTGCACGAAATCTGAATAGTGTTTTAGAGCGTTTTCTTGGCTGGCAGCAGCAGTATTAGAAAGTCTTTTTGGCAAGGGAGAGAAATAAATACAAATGGAATGCTACGTTTTGAAATCAGCAGACTGTCCAAGGAATGACATAAGGTATCAGTAAAATAGCAAGGGGAAACTTTAAAACATTATTTATTGGGGCTCCAAAAAACATTCAGAACATATTCATTTAAAGGTTGTCACAATAGCTATGTCCAGGCATTTAGGCCAAGGGAAGTAAAATCATAAGAGTATGCTTTTTTTTTCAAGTTAAGGAGAATTTTTTAAATCCAAGTATAACTGCTACAATAGCAACATTAAACTTGGTAAACGATAATTGGCAACAAAATAAGTTTAAATGCTGTAAAATCCTGCTCAAACCAGTTCCAAGATACCATTGAATAACCAAGATGCAAACTAATTTTGTTGTAACAAGCCTAGACCCAATTCTATCAAACATGTCCTTGGTTAGTTATCCTGTCGGATTTAACGTTTTGAGAGCTCATTTGACAGCCAGTCAAGACCCTCGTACAGACCGGTTCCTTGTGTAGCACAGGTAGCTTGAACATACCACTGTGAAGAAATAAGAAAAAAAAAGCCTATTAACACGAGAAAACAGCCAATTAAATTTCAAAAATATCTTCTAAATCAGAACAATGCAAGAACAAGCATTCTAAGAGTTTATATCAATTAGCATAAAACACAAGAAACTGAAAATTTTAACTGCAGACTATACTAAGATTACATCTATGAAAGTAAATATTTATATAAGATAAATAACTGATGAATCTTCCTCAATCTCAAATCTGATTCTCTCAAAGAGCACAACCAACCCTAAACAAGATTATAACCACTGTTAGAGTGGGCAGACTTCATGATACCCATGTCTCACAAAATGACATTTCTCCTCCCTTCTAACATGACTGTCCAGTATTTAACCAGCTGTGTGACCGTAAGTCCCAGCTCCGGGACTCAGTCTTCTCATCTGTAAAGAGAAGCTGGATTAAACAATATACCAAAGTCCCTTGCAATCCACAAACATCCAGCTGCAAAACGGGCACCAGATTCATATTTCCCCCAAATGTCAAAAGACTCATGATATAAAAATATGAAGACCCAACCGATGGGGTTTTTTGGTTTTTGTTTAACTCTACTTTTTTTCCCTTAACAAGAGAAACTTTTGGGATTTGGGAGTAATGGGAGAAATGACAGTAATGTAAAAAGAAAAAAAATCAGTAAAACAATTCTTTAAAAATAAATAAGAACCAGCACCTAAGTGCACCTGCCTGCTGCAGGGGCGAGCTCATTAAAGGCTGCCTCTGGAAGTGAACTCAACTATCCTTGCAGAGTCAAGTCAAAGAAAATGGGAGGGGGTGGAGCCATCTGGGTTGGGCCATGTGTTACCACATTCCTTGCCTCTTCTTCCACCATAATGGACCCCCTAAGTCACAAGGGAAACAAGTTACTTCCAGTAGGCCTCTGGCTCTGCCCAGTTAGTCAAGCCCACTAATGCTGTCCTACTAAGAGTCTTCATCCGCCACCCCCCACAGTGCAAGGCCAGATCCCGCCTTAGCACTCACAGTTCTGTTACGAAGGGACTGCAGGCCTAGTTTATCTGTCATTTCACTGATGGCCATGGCATTTGGCAGATCCTGCTTGTTTGCAAAGAGCAGCAGCACAGCATCCCGCAATTCATCTTCCTGAAGCTGGAAACAAATTGGTGTTAATGACATCACTACTTCAACGAAATCCAATCTCCATCGTGAGGTGACAAAGTGAACCTTTCCTCCCTGTTCCAATCTCACAGGTCCCCCAGATTCCTTCCCAGCTCAGCCCCATACCCTGCCCCCCACATTACTCTGTACATCTCATACTGACTTACCTGGGGGCAAGGAGTTCCCCCTAAACTATTAACTCCTTGAGGGCAGGATCATTGGGGTTTTTCCTTTGTACCCCCAGCGCCCAGGCCAGTAAAGGTGGCACTGCACACTCTCTGAGCCACAGGAGAAATGGAAGGCTGTCAGGGCAAGCTTCTTACGTGCTGACCAAATTTCAGATCGTCCACTGACAAACCCAATGCACGATCACTCAAAGCAACGGAGCAGGATGACCTTGCCTCACTGCCCGGCCAGATGCCTAGCCACCAGTTCACCTTCTAGGAGGGACGATGTCAGCAGAAGGAAGGGCGGGCAGGGGTCTGATATTTAACAAATATTTGCTAGTCAGTATCTCCCTAGCTTCTCCTGCTCTTTCCCCTTATCTTCAGCCAAGCAAGATGGGAGTCAAGACAAGAGCTGGTGGAAGATCAGCCACTCTACAAAAGCAGGCCGTTTGTGCCTCCATGCACCCCAGCTGCCGGACCCTTGGCAGGGGCAGATGCCAACGGGCCGAGAAAAGGCGCCATCTTTCTTCTCGGATGTGACTGGAAGGACTGGCCAAAAACAAGAATGCTACATATATATTCAGAGAAGGGAGTCTCCAAGACAACAGCGTCCTCTTCTCTTTGCTAAGTTGTGCCATTATGGCCAAAGATTTCTTTTTTTTTGGCTAGGCTAGGTTAAGTGACTTGCCCAGGGTCACAAAGCTGTTAAGTGGCAAGTGTCTGAGACAGGATTTGAACTCGGGTCCTCCTGATTCCAGGGCCAGTGCTCTATCCACTGCACCACCGAGCTGCCCCCACAGCCAAAGATTTTTGATATAAATGAAGTAAGAGCACTTGGGGCAAGCACCAAGTGAGCTGGGTGTGACGGCGGGCACTCACATGACCTCTTGGAGCTCAGTTCCTTCATCCCCAAAATAAAAGTTCTGGTACTAGAATTCCCCATCCCTTCCAGCACTAAAATTCAGTGTCTCTGTGACTCCAAGATTAAAATGTTACAACCATCACCACTTGATGTTGCAAACTCATTAGCTTCACCCTGAAAATCTATATAGTTGAACAACATGACAATTTTAAATGTAATTATCTTTTTATTAATATTTTAATTTAATTATTTTCTTACCATTTTTTGCAGCTCTTCGGCTCCTTCTTGAATTCTCTCACGATCATTGCTATCTACCACAAAAATAAGACCCTGGAAGGAAAAAACAATTCTGATGAGCTAATCATTGAGAAAATATACCCCGACCCCCAAAAGCCACGTTATTTCTGTCAGGACTTTAGTTGAAGTGATTCATTCCAAATAACATGAACAACCAACTAATGCCCAAAATTTTTATTAAATATGCTTCAAAATCATAAAACAACTAGTTTAATTTTACCCAAATCCTTTTCCTTCCTTCTCTCTAATTTTTCATGGAAGTAGCCACAAGGATTCAAAAAGTAGGACAAAACCAAAAAGCATCAAAACTGTCATGTTCTGAGATTTAGAATCAATAGCTGACTCACAAAATTAAAGATACAAAATTATAACTAAAAACACAGATCAGAAAAGAAATGCTAGAAACTTGATTTCTTTAAAACAAAGTTAAATATCCTAGTATAGCTTACATTTAAAGAACAATTTATGGTTTAGAAAATATTTCCCCCAAACAATGCTGAGAGGTACCCAGGGCAAGCAGCTGAGAAGTGCTATGACTCATCCAAGGTCAAAGAGCTCTTCATAGACATGGACCAGAACTTGGGCTCTTGTCCCAGTTATATGTACTCTCTATCAAAAGACAGAAAAGAACAGGACAACTTTGGGGAGAAAGGAAATTCTAGGATACTCTGAGAGATAAGAAAAGTGTCTCCAAGACACAAGAACAGAAGTTGGGACATCTTGTTAAAAACATAAAGCTAAAATTTTTGGAGGGGACCTCTTGTCTGCATTTCCCTCAAGATGCCTGTTCAGAACAGACTTGAATTTGTTGGCATTCCTTGGTTAAAGACCTTGTTGGCCACCACTAACTACAACAGTCATGTTAGCCTGTATATCAAATGCCCAAAGAAATGACTAGAAGTATTGATGGTGCCACCATACTGGCCAAGCTGTCCATCATTCCTGTGAGGCATGGCTACTGGGACCACAAGCTTGGCAAACCCACCACAGTACCCTCCAAGGTCAGCCCTTGTGACTCTGATGCCTGATGTAAGGGTATCCACATTGTCTCGGTTCTGGTGGCTGAGAAGCTAATGATGAAAGCAGAAATGAATGCCTGCCAGGGGCTGAATTTAAATTCTTTTCGTTGACTTCACTAAAGCTACACCTGATGTCATCTACCAAACCTACAGCAACCCAAAATAGTAATTTTCCAACTAGGATATGTTGGGGGGAAATGAACCATATTCTTTTATTCTTATAAGAATGAGCATGAGGAATCTGGAAGAAAAAATGTAATGCACAATTGGTATCATCTTAAGTTTATAAGATCATATGGTATGCAAAGGGGAATAACAGCCCCTCTCTAAAACTGCTGCTTTTTTTTGTTTTTGTTTTTTCGCTTGGGTGGTTGGGGTTAAGTTTCTTGCCCAGGATCACACAGCTAGTAAATGTCAAGTGTCTGAGGCCGCATTTGAACTCAGGTCCTCCTGACTCCAGGGCAGGTGCTCCATCTACTGCACCATCTAGCTGCCCCTTTAAAGATATTATTCTTTTTTTGTTTGTTTTTGTTTTTGCCAGGCAATAGGGTTAAGTGACTTGACCAGAGTCAGACAGCTAGTAAGTGTCAAGTATCGAGTCTGAGATCACATTTAAACTCAGGTCCTCCTGACTTCAGAGCCAGTGCTCATCCACTGCACCACCTAGCTGCCTTTAAACTGCTACCTTTTGACTCTGGACAGCTAACAACTCCAGGCACCAAATAATCAAGGAAATATTCAAGTACAAGTCAGATAAACCTATAAGTATACTTATAGTAACAGAAACAGTGTCTACCCAGTTTCCAGAGAGCAACATAGTAGCAATGCAGAAAAGGAATTATCATCAGCAGCCAGAAAACCTCAAAGACAGCCTGATGCCCAGCACTTTTCTTGCCACTTTACTACTGCTATTACCTAACACTTCCTCTCCTGTCTCCACTCCTCCTTCCCTAATGCCAACCTCCTCAGCACCCACCTCTGGGAGGCCTCGGAATTCCCCACCCAAGTCTTCCTCTCACATTTCTTCCACCTACTTGGACTCAAGGCAACACGGCTCCCCTAACGAGATTCTCCCAGGTCCCTGGCCTTCCTCTAGAAGTAGGTGCAACCTTTCACTGCTCCCCAATATACGAGGACACAAGGAATCCCCATAATGCTTGCTATTCATTGCTTCCCCTCTCAAACCCACACACTTGTTTCTAATTTTTAAGGGAAGCACTATAAAATTCCATGGAAGTGGTACACAATTAGATCTGACATTCAAATTTTTAAAAAAATCTGCCTTTTTTACATCCCTTTTTCCTCTCTCCTGCCATTCATCTTGAGCCTCCTCCTACCCTCTTCCATTCCATCTCTTTTAATGCTCCTTGGAAAATTTTGGAGACCAGAAGAGCCAATAACCATACATAACTTGGTAGATATTTTACATTTTCTTAAGAAATTGCAACCTCCAAAAGAGCGTAAGTTCCTAGAGAACAGGGACAGCTTCATTCTTGCCTCTGTGTCCCCCACACCTAGCACAGGGCCCTTCATATAGGGGCTGAATAATAAACGGTTTTGCAATCCAATCCAACCATGAAGATGTTTGCCGTTTTCCCTCACTGTGACTAGCTGAACAGAGGTTCAAGTCCATTAGTCGCATGGATCAGTCCTGAAGCAACAGTAAATTACATTTTTTCTGAGAGAACATATTTCGAATGCCAGCCAAAGAAGCATGTCAAGATGGCCACTCATGCCTAGCAACATGGTGCAGACAGTGCAGCAATGACGGAAGCAAGACGATCTTCTCACGCCCGTTTTCGCTGAAGCTTCTGGGGAGCTCCCTTATTTTCTGGCCATGCTGCTGTGTCCTCCAGCATATCACCACCGATTCTGGGCCCTCCCTCAGTCACCTCTCCTCCTTTGATGTTCACTCCCATGCCAATAGACAAGCCCACAGGCTACTCCCTTTTCTTTCTCAGAGAGTTCATTACTAGGATCACTCTCCCATGTTGGGGTCTTTTACATACACACTGATGGCCCCTCCAATACTCTGCCAACTCCCACCATCACTCCACTTTAACCAAACACATCAAGAGTCAAGCTCTGGATCTTGCCATCAAGCACAGCCGTTCCCTCCCCAGGGCCCAGGAGGCTGACTTTCTGATTCTGTCTCTAAATCTAGACCCTATGATTAGTAGGCACTCCCTAGTTTGTCCATCTCTCTGCCTCACTGTGACCTTGTCATTCCACGTCTCCACTCTCTCCCAATCCATCAACTCCTGCTCCGGCCTCCCTTTCCTCCTTCTGCTGTCTTAACCCCACTGCTTACAGGTCAACAAGCATTTCAAAAGGTTGTGTTAAAAGATGGTGTTGGGGCAGATAGGTGGCACAGTGGATAGAATTCTGGCCTTGGAGTCAGGAGGACCTGAGTTCAAATCCAGCCTCAGACACTTAACACTCACTAGCTGTGTGACCCTGGGCAAGTCACTTAGCCCCATCGCCTCACCAAAAAAAAAAAAAGAGAGAGAGAGAGAGAGAGAGAGAGAGAGATGGTGTTGCAACAGTCTACATGCGGCAGCACCCCTTAGGCCTCCCCTGCTCCATCTCACAGATAAGCCAGTGAGGAGGAACTGGCTCTCGTTAGTGCTGATAACTCACATATTCAGTGCTTCAAGGCATACAGACAGCTTTCTTCCCAACAACCTTTCAGGGTAATTAATGCAAATACCTTCAATTTTCCAAATGATGAAGTGTGGGCACAGAGTTTAGGGTTAGAGTGGGAGGCAAATTGGAGTTAGGGTCACAAAGCTAATGCCTGCCAGAGTCAGGTCTCAAACTCAGATCATCACTTCAGTAAACACTGAATAAGTGCCTACCATGTTCCAAGCACTATTATGCTGTCTTATTGGCCCTTTCCTAGCTAGGAATCATCCTGTTCAACATGTAATCCTGAGAGAAATTTAAGCTCTTTGAGAAAGCAATAATAAAGAAAATTTTTACTAAAGTAATCTACATCCAAGGCAGTCTCTCAACATTCCCAATATTAAAGATATCCTGGTGCCTAAAAGAAAAGTGCTGAAGCATTTGTCTCCTTCTGTGGAGAAGAGACATAAAAGCAGAGCCCAGGGATGAAAGAACATGGAGAGATGAGGATCTGCACCACTGGAAGGAATATCACAGGCATCATACAGCTGAATGTCAAACATCTAAGCATCCTTGGGGAGGGGGAAATTCTCTGGCTGAAGACCAGAAATTAGCTCCTTTCTGAATGGAGTAAGTGAAAAGAGGAACACAATTTTATGTTTCACAACACAGACACATGATTCCTTCTTTGGCTACAAACTAGGAAAGAACATCAGATCCCTTGCAGGTTAGAAATCTGTTAATGGCCAAAGGTAAACTAAGACCTTGTCTAACAGCGATGAGTTATGATTAGGCTTTCCTAATGACTCCCACAGCCAGCTATGAAAAACTACAAGGGCTTTTGATAGAAAACTGGACCAGAGCTATGAACAAGTCCTGGCCTAATTCCACAGTAAAGGTTTGAAGCAAATTAGAAACAAGTATTCTAATTAGGTCTGAGTATGAGAACAAGATTAGATTTGGCTATGACTGATAGGAATTGATGAGAAAAATATGAAGTTGAAAGTACCCTAGAGGTCTTCTTTAAAAGAATCAGCTTATATCATTGATAAGTTTAGTATTAGCAATTAATTACCAAATTGTTGATATAATTAACATTAATAATGATAAATAATCATTGATTATTTAAGTTATGCTATTTCAATATATTTTTTAATTAAAAAAAAAGAAAAATACCCTCTTTTCAGAAGATTCTAATAGTACAAACCACTTGACCAAGGTGGTACCTGAGTCTTAGTGCAAGAATCTTACCCCAGCCACAAGAAAAGAACTTTGACGCACGAATAAACAGAATTAAACCAGCAAAGGTAAGCAAAATGCCAGTCAACTTACCTTTTCTCTGACTAAAAAGATTTGCCTTCAACCTCAATTTCTTTGGTACAGACCTATGATATTTCATCTCTATTAAGGAGCTCGAAAGTGAGGAAGCTTCCTGAACCACAAAGGCAGGTCAGCACCTCGGAGAGCTGCCTGGGGGTTCTGGGAGGGTCAGAGGCCTACTGGCCCTGGGCCACTCAGTCAGGATGCACTCACTGGAGACAGTATTTGAAGTCAAGTTTTCCTAACTCTGTTCATCACACCTCACTGCTCTGCAGCCTCAGCTCCATGTTAATACACTCAGGTAAATGTGGTTCGATGCCTGTACCTTCTGTCCTGATTTGTCCTCAGCTAATTGCAACTCTGTCATCCCCTAGAACTCACACAGGACCACAACTTTAAATGATGGAAGGGCTCTAAGGACACATCTAGTCCAACTCCCTCATTTCACAGATAAAGAAACTGAGGCCCAGAGAGGTTATGTGATTTTCCAGGCCTCAAACAGAAAGTGACATGTGGGATGTGAATGCAGGATTTCATGGAAAGAACAGAGACCTGGACAAATTATTCTTTGCATACAATAAGCTCTCCAAAAACATTAGTTTGATAACATTTTGTAAAACAAATATATTCAAAAGATAAAAGGCCCATGCTAAAGCTCCACTTGGATATTAGAAGGCACAGCAATAACAACAAAAATAATTATTATCCCCATTTTACAGATGAGAAAACTAAGGCTGGGGGATATTAAGTGACTTGCCCAGGGTCACTAGCTCTGGGCTACTAAGTGCCTAAGGGAAGATTCCAACCCAGGTCTTCTTGACCCAAGTCTAACTTTCCATCCACTCTGCCAGCTCACAGCCACAATGATAACCCAACCCCTGCCCCCTACCCCTCTTCTGCTCCTGAGATGTGAGGCTCTGAAAGGGTTCCCTGTGTCACTTCCCAGCCACAGCCACCATTTTCAAACTGGTGAGCCTCCCTTCCTCCTCTCTCCTCCCCCAGCTTCCCTTTAGGTGCCAGGTTTCATTAGAACCTAAACTTCTTCAAGGCTGAGACCATCTCTGCTGCCTGTCTTTGTATCCCTAGTGCCTAGCACAATGTCTGGCACACAGCAAGCAATTAATAAATGCTCTTTACCAACCATGACTGAAAGGCTCTGACGACAGACAAGGCACCCAAGACTAGCCTCAAGCTGACTAACTGAACGCTAAGATGAAGAGGGGAAGACACTAGCATCAGGCAGGGGCACACAAATACTGACCACTTTATGGACACAAGTAATGGTAAAAAACACATTAGCTACATTAGGTTTCCAAACAATGCAGAAAGAATATTCCCAAAATAATCAACAAAAGAGTGAATGTACTACAAATTGTTACTCTTTGTTTTGTTTTTAAAGGAAATTCTATCTGATGAAATTAAAAGGCTTCTAAAGTTGGTGTTCAGTACATGAAAATAACATTTAACTTTAGGTAATTACCTATACTTTGTTACTTTCTAAACTAAAGCTGCAAGTCAGTAAAGTGAAGACAGTAATAAGTAGGGGGTAGCTAATTCACCGTCTGGGACCCAAAAAACCTTCCTGTGATCACTCAATAAAGTCTACTTCTCCAGGCCAAATTCAGTCCATATAAGTAAAAGGTGAAGTCCACCCAAGGACATGAAAGTAATGATAAGAGGAATGCTAACTCATGTCTGAGAAAGCTTATAATACACACACACACATACATACGTGTATATATACACATATATACATTATATATATATTTACTATATGTTAATAATATGTAAGAAAATCAGTATCGTACCTGTGTGTTTTGGAAGTAATGCCTCCAAAGAGGTCTAATTTTATCTTGACCACCAACATCCCATACTGTGAAACAAATATTTTTATATTCTACTGTTTCCACATTAAAACCTAAGAAGAAAAAAATCATAACAGTTATGGAAACTGACCAACAGAATCCACTGTTGCAATATTCTATTATTCTTTTAAGTTTAATGAATGTTTAGCAAACTTTCAAAAATAAAAACTAGTTTGAATTACAGCATTTACTCAGCAATAAGTTGCATTACTCCAAATTTTAAAAGTTCTCTTGTCACTTTACAAATTAGAATGAACCATTATTTTCCTTACCGATAGTTGGAATGGTGGTGACTATCTCCCCTAACTTCAGCTTGTACAAAATAGTCGTCTTGCCAGCAGCATCCAAACCAACTGGGGAAATGAAAATAGATTTTAGATTCTAATCCATAGTGTGAACTACAAAATTATTTTACAAACAGCCTCACAGAATCTAAAGATTAATTTTTCTTTAAAAAGTAAAACAGAGGGGCAGCTAGGTGATGCAGTGGATAGAGCACCGGCCCTGGATTCAGGAGGATCTGAGTTCAAATCTGGCCTCAGACACATAACACTTACTAGGTGTGTGACCCTGAGCAAGTCACTTAACCCCATTGCCTAGCTTAAAAAAAACTTAAAAAAAATAAAAAGTAAAACAGAAACATTTCTGGGAATAAATGTAAAATTTTTAAATGTCTTTTACATTATTTTTGACCCCTAGACAAAATGTATTTCAACTAAAGAAAATATTTTCAACCAGAACTGTCCAGTGATTTAACTTTTCATAACAGCCATATCAAGAATCAAAAAATTGATTACAAGAATATAAACAAAAAACATCAACCCTACTTCTTTCACTAGTATTATAAAACGGGGAGAAGGGGAGAAAGAACTCCAAGGTACAATGGCAAAAATGATCTTAGTTTGTCTAAACACCATCTTCCCAACATAAACCAAGAGAAACAGCACAGTGTGGAGGGTAGAGCTGTGTTGAAGTCCTGTACCATACACTGACCAACTGTATGACTCTGAGGGAGACCAGTAACTGCTCTGTGTATCAGTTTCCTCATCTGTAACATAAGGCTGGACTCAGTGGTCTCTAAGCACTTTCAGCACTTAACACAAGAACAGCCTCATAAATAATATACTAAACCCTTAATGAATGTTTGTTGATTGAATCTCTAAGGTCACTTCCAGCTCTGAATCTATGATCCTATGAACCATCACCTGGAAATCAGAAAACTAAGCCCATTAGTCAGTTGGGGTAAAAATCTTCTGAAACACAAAGAATGTTCTTCTCTTCAAAAGAGATCTGTTTTAAAACCTGGAAGGTAAAAAACTAAGGGACTAGAACAGGTCATATTTTTATAGTGCATGAGGCTGACAAAACATTCTACTTCCACTTAGCTCACTTGATAATGAGCACTTAAGAAATGTTATTTCGCTGATTTGTATAACTGACTACTCCTTATTTCACAAATGAGAAAACAGGCCTGAGGGTCTGGCAAGACTCTTCCAACCCAACCCAACTTTTGCAACAAAGCCTGAAAAGACATGGGGGCCCTGGGTATCCAGAGCACGTCAGAAGGCTTCCCAGCATAGGGGGACAATTGAAAGAGGGCAGCAGGGAAGAACAGCTTTCACGCTGGTGACAAAACCCGAAATGAAATAAATGAACGAATAAAAGGCAGCTCTTGATCTCAGTGGTTATTGCCTTGTTATCACAGAAAGCATCTAGACAAGAATCTTCAAACTCTACCTAGTCTACCTTACCAAATACATATACTACATCTTTTTTTTTTAATACCTTCTGGTGCCTCACCCTGACCACAAAATCGGCTAAAATTTGCAGCACTAAAGAAAAATACCAGTTAACTATTTAAAAGAACAGAAAATGCTTATATAAATACAAATCTCGAGAGACCTAAAAATCTTTAAACAGCAATTCCTGGAGCATTCATTTAATGAGTGATCAACAGCACAGAATGATCATAATTTTTTAAGATAATAAAAACGTCAAATTTCCCCACTGAGTTTTTGTTGTGTCACTGAAGACTCAAACAAACTGAAAAGGCTATTTTTCCAATGAAATCCAATTTGGCAAAAGGAACCCAAGCTTTCAAGTCAAAACCTAGTTCTAATTACTATACTATTACTCACTTGATCCATCACCTCAAGTAATGAAAAATTAATTTTCAATTTTCTTTCAATAAGGTACTCAATTAGTACATTTAGACTCACTGGGGGGGGGGGGGGGGTTTCAGAGGCAGAAAGGAGGAAGCAGGGCCTGTGATTTCATCATCATAAGGAAATCCTAGCATTGAACTCTCTCTCTCTCCAAGAAGATCAGCAATTCATATAATCTTAGAGTTAGTTGGACCCCAGAGATTAAGCAACTTGCCTAGGCTTCACAGAGCCAGCATGCATCAGAGCAGGCCACTATTTAACCTAAGTCCCCTTGACACCAAAGTGGGGTCTCTAGCCATTATCATGCTGCCTCTCATGGAATGATTACTGAAGGTAGTTTCAGATGGCTGATTCCGTCTGCAAAGAAATTCTTTTTACTTTTCTTTTCTTTATTCATCATGCATTATGACTTATACTTTTAAAGAGCTTATATCACTCTTCCACCATCACTCTCGCCGATTTTTGTATTATAGAGGAACCTACCTTCCCCAAGTATTTCAAACAAATTTAGACATTTTTTAAGAGCAAAATAGAATTTTTAAAACTTGAAAAGCACTACTAAAATAGTTCAACTCCCTTGAGCATCTTCACCAGGACTACAGGGAGCTCCAATTTCCGACACAACTGAATTCTATTCTTAAATGTCTGGTATCTCTCGAGGCAGTGGAAGGGAACAGGGAACACTTGCCATACTGTCCATGGGGAATAAAGTCCAAAGTGACTTTATTCAAAACTTAAAAATTGAAGCAAAACTCACTTTTGGCTAAACAAAACACTACGAAGTCAAAATTATACCCAAGTTTGATATTAAAAAGTTGCCCTCACATGAGACCAGGAAATATACAATTTATGCTAATTTTTAAACAAAATTTTGTTAATTACTTTTTAAAAATTTTAAAAATAAGTTTCACTAATGCCTTTAACTCTTACAGTACTGTCATTTCCAGATATACCCTACTCTCAAAGAAGCCTCCCGTGGCAACAAAGAAAAATATTTAAGTAAAACTAACTCTTCAGGTGCCCAAGTATTTGACAACACATGCAAATCTTTGGCATGAACAAGCAGTCCCCACTCTACCAAAAAGAGAGGTGTTTCCTCCTCTCTTCTGGGGCCAAGACTGGTTGCCTGCAATGACTTGGACACAGGATTTCTTTTAGCATTTTTTGGTTTACATTATTTTGATCACTGTATATGTGCATGGTCACTTACTCTGCATCAGTTCTTAAAAATCTTCCTGTTTTTCTGAATTTCTATTTTATATTCTAATATATTTTCATACCAACTGATCCAGTCACTTTACTTTGTTCATCCCCAAAATATGTTCTGATCAAGGTGGTATACATAGGGCCTGGGCCTGTCTCCCCTGACCCCAAGCATCAAGGGGCACAGCTCAAAGTCAAAAGATACCCCTCCCCCCAGGCTTCATGGTTTTTCTCACATAGCTAATTACTTTTATAAACAGATATTACGGTAAAATAATTTTGCATAAGAACCTTAAGAATCTTTCAAGGGGGCAGCTAGATTTCACAGTGGATAGAGCACTGGTCCTGGAATCAGGAGGACCTGAGTTCAAATCAGGTCTCAAACCAGACACTTGACACTTACTAGCTGTGTGACCCTGGGCAAGTCACTTAACCCCCACTGCCTTGCCCAAAAAAAAAAAAAAATTTTCCAACACTCATAATACAGTAATAAGTATTTATAGAAGCAGTGTTATCATATAAAGGTGTTGGTTTAAGAATTAGTTATCTATTAGATATCAGAATATGCAATTTAAAAATAAAAACCAAAGATGGCAATTAAATTTTAGTGTCTTTTGTAAAATGAATACATAACAAGACTTTTAAATGCCAACTAAAAGGTACAATCATGAAATTGCCTCAGTGATCCATAACTTCTCCCAAAATGAGCTTACTAATACACAGCATAAACAGATTATATATATCTTAATTCATTAATTAGAACACCAAATAAGTGATCTAATTCACTTATACTAAACATTTAAGTATGAATTATCTTGTTGCCACAGTCTGCAACAGGACTTAAGAACAAGAAACTAAAACTAATTCTGATTATTCAGAATAAGAGAAAGCTTCTTAGAATTTTAAATACATAATTCATAATAAAATAAAAAGACGTATTATGAAATTACTAATTTCTATTTCAGCTGTAGTTGAATATATAAAAGCTATACATTAAGATAGAATTTCTACATAAACTGCAAACAACTCAGTGCTGTGATAGAATGAAGATGAAGAAATTCAAGAACTATTTATATGACATCTTGAACCAAGCTAGACTTTTTGCCAATCATGGGCAAAATGGTCAAAAGTGTTTTCTTCTCAGCTTACTGCACTTTCATCAGCACCCAGATGGGAAGGTGGCACTCTCACAGGGCCAGATGCTCTTTATCTACATGACTACACTAAGCTAAGGATAGTGTTTCAACTCATAGCCGCATAAAACTATGAAACCTGGCAAGTTCTACCATCTACTTGAAATTTGTAGTATTCCAGAAACGCCCCCAAGTCAAAGTAAATATTGATTTCTCAGACAAAGTGTTATGGAGACAAATATTTAGGTGAATGTTGAGTTGAGTGATTTTTTTGAAAATGCCCTGACAGAAACTTGGGAGGGAAACACTTCTGCCAGTACATGGAACTTTCACAGAAATGAAGAAAGACTATACAAGAAATCTTGGCTTCTACATCATCAGCAAAAACCTACCTTATATTTTGAAGTTTTCGCTAAAGCTTCTTTCACTTCTAAAACTGTAAAAATTCTGGATATCTCAATGCAAGAATAAAGTCTTCCAATTTCTCTACATGAGCTTATTCTCCCCAAAATAGGGGAGTCGAGATCTAGAGACCCAGGCTGCCCCTAACTTGTGAAATTCTGGACAAGTCATTTCCCCTCCACAGGGCCTCAGCTACCTCATATCAGAGAATTGGATTAGATGATGTTGAAGAGGTCCCTAATTAAATACTGCTCCCAAAGACAAGCAACGTCATGTTCTTCTTCAGCATTTCAAGGATGCCCTGCCAGCAGAATGTGTTTCCTTCCATCTACAGAACTCAGAACCCCTCTGTAACTCAGTAGTGGCCTCCAATCAATAGGATGTAAGCTCCTTAAGGGCAGGGACTGTTCTATGTATCTCCAGCAAATAACATATATGGACATATATGAGATTAATAAATGTTTGAAGAAATGCCACATTCAATACTCTTATAGTGTGTGTGTGTGTGTGTGTGTGTGTGTGTGTGTGTGTGTGTGTGTGTGTGTAAAATTCCACCTGAAGAAAAAAGTTAAGATCACAGATTTGAAATACTTTCATCTCTGGAGACCACTGATGTATTCAGTACCACAGGATCAGGAAACATAAACAAGACCAGTAAGTAGAAGATATAAACAAGGAAATCAATTTTGCCTCAATATTAGGAGGTTTCCCACTCTATTCAAACAAAGACCAATTATTTGTCTGGAAAATTATTAAATGGAATCATTCCTTAGGTAAGGGTTTTCAGAATTGATGGATGACCTGAGGGAAGTTACTTCTATCAGTTTCCCAATCTGTAAAATGGAAGAATTGGGTAAGATGACCTCTAAGGTACTTTCCAGGTCTAAAAGCATGATCCTATGATCTCAGAGGCTCCTTCCAGGAATTCCTGTGTTGAAATCCATCTTTAGACACGCAAGTGACTTCACCATTACTTTCCTCCCAGGGTTGTGGTAACAAATCAGATATTATATAAAAGCTATTATTAGTAATAGTGTTATTTTGATAAAAGAATCACTAAATTGGACATTTTATCATGTATGCAGACACATTTTGGTAATCAAGTCCAAGACAATATTACAAAATTACCTGTCAATTTCCAACTCATATCTCATCAGAAATTCAAGTTAAGGGTAAATCACCTTCCAGACAAATCCATTTATCATTCATGTGAACAAATTTTTCTCCCTTACAATAACTTCACTTTGAAGTATATGTGACCAATTTCTTAAAACAACTGAAAATTATTTAAAGAGAAAAGACAGAAAGTAGAAAACTCTTAAAAAACATTTCTACATAGGTTATCATAATCTCATATCCCTAACCAGCTTTTAAAAAAGGAAATCCTGGAAAAAGACACTGGCTGAGGAGGTCCAACGGTTACCTACAAAGGAACAAGTGGAACCACTGGCAAAGCATGTTCTGGTCACAAGGAACAAAACGGGGTCCTTTTAATAACTATAAGGTTTCAGGGGGGAGTGAGGCTTCATCAGGTTCTCTCATCCTAGCTACACTGTGAATCTTAAACCAGGAGAGAAAACTCTCAATCTTTAAATTGAAACAAATTTTTTTCTTAGTTTATATTTTACACACACACCTGCATGTTGATTAATATGTCCTTTGTATATCTTTTAACAGTGTGATATCTTTTAATTGGAAAGTATTTAATAGTCTTCTATATCAAGGGGCATGAAAAAAGTTTTAAATCAAAGGAACTTAATAGTCAGCACAAGTACAAATGGAAAAACAGAAAACCTAGATGAAGAAACTTCAGTTTAAATTAAATTTAGAACCAAAAGCTTTCTTTTGATCGAGGAAAGAAGTGGCAATGTAAATAGTTGGCATTTCTATATATAACCTTTCAAGACCTTTTATACACTTTCTCACATGACAGTAGATATAACTACAACTTTCATCAATATCCTGCCCCCTTGCCCTCAAACCAAGGTTTTCACACTCTCCAGAACAGTCCCTTTAGCTGAGCCTGGACAAATATTAAGACACTGTGGACCTAAAAAACCTCAATTCATTTCCTATGGGTTCTGAAGTAAATTATTTTCGCCACAAGAACACAATCAAGTATAATTTACTATCTTTAAAGTATAGGTCAGAAATTAAATTACAGTTCAAAGTCCTTCCAGACTCCTAATCTCTCTCCAGGTTGCCAGATTTCAGCCATTTAAAGTCGTTCTGTTTCATAGAAGCAAAAACTGAAAACCAAGGGCTCATTCATCCACTGGGGAATGGGTAAACAAATTGTGGAACATGAATGTAATGAATTTACTGCACTATGAGAAAAGACAGATATAAAGAGAAACATGAGAAGAGTCATACAAACTTGAAAGCAGAACCAGAAAGACAATATATACAATTATTAAAATAATGTAAATGAAGGAGTTTGGGGCTGGACCTGTGATTTCATTGGTATAGCAAAGTTCAAATGAGTTAACTCCTTTCCCCATCAATGCAGGTCAGACTTTCTTGGTAACTTACAGAGTTAGAGAGCTACCTAGGGCACTGAGTTAAGTAATTTGAACCTAGTTCTTCCTGACTTCAAGGCAAGCTCTTTACTCACAATGCCATGTTGCATTTCATATAAATGAAAGCCAACACTAAAATGTATTAGAATTGAGACTTTACACATACACACATTTTGGTTCCAGAGAATCAATGAGTATAGAGACGGAGGATTCCAGATACATGCTATTAATTTGTTTAAACTGTTTTTCCTCAGCTATAAGAAAAAGGCTAGGAAAAAAACAATTACTAGGAAATAAATGAAAAGTATCAACAAAATAGCATTTTAAAAACTTGTGCTGGGTTGAAACTGGAATACAATACACAAATAAAACATGCAAAGACTGTTCAGACCTCTTCACAAGGGAAACCTGAAAAATAAAAATTAACTTTGAAAAGGGAAACCCCTTGATTTCTGGCATATCTTTAGCACTAAATAACAGCTATTGTGTCCATGAACCTGGAGAAACAAGTTCGAGAACAAGAAGGAAAAAGAACTCAACATGAAGTCAAATTTATGTGGACCTATTTTGTTACTGTGATATTTTTCTTTGGAAAGTTTCTTTTTAAAATTGTTTTGTCACCATAGTAATCATCACACCAGAATTATTTTTTTCTAGTTGTAGGATCAAAAATTCAACACTAGCAGTTAATCCCAATCCTTTTTATACTTTGAAGTCAGCAGTGACCTGAGTTAATATGGAGGAAATGAACTCTACCCTGAAGAAAGAGTAGCTTTACATCTCATTTAAGAGACTGCCACTTTATCTGAGGAAAGAAACACTTGGAAAAACCTTGTCAATTCAGAAAAGCAACTTTTTTTAAACAACACTACTCACTCAGGAGTGTTTCAAAAAGTTTACTTCTTAACATCAGTCAATGAGTCAATAAGCATTTATCAAGCACCTACTATGTGTCAGCCCCTGTGCTAAGCGCTGGGGATACAAAGAAAGGAAGAAGACAACCCCCACAAGCCGCTCACAGTTTTAATGGAAGAATCCACACGCAAACAACTTTGCACAAAAACAAAGTGATGTAGTGAAGCCGGAGAACCTGGGTGCAAATCCCAACTCTCCTACTTACTAGCTGTGCGACCTTGGGGAAGTCACTGAACTTCCCCGGGCCTCAGTTTCCACATTTATAAAATGAGGGGGAGTGTGTTTCAACGCCCCCTTAAGTCCCTTCCAGCTCTAGATTTAGGATGCGATGGAATAAAGTTAGGCGGTTGGGGCGAGAAGCTAAGAGACATTCCACTCCTACCTCCCCCCCAACAGAACTCCAGGTTCCCTCCTTGCCTTCCTCAGGTAGGTCTCTATTGACCCAATCCGGGGAGTCCCAAAGTCCCGGGTTCCTTCCACTGCTCTAGAACGCCACCACTGAGGGGAGCGGAGGGCAGGCCGGCCCTCAACTCCCCACCCCCCACCCGAGCCCTGCCCGCGGGTCAGCCCCGCGCGCAGCAGCACGGCCTCGGGGCCTCGGGGCCTCGGGACCTCGTGCCCAGGGGGACGGCGGGCCTCACCCATCAGGATGCGCATCTGCTTCTTGCCGAAGAGGCGAGAGAAGAGCGACGAGATAGTGAGGCCCATGGCGGCGGCGGCGACAGGAACAGCGGCGGCGGTGACGGGGACGGACGGGGGCGGCGGGCCCCGCGGCCTGCGTGGCTCTGCTCGCGGCTTCCGTGCGGAGGGGCGGCCCCGACACCGGCTCGGGTTCGGGCGCGGGTTCAGACGGCAGGAGCGGCTGGCACCGGCGGCAGCTCGGCGGGCATTTATTGTAGGAATGGGGCGCTCGCGCTCGACGGCTCGGGCTCTGCCACGTCACGCGGCGGCGGTCACGGCGGCGGCGGCTCCAACGCGGACAGAATCGCGTCAGCGCTTCCAACCCCCCTCCCTTTCTCCGCCCCCTTTTCCTGCCGGCTCGACGCCACTGCGCCGGCGCCGAACGGGAAGGGGCGGGGCCTAGACTCTAGGGGAGGAAGTGAGGACACGAAGCCCGCCCCGCCACCCGCCCTACGTCGTACCGAGGCCAATGGGGTGCACAGGTTGTCCAATACCGTCCCCTTCCACGTCCCCCTCTTCATCAGCTGTGTGCCGATTCCGCAACTTCCGCTCTGTGGCATCATGGGAATTAAAGTCTTTTCTAGCCGTCCCGCCCTTCAAGGGCGCGGCCACTTATTGTGGGTAGTAGAGCCTACTTAGCGTCGGTCCAGTACCGCCCTGTCCGTCACGTGACGAGTGGGGGGGAAACCCCTCCGACCGGAAGTGAGGTAGGGTCAAAGTTCGCCCGAGAAGCGGGGCAAGCTCCGCGTGTCTTCCGGCGGGCGACGCCCAGGCCACGCAGCTACTTCCCTGGGCGCTGGGCCGGTCTGACCCGGAGCGTGCAGGAAACCGAGCCCTGGGCCACGTTCTCTTGCTTCCGCTCGGGAACGGAGGGGGAGGGAGGGGTCAGTCTGGAGCTGGGAAAGGGCCCGCCCAGTGGCCACCCTCACCCCACCCCCAGGAAACAGATGAGGAAACTGAGGTCCGCAGGGTGGGTGGGGTCAAGTGACTTAGGGTCCCAGAGCTAGAGCCGAAAAAGGCCAGCCCAGAGGCCACCTCCACCCCACCCCCAGGAAACAGATGAGGAAACTGAGGCCCACGGGGTGGGGTCAAGTGACTTGGACCATCGAGCTGGAAGGGGCCTCAGGGGCCACTTAATCCAGCTCGGTTACAGATTAAGAAAATTCGGACCCTGAGATGTCCAGTCACACAAGTAGTAAGAACAAGCGGCATTGGAAGCCTCTGCCTCCAGAGCCCTCCAGCGATGGACAAATGCGTGTCCTTTGGGCATTGCAGGGCCCCCGACCTTGGCTCCCACCAAGGGAACTCCCGCCTCGCCCTTGGCAGAGGGCCCCGAGGGTGGGGGTGGGGAGGGGCCCTTGCTGGGACTTGAGAACCAGAATCCGTAATCGTCACCGAAAACAACCACAAAATCTCTTGGCCTTCCTTTCTGGGCTTGTTAACCGTCTGCTCTCCAATCAGATTGGCGTGCTTGCTGCTGGGGGACATCGCGGTTCAATAGGTCCGAGGAGATGTCCGTTAACCTCTCTGGGACTCCCTTTTATCACTTGTAAAATGAGCGAGTTGGATTAAATGACGGCTGAGATTCCTCCTTTTAGCGCTCTACTCAGGAACCTTTCTTGCTTTCCCTTCCTTCAGTACCAGGCTTTCAAAGATGAGCCCCAGCAGGTTGGAACCTCTTTTGGACGAATCTCGACCTTTTGCTGTGGTTGCTGCAACAACTCAATATTCCTGAAGGCTCCCAAGCTCCTCTTTCAGACTGCAAAGACGGCACAGGCCTGATATCAGGTGTCTCACTTCCCTAGAGTGGACACTGAACTGGGTATGGCCACCAACAAAACAGGACTTTGTTTTAAGGGGAGGTGTGTGTGTGCTTAGGGCAAATAGAGATGGGGAAGAGGGAGATGGTTTGTTTGGGAGTATTGGCTTTCATTGTATTTTCTTAATTTTACCCCAAGTTTCTATTATAAGTATACTGTCCATTTTTATCACTATAACGATATATTACAGGATGAACATAACTGATCATAGGGGGGAAAATTCAAAGGAGAATCCTTAAGGCAAATCTTTTTTGTACTCAACAAACAATAAGTACAATGGGAACCTATCTTCTCTCTACCTCTTTCAGTCAAGTGTGTGGTGGTAAAAGTGCTATGTAGTGTGGAAAATTGAATGAATGACTGAAGCATTACTTTCTGATGTCCTGTCAGGGAGCCTCCCAAGAAGGATGTGTGGATTATTCTGACATTTTTACGTTTGAGAAAATAGGCCAGTTCTCCATATTGCCCTTTTTTGTTTGTTTTTGTTTAAAAATTTAAAAAAAAAAAGGTCCAAGGTTTTTGTGTGGTTTTCATATGCCTTTGGTACAGACTAGTTAGAAGACAGTGGATATAGTGCTAGGCCTGGAGTCAGGAAGACCAGAGTTCAAATGGGACCTTACTAGCTATGTTATCCCTTGGTATCTTCCTATCTGTTAGAAAACTTGAAAATCAATTCTTTAGTGACCTCCAAATTGCATCACTTCCAACCTGGCCCTCTGCAGTATGTATTTGGGTCTAGTTCAGAGGCTTTTCCTATCCTCATTTTCTCCAATGTCAATATCACTTCCTCCAGAAGCACACTGGAGTCTGTGATAGAATCTCAAGGTAAGTAGCACCACTGTCCTTAATGATGAAAAGAGTTTGACACATCTTTCCCAGCTTTTCTGTTATCCTCATTCCAGTTTCAGTTTTATGCCCTCAGGTTGACTTTGCTTCTGTTAACTATCATCTCCTTTTTCCTGAAGCTTCAGGTTAAGAGTGAATAGCTTTTAGAGTCAGAGCAGGTTCAAACTCCACCCCTACATTGCTGCCTGTGTGACCCTGGAAAAAACCCTTCACTACTTTAGACTTAGTCTCCTCTGGACTTGGGGTCAGAAAGATCTGAATTTGAATCCTGCCTCAGATAACTCTGTGACCATGGACAAATCACTTACTGTTCTCAGCCTCAGTTTCCTTATTTGTCAAATGGGGATAATTACAACATTTTCCTCGGGGAGTTGTGAGGAGCAAATGAGATCACACATGTAAAGCACTTTGTAAGTTGTACAGCACTGTATAAATGCTAGCAATGGCGGTGATGTTGTCAAAAGGTCCCTTCCTGATGTAAACCTATGATCCCCAGACTTTGCCCTGCCTCAATAAAATACCTGTGAGAATGATCTACACACAAGTGGAGGACATCCCTATTGAATATATGACAAAGGATCAGATGGGCTTTCACAAGTAGTTTTATACTAAAGATATATTCAGTTACACAACTGAGTGAAAGGGGTACAGCATATAAGATCCTGCTTATGACTGCCATAACATGCCAAAACACTCCCATAAAGGATCTATTGAAGTCTCTTTTGCATGTTAAGATCATACAAGATTTCTTAATGAATCTCTGATTATCAATATCAAGGGAAGCACACACAAATGTATACCTACAAAGGTGTTTTTCACAACTCCTGGAAACAGCTGCACGAAGTGGAATCCTGTATAGATAGTGAGGTCTTCCATATGCTCCAATTTATAGATACTATTTTAATCAGTCAGTAAACATTTATTAAGTCCCTAATGCTATGTGCCAAGCACTATGCTAAGTGCTGGGGGATACAAAAAGAGGCAAAAGACTCCCTGTCCTCAAGAAGATCACAATCTAATGGGGGAGACAACATGCAAAATAGTATGTACAAACAAGCTATACACAGGACAAATAGGAAATAAGTAAGAGAGGGAAGGCATTGAAATTAGGAAGAATTAGGAAAGACTGCCTGTAGAAGATGGGATTTTAGCTGGAACTTGAAGGTGGTGTGTGATGAGGAAGGAGTACATTCCAAGAATGGGGGACAGTCAGAGAGAACCCCTGGAGCCGAGAGATGAAGCATCCTGTTCTTGGGACAGCCAGGGAGCCAGCATCACTGGACCAACACGGCAGGAAGTAAGGTGTGAGAAGACTGGAAAGGGAGGGTGGGGGCTTAGTTATGAAGAACTTTGAATACCAAGCAGAGGATTACGGATTTGATCTTGCTGGTAATAGGGAGCCACTGGAGTTTATTGAGTATGGCATTTGACTAATTCAACAAGCCCCTGCTTGCTTGAAGACCTCTTCAACCAAATGGCCACGGCCAATGAGTTCAGCGTAACAGTCATATAAGTAAGCCAAATATATGAAAAAAAGAATGCCTGCTATTCCTATCATAACATGTAGATTTTTAGATTTATGTTGGACCAGACCATCACCGTATATTTATGTCTATCCAGGACAAGCACAGTATATGCCATAAGCTGGGCCCAGAAGGAAACAGGAGGAAGAGAGCAGGGATGTTTTATGGTGCTTTCAGTGATCCCAGCGTTTCCTGATGCTAAAAGCCTTTTTTTTTTAAACACTGATATTCTTCTGGAAATTTGCATAGTTGCAGATGATGGAAGAATCCAAAAATCTAACAGGCAATGGAGGGTGCACAGTGGACACAAGACAGCTACAACATATTACCAATGGCTTAGGAGAAAACAGTGTTGTAAAGGCCTATCATCCAGGAAACATGCAACTGGAAAAAGAGAGGGGGCAAGCATGCATTTAGAGCAAAGAACAACAAATGGTCAGCGCAGGTGCCCTAGGGGACCCACAAAATTGAAGATGACTTTGAAATCTTTTTTGAAGACCTCCATTTCATTGCATGGATTCTTTATGGAGGATTTGTGGAAGGAGATGAACAAGAGTTGCATAGGATCAGGTAGTGGAGGGCTGCTGTCTGCACTGCGAAAGAGTGTGCTCATATCAATGAAATGGTGAATCCAATCTAAAAGACGAAGCATTTCTCAAGCATTTGGGTTCAAAGCATTATGCTAGGCAACCAGTCAGTTAACTTTTGGCATAACTTACTTGGCTTTATTAAATGTCATGAATTACTTATTAAAATATGTAGAGGCTTAAGAGGCCAGATATTTGGCAAATAGCAGGTTCTAAAATTCCTACAAACCAAAGAGGATGGTTAACATGTAATCTGAAGTCATTATTTGCAAAACAACTTTTATACAAAGGTTGGGGACCAGGCAATT